CAAGATTGTTTTGGATTCTGCTCCTGTTCTCTGGAGTATTGGCTATCCCTCCCAATTTGGTGTCGTCTGCAAACTTGATGATCCTGCCTTCTAGCCCTTCATCTAAGTCATTAATAAAGATGTTGAAGAGGACCGGGCCCAGGACAGGACCCTGCTTATGGCACTCCGCTCGTCACTTCTTTCTCACTTCTTGGTGAGAATCACCCTCTGGGTTCGTCCATTTAACCAATTACAGATCCACCTCACCGTAGTTTTGCCTAGCCCACATTGGACTAGTTTCCTTGCCAGGAAACCATGATACTCCACTTCTGCCACCTTAGCCTGAATTTCATTCCATTTCATATCTGGCAAAAATGTCCATTCACTTTTGTAAGAGAAATCACTGTTGCAGATTTCAACATGACTCCAGATCTAATTTCCTCCAAGACAAAGCTCAGTGCTGCCTCTTTCACAATAGGAAGTTCCTTATTCTGATGATGACACTAATTTATAAAAGGAGACATTGCCACACACCACATTGGCATCCATTTCCTTTGTATTGGGCTTATGTAGAGACTATGCAAAATTTGGTGTTGTCCTTGTATACCTGGGTGCATTTATCCTGCTGAATTAGACACGGTAACTCCAATGTAGTTTTACAAACTCTTTATTTAGCCCAGCGTTTCTCAACCTGTGGGTTGAGACCCCTGGGGGGTCGCGAGGGGGGTGTCAGAGGGGTTGCCTAAGTCCATCAGAACACATAGTATTTTCTGTTGGTCATGGGGGTTTTGTATGGGATGTTTGGCCCAATTCTATTGTTGGTGGGGTTCAGAATGCACTTTGATTGTAGGTGAACTATAAATTCCAGCAACTACAACTCCCAAATGTCAAGATATATTTTCCCCAAACTCCACCAGTGTTCATATTAAGTATTTGTGCCAAGTTTGGTCCAGACACATCATTGTTTGAGTCCATAGTGCTCTCTGGATGTAGGTGAACTACAACTCCAAAACTCAAGATCAATGCCCACCAGACTCTTCCAGTGTTTTCTGTTGGTCATGGGAGTTCTGTATGCCAAGTTTGGTTCAATTCCATCATTGGTGGAGTTCAGAATGCTCTTTGCTTGTGGGTGAGCTATAAATTCCAGCAACTACAACTCCCAAATGTCAAGGTATATTTTCCCCAAACTTCACCAGTGTTCATATTAAGTATTTGTGCCAAGTTTGGTCCAGATACATCATTGAGTCCACAGTGTTCTCTGGATGTAGGTGAACTACAACTCCAAAACTCTAGGTTAATGCCCACCAGACCCTTCCAGTGTTTTCTGTTGGTCATGGGAGTTTTGTGTGTCAAGTTTGGTTCAATTCCATCGTTGGTAGAGTTCAGAATGCTCTTTGATTGCAGGTGAACTATAAATTCCAGCAACTACAACTCCCAAATGTCAAGGTATATTTTCCCCAAACTTCACCAGTGTTCATATTAAGTATTTGTGCCAAGTTTGGTCCAGATACATCATTGTTTGAGTCCACAGTGCTCTCTGGATGTAAGTGAACTACAACTCCAAAACTCAAGATCGATGCCCACCAGACCCTTCCAGTGTTTTCTGTTGGTCATGGGAGCTCTGTGTGTCAAGTTTGGTTCAATTCCATCATTGGTGGAGTTCAGAATGCTCTTTGATTGTGGGTGAACTACAAATCCAAGCAACTACAACTCCCAAATGACAAAATCAACCCTCCCAAACTCTACCAGTATTTAAATTTGGATGTATTGGGTATTTGTGCCAAATTTGGCCCAGTGAATGAAAACACATTCTACATATCCGATATTTACATTACGATTCATAACAGTAGCAAAATTACAATTATGAAGTAGCAACAAAAATAATTTTATGGTTGAGGGTCACCACAACATAAGGAACTGTATTAAGGAGTCACGGCATTAGGAAGGTTGAGAACCACTGCTTCAGCCTTCTTTGTCCGAGTATGAGGCGTCACCAAACTATAAATCCCATGATTCCATAGCAGCTAGAGTGGTGACAAAATTTATTCATTCTACAGTGTAGATGCCCCTCTAAATTACTGAGTCTTTCGAATTCTTTTTGATTTTACCTGCATAGTTGTAATAATTTCAGTTAGAACCGCGATTAAAGGGGTCTGTGCCCAGTACAATCATTGAATCAAAGAGTTGGAAGAGACCTCATGGGCCATCCAGTCCAACCCCCTGCCAAGAAGCAGGAATATTGCATTCAAATCACCCCTGACAGATGGCCATCCAGCCTCTGTTTAAAAGCTTCCAAAGAAAGAGCCTCCACCACACTCCGGGGCAGAGAGTTCCACTGCTGAACGGCTCTCACAGTCAGGAAGTTCTTCCTCATGTTCAGATGGAATCTCCTCTCTTGTAGTTTGAAGCCATTGTTCTACGTCCTAGTCTCCAGGGAAGCAGAAAACAAGCTTGCTCCCTCCTCCCTGTGACTTCCTTTCACATCTTTATACATGGCTATCATATCTCCTCTCAGCCTTCTCTTCTTCAGGCTAAACATGCCCAGCTCCTTAAGCCGCTCCTCATAGGGCTTGTTCTCCAGACCCTTGATCATTTTAGTCGCCCTCCTCTGGACACATTCCATCTTGTCAATATCTCTCTTGAATTGTGGTGCCCAGAATTGGACACAATATTCCAGGTGTGGTCTAACCAAGGCAGAATAGAGGGGTAGCATGACTTCCCTAGATCTAGACACTATGCTCCTCTTGAGGCAGGCCAAAATCCTATTGGCTTTTTTTGCCGCCACATCACATTGTTGGCTCATGTTTAACTTGTTGTCCACGAGGACTCCAAGATCTTTTTCACACGTACTGCTGTCAAGCCTGGCATTGTCCCCCACTCTATCTTTGCATTTCGTTTTTCCTGCCTAAGTGGAGTATCTTCCATTTGTCCCTGTTGAACTTCATTTTGTTAGTTTTGGCCAGTCATCTCTCTAATCTGTCAAGATCGTTTTGAATCCTGCTCCTGTCCGCTGGAGTATTGACTCTCCCTCCCAATTTGGTGTCGTCTGCAAACTTGATGATCCTGCCTTCTAGCCCTTCATCTAAGTCATTAATAAAGATGTTGAACAGGACCGGGAACAGGACTGCACCCTGCTTGTGGCACTCCGCTCGTCACTTCTTTCCAGGATGAAGAGGAAGCATTGGGGAGAATCACCCTCTGGATTCGTCCATTTAACCAATTCCAGATCCACCTCACTGTAGTTTTGCCTAGCCCACATTGGACTAGTTTCCTTGCCAGAAGGTCATGGGGGACCTTGTCGAAGGCCTTACTGAAATCCAGGTACGCTACATCCACGGCATTCCCTGCATCTGCCCAGCTTGTAAGTCTATCGAAAAAAGAGAGTGAGCATCTGCTAAACCAGAGCAGCTGGGACAGAGAAACACATTCCTTAGGTTGAAGGCAACACAGTCAAAGGTTTATTTCAATTCGATCAAAAAGGATACAAGTATAAACAGAAGTGACACTGAGCTGCTGACTTTCCAGTATGTAGACACAAGCCACAGCAGCTCTGTGGGCGAACGACACACCACTACAACTGCCTTCTCATGTAGCAGTACATGTTTTTGGAGCTGTTTTGATTTCTATACAACTATCCAAAAAAACCTGTCTTCATCACAGCTATGCATCCTAGATCAAACCAAGTGGAATTCTATTGGGAACCTTGACTTGACAGCCTTTTCTATGCAATAGAGGTTTGCTCCTTCCCTTACTGGAGAGATAATAGAGAGCAGAGGGAGGAAATGTTTGATAAAAAGAATATGAAAAGTTGCAACATTTGGCTGGGCATGCCACAAAGGACACTCTCTTCTGCTCACACCATGTACCTTTCTGGAGAAGTGGTTCAACATTAATTCAAGGGTTTATGCTCTTCTCTACAGTATATGTGTTAAATATGGGATGGTTGATGGTCCTCCGCCATCAACTCAGCTGCTCCGGCTACATTGTCCGGATGCCCGACCACCGTCTCCCAAAGCAGTTGCTCTACTCCGAACTCAAGAACGGAAAATGGAATGTTGGTGGGCAGGAAAAGAGATTCAAAGATGGGCTCAAAGCCAGCCTTAAAAACTCAGGCATAGACACCGAGAACTGGGAAGCCCTGGCCCCTAAGCGCTCCAGCTGGAGGTGAGCTGTGACCAGCCGTGCTGCAGAATTTGAAGAGGCACGAATGGAGGGTGAAAGATTAATTAACGATACAAAACACTGAGAGACCATATTGTCTCCAGTCTGGTGATGCTGTTCCCTATCCAGCAGGACATTCCCATTTCCAGTCATCATGACGAAGATATGTGTTGGGTCTTGACCCAATCCAGGGTCAAGACCAGAGAGGAAGGTGCGTCAAGCCAACCCGACTGAGACTGCCTTCCACCTGGAAACCAATGCCTTCACTGCGGGAGAAGATGCAGATCAAGAGTTGGGCTCCACAGTCACCTACGGACCAACCAGAATACTGATCCTGGAAGACTATCCTACTTGGACAATGAGGGATCACCTAAGTAAGTAATATGGGATGTTTCAAAAAGATGGACCCAATTTGAAAACATTAGATCTCTGCAACCACAAATCACCCACGAATGAGACATTTTCCATTTGAAAGGGTGGGGCATAGTTTGAAATCATTACCACGAGATGTCTCTCTCAGCACACAAACAGCCCTCAGCCTCATTCATTTGCAAGATGGTAACTCCACAATGCGATATTACCATCTGCAAATATATTTTTTAGATTTGTTTCTGGATCAAGATGGTTAGTAAAGCTTAACATTATACCATTTGTAACTTTGTGTGTAACTGTAAGATGTTGCCATTGTGAAATTGGGAAAACGCCCTGTATAAAGCAAAGGTATTACAAAACAAAGAGAAACAGCACCAGAAAGCAGGTCAATGCAATAAAAGGCCGAAGGAAGTCATTCAAAGATTGGGAGAGTCCACCAGCAAAAAAGACGTCTTTGATTATACAGTGACTGTCAGACCAGAAGAAAATGCGATCAATCTTTTATTAGTGACTAGTGTCTCCAATTAAGAACACAGCTGGAAAATTTCCGAAGACAAATGTAGAGCCTCAATTGGTGGAAGGTCTGTGGAGGAAAGAAGGAAGATGTTAGTACTATTGACAGGCAGATGGAAGTATTGATCAGCTGGGCTGAAGATTCCTTACTAAGAAAAAACATGAAAAGATTTGTTTCTATACTTTACTGAAAACTACAAGTAAACCTAAGAATAAATCAAGGTAAGTCTAGTCATGTCCAACTCTGGGGGGTGGTGCACACCTCCATTTCTAAGCCAAAGAACCAGCGTTGTCTGTAAACACTAGGCATGAGCAATCCGTTGTTCTAAAGTACTTACAACCCGAAAGACAGTTGCATCTGTCAAGTAGGAAAATTTAGGTACCACCTTAAAGTGTGGGGAGGCTAAATTAACTGATTTATGAGGCCATAAAGAAGACTCCAGCAAAGCATTCCAGCGGGGAAGCATGCGGGGAATGCGGAAGTGCTTCATCAGCATTGCAGATGGACGATGAAAGCGACAGCTCCCCTGGCGGCCAGAAAAAGTTAAATAGCCTCTGTGTATGTTTGTATTTCAAAAATTGGCACTGAATGTTTGCCATATATGTGTACACTGTAATCCGCCCTGAGTCCCCTGCGGGGTCAGAAGGGCAGAATATAAAAGCTGTAAATAAATACATACATACATACAAAACTAACGTTCTGGTGGTGAAGACTAGGGGGCACTGGTGCTTTGCTTCTACAGTGTTGCTAAAATCCTGGTGGTGAAAATTTCAGAACTCTAACAAAGCTTTCAAAATTTCATTATTGGTGATTTTTATGTCAGAAACTATTAGGAACTGCCATTTATAATGAAATTTTGAAAGTTGTGTTAAGAGTTCTGAAAGTTTCACCACCAGGACTTTAGCAACACTGTAGAAGAAAGGCACCAGTGCCCCCTCATTTTCACCACCAGAACTTTAGTTTTGTAAGTACTTTGGTCGCCCATGGTCCAACCTCCTCCAAACCGCACCAGGATGTAGAGTGGGTCATGGGTGCTCTGTGTGCCAAGTTTGGTTGTGATCAGACATTGAATGTGGGTCACAGTGGTCTCGGGAAGTGAGTGGAGGTACTTCAAGTCCCATCATCCATGGTCCTCCCTCCTCCAAACTGCAGTAGGATGTAGAGTGGGTCACGGGGGCTCTGTGTGCCAAGTTTGGTCTTCATCCGTCTTTGACATAGTGGTCCGTGGGAACCAAAACGTTTGAAAGAACTACAAATCCCATAATCCGTGGTCCAACTCCCCCAAACCGCACCAGGATGTAAAGTGGGTCATGGGGGTTATGTGTGCCAAGTTTAGTCCAGGTTCACCATTCGTAGCGGTCACAGTGGCTTGTGAAAGTGGCAGCCAATCAGAAAGCTGCCACATACACCACCCTCCCTCCCTCCGCATACAAACACTAACTTTTATTATATACATAGATAGATAGATATGCCTGGGATCCTGGAAAAAATGTATCGGGTGGAACAGAGTCACAACTGGAAGGTTTAAGAATTCCTGGTCTATATTATCTATGGCTTAAAACTCCTGATGTCTGAATGGGGCCTTCTTCAGGGTGATATCAATCTGCCTTTTCATACACTGGAATGGAGAGAGCAGGTATATAGTCTACTAGCCGTCCCCTGCCACACGTTGCTGTGGCCCGGTCTTTGTATAAGTGTTTTTGTGTGTGTATATTTGTGCATATGTGTATATATGCGTGTTTGCATATATATGTGATTTTGTGCATGCGTTGTAATGTATTTTTTATTTTTTTGTTTTTTAAGTCACTTCTGCTATGTTTTTCAGTGTTTTTATGAGTGATGGTCACTTGTTGGCCAGATAGATGTATTGTGTCCAAATTTGGTGTCAATTCATCCAGTGGTTTTTGAGTTATGTTAATCCCACAAATGAACATTACATTTTTATTTATATAGAATAAAAATGGCCCAGTCTGGTGACCTGGAAAATCAAGTAATGAGAAAATGCTGGTTTCTAATATATGTAATGTCTTTATGCTTGTGGGTCAACAGTATTTCTTGCTGTTTCTTTGTCAGTGTTGATGTGGAGATTGTCTGGTTTACTTACTCTGGAACATGCAACATGGAAATTGTCCTTCTTTAGGGGTCCCTTTCAAATCTATACTATATCTCTGTGTGTGTGAATCATTTCTATCTATCTAATCTATGGCTGGATGGCTCTTTGTCAGGAGGGCTTTGATTACGTTTTCTTGCCCTGGTGGAGGGAGTTGGACTGGATGGCCTTCAGTATGGGGGTTCTGTGTGGGAAGTTTGCCCCAATTCTGTCGTTGGTGGGGTTCAGAATGTTCTTTGACTGTAGGTGAACTATAAATCCCAGTAACTACAACTCCCAAATGTCAATGTCCCCCAAACTCCATCTGTGTCCATATTTGGGCTTATGGAGCATTCGTGCCAAGTTTGGTCCAGATCCATCATTGTTTGAGTCCACAGTGCTCTCTGGATGTAGGTGAACTACAACTCCCAAACTCAAGGTCCAATGCCCACCAAACCCTTCTAGTGTTTTCTGTTTGTCATGGGAGTCCTGTGTGCCAAGATTGGTTGAATTCCATTGTTGGTGGAGTTCAGAATGCTCTTTGATTGTTGGCAAACTTTAAATCCCAGGAACTACAACTCCCAAATAACAAACTCCTTGGGTTAGTAGGTGCTGTGGCCAACCTTCCCTCCCTCTTTCTCTCTCGCCTTCCTTCCTTCTTTCCCTTTTTTCCTTTCCTTCTCTCTTTCCTCCCTCCCTCCCTCCTTTTTTTCCTTTTCCTTCTTTCTCTCCTTTCTTCCTTCTCTCCCTTTCCTTCCTTTGCTCTTTGCTTCCACCCCTCCTTCTCTCTTTCCTGCTTTCCTTCCCTCCCTCTTTCTCTCTCTCCTTTCTTCTCCACCGCTTCCCTTCTTTACCTCTTGCCTGGGCGCTAGAAGGAAGGATCCTCAGAGCCAGGCGCGCTCGCTCTTGCGGCGGGGGTGGGGGGAAGAGAATGGGTTTGAATGCATGCACAGTGTTCTCTTTTAAAATTTAAGGTCTTACTGTTTTTTTGGGAGGAATTTTTTTGAGTGCAGGACATAGATGGTTCTGAAAGCTGTGTTCTGTCCAAATTTGGTGTCAATTCCCCCAGTGGTTTTTGAGTTCTGATGGTCTCACAAATGAACATTACATTTTTATTTATATAGATAAGTGGAAAGGATGGGGGAAAGGATAAGATTTCTACTTACTTGGCCCATTCAACGTTCAGGATCAAGTGATCATAGCCAAAGCCAGACACGCCTGCAATGGCCCTGGCAGCATCTTCCCGGCGGTGGAAGCTGATAAAAGCAAAACCCTGAAGGGAAGAAAATGAGAGTGAGAACCAGAAACAAGCAACAGACCACAACGGCAAGAACACCGTCAGTCCCCAGACCAGGAGACCTCGGTGGCGCAGTGGGTTAAACCCTTGGCTGGCAGGACTGAAGACCGACAGGTCGCAGGTTCGAATCCGGGACGAGCGTGGATGGGCTCCCTCTGTCAGCTCCAACTCCCCATGAGGGGGCACGAGAGAAGCCTCCCACAAGGATGGTAAAGCATCAAAAACACCCTGGCGTCCCCTGAAGCGACTTGCAGACAGCCAATTCTCTCACACCAGAAGCGACTTGCAATTTTCTCAAGTCACTCCTGAGACGACAAAAAAAGTCCCCAAAACAAAGTCTCCAACACTGAATGATGGCCAGCTCTTTCCACAGGTTACGACATTCCCCAGAAAAGCAGCCCCCCACATATCTTTATCAGTTACCCCTTTCCCCCACCTTGGATTGGCCGGTAGTTTTGTCCTTGGCCAAGTAGATGCGAGATATGGACCCAAAAGGACGGAAGAGCTCCTGCAAGTCAGTCTCTCGTGTGTCCTCAGACAGGTTGGTGACACGGATGGTGGCATTGTCATCAGCTAAAGGCAACAGGGCCAAAAGACAAAAAAGAAGGGGGTCAGAGCAGCAGAAACTGAAGGAACCTAAAAACATTGGGCTAGGCTATTGGGACCACAAGCAAGAACTCTAGGGACCAGATTCACCCCCAAAATGCCCTCATAAGCAAGCTCACCTCTGCGATTCGGCTGCATGGACTCTCCTCTGCGGCTAGCCCCATCCCTCAAGCTGGGTGGCACGTACTTCCCAGTCTTGTTCTGCTGGGAAGCAACAGGTTCTGGTTCTGTGGAAATGCAAAACAATCTTAGCAAACATCCCTCCTGACTCCTGTAATGAAGGTGTTGGTTTCTAAGTCACGGAAGAGTGCTTCTCCTCAGCTGCCTCTTCTCACCCCTTGCTCACCTCCGGGCAACTTCTCCTTCTCGCCTGTGGAGAGCCCCAGCTGCTCGGCAAGCTCCTTCTGCATGGGACCCAGGGTGTCCTTGTAAGGGCAGCGAGTGGTCCAATGGTCACCCTTGCAAATTCGGCAGGACACAATCTTCTGCCCTTTCAACTTGTTCATGGGGTCCTCCTCCTCTTGGCAGTTCAAGTCCTGGCAAAAGTGAGGGTGGAGTGTGTGTGAATGGACTGAAAGTCATGTTGCATCTTTTCTCCACAGAGATCCCTATAAGACCCCTAGGACTCAGACAAATGCCTCTTTACCAGTCGCAATTTGAGATGGGCCCCAATGTGTTTGTTCCAAGAGAAGTCGGATCTGGCTATGGTGATAGGTGCTTTGGTCATTATAGTTCATTTGGATTACTGTAATGTGCTCAGAAACTATAGACATGGGGATGTCTTTAAAAAGCACTCAGAAACCTCAGTTGGTCCAATAACCTAGAGCAGGGGTCCACAAACGTTTTAAACAGAGGCCCATGTCACAGTCTCTCAAACTGTTGGAGGGCCGGATTATAATTTGGAAAAAAAAAACATGAACTCTTATGCACGCTGCACACATCTTATTTGTAGTGTAAAAAACACTTAAAAACAATACAATAATTAAAATGAGGAACAATGTTAACAAATATAAGCTTTTGGCTGATGAGATAGGATTGTTGTTGGTGTTGTGTGCTTTCAAGTCATTTCAGACTTAGGTTGACCCTGAGCGAGGGCCGGGTAAATGACCTTGGAGGGCCGCATCCGGCCCCCGGGCCTTAGTTTGAGGACCCCTGACCTAGAGTGAGATTGTTAAGTAGGATCAACTGCAACAGTTATTAGTTATTTATTACTAGCTGTACTCGGCCACACATTGCTGTGACCCATTGTGGAGAAATGGGAAAGAAAGAAAAGAGGAAGAGCTGGTTTCTAAGCTATCAATACACAACTGAAGTGGCAAAGTGTCAACCTAATATAGGCCCATTTCAGTCTCCTTAAGGCAAAGGGTTATATGGATGCGTGGAAGGGCCCTGGGTTACCTGAGTCCACACTGCCATATAACCCAGTTCAAAGATATTATATAGGTATTATTATTTTTGTTGTTATTACACATGTATAGATATTACTATAGGCATATAGATATTATTATAGACACAAATATTATTAAAGGCATGTAAGTATTATTATTATAGATGTTATTTATTTATTTTGTATCAAAAGCATTGCATAAATTAGTACAAAACTGATTAAAAATAGAAGGAGCACAGGGCTAAATATCTTTTGAGCAAAAATTGGCAACAGATGTATGGATATTATTACGGACTTATAGATATTATTATAGGCATATAAGTATTATTATTATAGATGTATAGATATTATTGACAGACAGATATTATAATTATAGACATATGGATATGGATATTATTATAGACATGTAGATATTATTGTTACAGACATTATTATTATTATTATTAACTTTATTTATACCCCGCAAAATCTCCCGAAGGACTCGATGCGGCTTACAAAGGCCAAGGCCGCCAACAACAACAACATACAAATATCACATTAAAACTCATAAGTAAATAATAAAATATCAAGCAAACAATAAAACACTTAAACAATGACATCATGATGCATTTAAAACCTAAAAGGTGGGACATATAGATATCATAGACATATATATTGTAGATTTATAGACATTATTATGATAGATATATAGATATTATTATTGTAGATATATTATAGCCCAGGGTTGCTATAAACTAAAAATGGATGGCCATCTTTTGGGAGTGTTTTGATTGTGCTTTCCTGGATAGCCTTTGCTAACTCACAGAGCATGCCTTTTTGTCCTTTCTTTGAATACTGGACTTCATTTTCCAGAATTCCTTCCCATAACTCAGTATGGATTAACTTTCTCAGCACACACACACACACACACAGAATCCCTCCCGTGTGAGTTCCCAGCAGGTACCTCCATGCTGCCGACAGCCAAGACCCAAGAGGGAAAGGGAAAAAAAGGAAAGGAAAGGAAAGGAAAGGAAAAGAAGGAAAGGAAGAGGGTAGATCTGGAGGAGGGTGTTTTCTCTCTCTTTCTCTCTCTCTCTCCCTCCCTCTCTGAATCCTTTGAGAAGAAAGAGGTTAGCAAGAGGGATATATGGCCACCTTTCCCTCCCTCTCTCAAGCTACCTCTTTCTCAGTTGTTGAGTTTTTTCCTCTTGTGCAGGAGGGAAAGGCGGGGAAAGGTGTTCTTTTAACACATGCTCTGATACACAGAGAACACAGAAATGCTGGACCACTCCAACAACCACGTCAGACTACACAGAGAAGCCATTGAAATCCACAAGCATGTGGACAATTTCAACAGAAAGGAGGAGACCATGAAAATGAACAAAATCTGGCTACCAGTATTAAAAAACTCAAAAATTAAACAGCAAAACAGCAGAGAGGAAACAACCAGGCACATCTTAACACCTCTCAACAAAAGATTCCCCCAGGCTCAGCCAGGCCTTCAAATGCTAATGAAGGTGGTCAGTTGAAATATTCACACCTAGCTCCAGCAGAGAAGAGCTCTTTGCCCCACCCCAGCCATTCCACAGATATATAAACCCATTTCCTAATTCCAACAGACCTCACTACCTCTGAGGATGCTTGCCATAGATGCAGGCGAAACGTCAGGAGAGGATGCCTCGAGAACATGGCCATATAGCCCGAAAAAACCCACAAGAACCTAGTGATTCCAGCCATGAAAGCCTTCGACAATACACATGCTCTGATAGTAATTTAGTTTTGTGGGGGTGTTTAAGTTCTTTCCGGTTATTTTATTTATTTATTTTTAGTGAAGGACATAGATTGCTTTAGTTGTTGTCTTGTGTTCAAATTTGGTGTCAATTCGTCCAGTGGTTTCTGAGTTCTGTTAATCCCACAAACGAACATTACATTTTTATTTATATAGATTTAGAACATTTGTATCCCATCCTATCCCGAACTCTGCAGAGGGACTCAGGGCGGCTAACAACCGGTACATCATGATGCTCACAACCAAAATCATAAATATATAATTTAAATAAAACAACATAAAACATTATAAAAACATTGAAGCAGTCGCCAATTTAAGTCACAGTTGCATTTCCAGACATAATTCAAAGTGCTGATTTTGACTTATAAAGCTTGATACCGCTAGAGACTAGGTTATTTGAAGGACAGCATGATCCCAGTAGAGCTTCAAAACTATGAAGAGCAGGTATTCTTGCTATCCCCCCACCGTCACAGGTTCATTTGGGGAGAACAAGAGGGAGGAGTTTCTCCATGGCTGCTCCTCAACTTGGAACTCCCTCCGCAGAGGCCAGGAAGGCCCCATCCTTGCGCTCTGTCTAGGTCAAAAGACAGGCTTTTGCAAACTGATGCTGGGCTTTTAATACTATGGGGTACAGTTTTTAATGTTGAATGTTCTAGCTTGCAAACTGTTCAGTTGTTTTGTAGGTATTATACAATACAATCAGAACAAACACAAATCCATCTATGTAATGAGAAAGTATAATATCAAAGGAGCATATAGTATGCAATTTACCAAAATAACCAGTGCATAGCTCAATTCAGTGGCATAAAGAAAAATCAAAAGGAGGAGCCACTCTCAAACGTCTGAATAAGGGTTCCACTGTATATAGGCTTCAGAGATACATTCAATGAGAAAGATTATTTAAACAAAGTAAGCATTGAGTCATGAGGCTATATGTAACAGCAGCAATCTTATTTACCTTTTAACATGTGACTGTGGTTTGTGGTATATCGGAAAAACAACCTGAGAATTAGAATTTCTGAACATAAATCTAGAATAAAATGTTTATCTACTGAGTCCCTTCTATACTCACAATACAAACATTCGTCCAATTCCTTTAAATGTTGTGCTCTAGAATGCAACACTCCAAAACCCCATATGGACTTGGAAAAACTATTATCCCAAAGGGAAATGTACTGGATCTTTAAGCCCAAAAATTCTAGGGGGGCGGGCAGGAATTAAGTGCAACAATAATATTAGGGACGGGTCTGTGGCTGTTCATTCCGGGGCCGATTAGAGGAAAGAATCTGGGCGATTGGTAGGAAGAATAAGGCCGTATTCAACAATGTTTAGGGTTGAGTTAGAACTGGTCATTTTTAAAGGCTTGTTGAAACCACCAGGTCTTCGAGCTCTTACGAAAGGAGGTGAGGGATGGGGCCTGTCTTATTTCCCTTGGAAAGGTGGGGGGCCACCAACGAGAAGGCTCTCTCTCGCCCCCACCAACCGCGCTTGAGATGGTAGTGGGACCGAGAGGAGGGCCTCATCGGAAGATCTTAAAGCTCGTGCCGGTTCATAGGAGATGCGATGGCAGAGATAGGATTTAGGTCTGTTAATGGGGTTATTTGGGGCAGCATTTCAGTAAATTACATTGGATACATCCCATCAGCTCTAGTTTCTATGAGCAATCAGATAAAGATGGCATATATTCTGCATCTCAAAAACTAGAGCTGATAGGGGAAATCCGGTGCCATTTTTGGAATCAGCAGATCAGATATATCTAGAAACAGAGCTAACATTTGAGGCACCAAAATGTGTGTTGGCCAGGGTGGGAAACCTTATATTTTGACTATACCTGAGCTGGGAGCCTATCACAGAATGACAAGGGAGGACCTAGAAAGGCCCACAAACATTTCAGGAAGATCTTTTCAAGCAGGGATAAGTGAAACTGTAGATACTAAATCTGTGTCCCATATTTATAATTTAATATGTTTTTAATTTATATTGTTTTAAATACATTGAGTCCCATTATCGAGAGAAAAGTGGGATATGAACAAAATAATAATTCTAAAATGTTGCGTACAACAGCCAGCTAAAAAAAAAGACTACAAAAAGAACCTAGCAGTTCTTTGCCTGGTCAGACACTCAGTCATCTGCATGCTGTCACTCACCTCCTTGCTGGTGATAAAGGTCATGAAGACATCATCGCTCACGGTGGTTGTGGCCACATTTGGTCCAGGAGCATCAAACTCTGAGTTGCCAAATTTCTTCCAGTTCTGAGAGAGTAAATAGTAGAGTGAAGTATCTGATCAAAGTTGCCTTGTTTATTGCCATTTTGTGTATTTTAAATTGGTTTTAATAGCCCTAGGTTTAATTCTATTTTTGTTTATATTCTTTAAGTTTTAAATTGTGTATTGTTTTTAACCAATGTTCACTGCTTTGAGTCTCTCTTAAGAGAAAAAAGTGCTATGTAAACAATGATAATGTTTATACACTGTGATATCAATAGAGTATATACTTGCTAGAATGTTTATATCGATAGAGATTATTCCTGCAGGCCTCGTGGACCCATGGGCAAACTTCCCAAGACCACTCACCTTTCTCCTTGCAACAGCTTTAGAGGCCTTCCGGGTCTCAATACGAAAGGTTCGGATGATCTGCAAAAAGGACAGCAACATTCATATTGTAGAGGATAGGAATAATCAAGGTAACTCTGAGATCCTATCTATGAGGTGTATTATAGGAGGTTTTAATGAAGTATCAATTTCTGTTCAAAAGCCTAGTTTACCAGATTGCAGGATAGGAGCATTATGAAACATTGGAGGAATAGGCCTAGTGGGGTCAGCATCTCCAAGCCAGGATGAAAATTAACCACGCGTCATGGAAATGAAAAATATGGTACAAGGGGAGCTGCATTTCAGTACTATCAACAAAATGTTGGTAAATGAAAAGAGGAGGCTCAGTCTCACAGAATGCCACATAATGAGGGAAGGAGAGATGGGGCTGGATCCTAACCATCACCTCACCTTCACTTTGCGGCCATCTTCCTCTTCTCTGTATTCAGTCACCGTTTTAATGTTTCCATTCACAACCTCCTTGGGGGCGGGCAGGGGACCTGGAGAGAGAAGTGAGGGAAATATATTTTAAACTTTCTTGGCCTCCAGAATACTCTGTATTCCATACTTTTTTTAGTTAAGATGTGTTTTCCAGAAAAAGTAGAACTGGATTTTTTCCCCTAGTGCTCTCAATAATATTATTCTGATTTAGCGCTGGCTACAAGGAACACACAATTCCATTTCCATAACAGCCCCACTGGCTGCGGTTCCATTTTTGGGCACAATTCAAATTATTACTAATATTGCGTACAAAATTACATTCCGGCTTTGCATACAATGTGTACATGAAATATAAGCGTCAGATTTGAGACCATTTCTAAGACATTTTGTTATGCATATGTAGATATTCCAAAATCACTACTTCTGTTTGAAGCGAGAAACAAAAGATTAGGCAAAACAGAAACAAGCTTAATATTGCATTCATTTTTAGCCTGAATGTTAGGGTTTTGATTGCAGCTTAACACTCCAGACAATGCATGTGTGTACACTCAGCCCTCCACATTAACAAGACGGAAGGAAGGATGGAAGCGGAAAAAACTGTGAAGAAATTGCTTTTTTTTACTGAGGGAACACCTATTTAGGGATTTCAAGGCTTCCAACACAACTCAATAATAATAATACTACTAATAATAATAATCTTTATTTATATCCTGCCACCATCTCCCCGCTGGAGACTTGGGGTGGCTTACATGAGACCAAGCCCAGACAACAAATTACAGCAGAATAAAACCGAAAACGCAAACAAACAACATCATAATTACATAACACATATGAATACATAACAATATAAAATTACAATAAACACAATCACAATGACAGTGGGTTAATATCATCTTACAGTTAATATCATCTTGAAGAACTGCACTGGAGGGCCTAGAAATTTTTAGAGAGGTGTTACCTTAATCCACACTGTATTGTTTGGTTTTTTTTAAATTATATTGTAGTTATTTAAGCCATGGCCAAAGTGTGGGATTGTTAGTTGCTTGAGTCCCCACGGGGACAAAGTGGGGTATATATAGAATAAGTAAGTAAGTACATAAGTAAATAAATAAAAGAGATTCCTAGGGAGAAGATTTTGAATCAAATCCACGATTAAAGATATCTGGAAAAATCAAAAACACAAACTTGGAGGGATGACCATATATATGTGTGGACATGTATGGTGTGCAAAATGTAATACCTCACATCTCTGCAAGCAAGAAATCCATCTCATACCTCCTTTTACAAGCTCTGGTTCAACAACCACAGTTGGTGCACTTCCTCCTCCACTTCCGGTTCCACTTTCACCACTGCCTCCACTTCCGGTTCCAGTTCCACCTCCACTTTCACTCAGCACCCCAGTTAGGGGTATATCCTTGAGCAAATCACTAGTGATGCATTTATCTGTGTGAGGGAAGCACAATCATGTCAGCTACAACAATTCTACAAAGAATAGACCATGTTGCAGTCCACAATCCTGCATGGCTCAGCAGTGCATAGCATTTCTGCACATGGAAGTACACTACACCAAGCCATTTACTATCTTGGGCCTACCCTTGAATAGCACCCCACACACCCCTAGCCATTCTGTGCCTGGCGGAGAGCAGGGAGATCATCTGGCTAACCCCAATAGGCAGATGTGAAGCAATGATATCAACCTCTGTATCTCTCTGGAGTATTCAGAAGACTCAACAACTGTTATAATCATGTATTGTCTGGCTACGTGGACTTGGCCAGATGCTTGTGCAATCCTATCCTTTCGCCACAGGCAAATTGAGGAAGGGAGGCCTCTATGATAGGTACGCTGAGGGATTTGCTGACAGACGAAGGAATATCAGCCTATGCAGAAACCACAAACAGTCATACAGATTTATATGTTAAGCTATTTTTCCACATACCAGTAACAGCATGCCAGTCTCAGAAAGTTAGGTACCTATCTGTTTAGAAACTAATCCAATATATATTTTGGGGATTCTCTAAGTTCAAAGATATAGGTTTATTTTTTAATCCAAATCCTTAAAATGATCCTGACAAGCTTCAATGATTTTTAGAATGTGAAGAATGCAGAAAGGTTTGATCCAGGCTTTTAGACTACTGTAACAGGCTGTGCTGAGATGACAGCATTCTGGAAAGTGTTTCAAAACTTCAGCTGGCCTGGAATGTTGCTATCAGACAGCTAACTAGTATTGATTACTGGGAATGCATTATCCCATTTTTCCAACAATTTTATTGGTTATCGGTTTGTTTCTGGCCACAAAGCAACACGCCAAGTATAGCCTATAAAGCTCTATATGTAAGCCGCCCCGAGTCCTCATTGGGGAGATGGTGGCGGGGTATAAATAAATAATAATAATAATTATTATTATTATTATTATTATTATACAACCTGGTTTTGGATTCTCTACGTATTCTACCACAAGAACTTGTTTGGGCTTTAGGATTTTCAGGGGACGGCCTTTTCTTAATCCCACTTATGAGAGGCACATTTGGTGCATGTAAAAGAGAAGGCCTTCTCAATAGCAACTACTCAGCTCTTCACCAGGCTTGCTTGGTTTAATTCTTTTCCTGGCATGCAGATCTTGTTTACTGAAGCAAAACTAGTCAAGTGAGCAGAGGTGAGCTGGTCATCGTTTAAAGTAATTCAGTAAAGACAGCATGTCCAATTAATTCCATTCCATCTCTCCAATTTTCCACTCTCCCATTAAAACAAAGTATGCATTCCCCATATTTTGCCACTGTCATAATTGCAAATTTAGTAGTAGTAGTAGCAGCAGCAACACTCAATTCTAATAGCAGCAGCATCCCTACTAAAGAGTCCTTGGGGAAATGATGTGTGATTGAAGGTTTTCTTCGGCTGTACTAAAGAGCAGCAAAATAACCAAGGAAGTCTGAATCACATCTGGTTAAAAGCAGTTTGGAACCCACCAATCTGGATGTACAAGTAAGACAACTCTTCATTTAGTACACACCTAATTAGCTTGTACAAGAAAATTCTTACCATCATCTCCTTCCTCTTCCACCTGGTCTGCCCAACTGGGCTTGGAGCTGAAATAAAGGTAAAACATCAATGAGCCTTCTACTCTCAGTAGTCATAAACATGTGCATGCTGTCCAACAATAATCAAATTCCAGGAAACTAAATTCTCCATGTCCATTACAACTCATTTAACACAGGTTTGCTTCTTCAGTTCTATCAGAGAAGAAGAAAAAAACATACATCTGGATGTACAAGTCAGACAACTCTTCATTTAGTACACACCTAATTAGTTTGTACAAGAAACTACTATCTCCAGCATCTAATTTATTCCAGCTATTTTTCCATTCAAATATTAATAAAAAACCTTTGGGCAGCAACCACTGTTCTTTATCTTGTCATGTCCACTTCCAAAGGAAGACGTCCACTTGCCAGCTGGTCAACACACAGGATGGTTTGAATGCAATATTCCTGCTTCTTGGCAAGGGGTTGGACTGGATGGCCCATGAGGTCTCTTCCAACTCTTTGAGGGTTCTAGCCACCTACCTCATGTTTCAGGTAAAAATGCAGGTATTTTGCCATTGAAGATTTACATTACCATCCAGATTTATACACCACATACCTTACACTATCCAGTCTCAAGCTCTTTGCTCAGCCTACAACTTCTCAAGCATTCTTACAAATACCCAGACTAAGATATATGATTCATTCCATTGCTTCAAACTAAAAACGACGCTTTTTGGGGACTAGTTACCCAGAGAAGAGGTGGACATGAGAGAAACTTCACCAGTTTAAAGGGGTAGGGTACATATAATTTCACTCTTGAAAGGCAGAAATAATGTTTACTCTACCAAAGACATATGCCAACTAATTTTTTTGTTTTTCTTCTTATTTATTGTTTCCAAAGCTCACTCACTCACCCCTCTTTGAAAAAACAAACAAACCTTGTAGACTCACTCATTCAGTACTAGACTGCTAATTGTTGGAATTAATCTTGAATTCCAATCACTTCATTAACTGCTCCAGATCTTCTTTTACCTTTCTTGTTCAGATCCTCAATAACTTTATCTTGTTCTCACTGAAGCACTAAAACTGGATTTCTAAAGGCATTTCCAAAGAGGACACTTCCGCTCATATAACTGAATAGACCCACAGAAAAGTAACAGAAAACGGACTAAGTTTGAAGCTTTGTGGTTGGGAGCCTAACCTGCATGTTTTAAAGAGACATTTTATCAAGATGGAGTGCATAACGCTGAAACATTGGCCACTGTCCAGCAAGAACACAGCCATGTTCTTCCTGCTGTCACGTGTCCTTCCAATTCAACCAACTACTTTCTCAGCCACATCTAGCACAGCCTCTGTATTACCTGTCTAGCATATGCGTGTTTACAGCAGTGGTTCTCAACCTTTGGTCTTCCGGATGTTTTGGACTTTAATTCTCAAAATTCCTAACAGCTGGTAAGTTGGCTGGAAGTTCAGGAAGTTGAAGTCTAAAATGCCTGGAGGCTAAAAGTTGGGAACCACTGGCTTACAACAACAACAACAACAACAACAACAACAACAACAAGACTTTATTTGTACCCCGCTACCATCTCCCAAGGGACTCGGTGCGGCTTACATGAGGTTGAGCCTAAACACAACAATAACAATAACAGCAATAATACAAAAACAAAACCAAGGAAAAGTTCCTTGAGAGCTAGATGTGTTTATGACTGTGGGGGATATATTCTCAACATTTTCAGGTAATACTCCTGTTACTATTCCATTAAAGCAGTGGTTCTTAACCTGTGGGTGACGGACCACCAGTAGGCTGCAAGGACGAAAATCTGGTCCACAAGCCTCATTCTTTATTTATTTTATTCCCACTCCTTTCAGACTACCTGACACTCCTTTCCTGTTGCTGACCGTGGCATGTGTTCTGTATCAGAAAGTAGAGCTGATGTGGTCTACCCAATGCAATTTTCTGAATCAGCACTGCAAACCGAATCTTAAGTTGACCAAAAACCAATTAATAACCCTTTTAGTACTAATGCTGGAGAGTGGTTCCTGGTAAAAAAAAAAGTTGGGAACCACTGCATTAAACAGATGTGGTCCAATAACACCAGATGCGGAAATTGCTCCCCATACATTAATGAAATCATAGATTGCCATGTTACCTGGACCATTTCAACAGATGTTAAGTGTCTCTCACTTTCAAAGTGACTCCATGTTTAATGGAGATTCAGTAAAGGTGCAGTCTACATAATTAATACCCATCTCCAAGTTTTAGTATCTAACTATATAATGTTAGAACAAGTGAACAAATATAGACCTCCAGGTAAGTTGCAGCCTCAAAGGCCCATCAGACCTACCCAGCAAAGCCACTAATGATGGATAATGGGAATAGCTGACCAAAAACATTTGGAGAGCCATAGTTGCACATCCAATATTAAGTAAGGGAGACAATCAGTGTGGTGCAGTGGTTTCAGTGCTAGACTGGAAGTGCAACTACACTGTAGAGCAGTGATCCTCAACCTGTGGGTCCCCAGGTGTTTTGGCCTACAATTCTCAGAAATTTAGGATTTCTGGGTGTTGAAGGCTGAAACATCTGGGGACCCCAAGTTGAGAACCACTGCGAGATAGAAATAAAGGTTATTATTATGATTTTACAATTATTATTACTAGATTTTAGTATATTGTATGAGCCCCCAGTGGCGCAGTGGGTTAAACCCCTGTGCCGGCAGGACTGAAGACCGACAGGTCGCAGGTTCGAATCCGCGGAGAGGCGGATGAGCTCCCTCTATCAGCTCCAGCTCCTCATGCGGGGACATGAGAGAAGCCTCCCACAAGGATGATAAAAACATCAAATCATACAGGCGTCCCCTGGGCAACGTCCTTGCAGACGGCCAATTCTCTCACACCAGAAGCGACTTGCAGTTTCTCAAGTCGCTCCTGATACAACAAAAAAAGTATATTGTATTATTATTATTGATATTATTATTATACTGTATTACATGAATACTTGAAGACACATCATACTAGGTAGCAGGGTAAACTCATCAAGAAATATTAATTAAATCGTTTCGTTTTAAAGTCGGATTTTAAGTAAAAGATGCTTGCTTGCTTGCATGCTGGTCACTTCTGTGGCGAGAGAATCAGCCGTCTACGAAGACGTTGCCCAGGGGACGCCCGGATGTCTTGCAATCCTGCGAGGAGGCTTCTCTCATGTCCCACAACCAGATACAGTGAAGACATCCGCCCTTGCGCTATGCTACTCTGCTGCTGAGTATGCATGCCCAGTGTGGAACACATCTCACCACACTAAAACAGTGGATGTGGCTCTTAATGAGACATGCCGCATTATCACGGGGTGTCTGCGCCCTACACCACTGGAGCAATTACACTGCTTAGCCGGTATTGCACCACCTGACATCCGCCGGGAAGTAGCAGCCAATAGTGAAAGGACCAAGGCAGAGACATCTCCAGCTCATCCCGTTTGGGTATCAGCCAGCACGTCAACGACTTAAATCTAGAAATAGTTTTCTAAGATCTACAGAGACACTCGCTGAGAACACCTCAGCAAGCGAGAGTCCAAAAGTGGCAGGCTCAAACCCAGAACCTCAACCAATGGCTGATACCAAATGAGAGACTCCCCCTGGGCACACAGAGGACTGGGCGACTTGGAAGGCGCTGAACAGACTGCGCTCTGGCACCACGAGATGCAGAGCCAACCTTCAGAAATGGGGCTACAAAGTGGAATCCTCGATATGCGAATGTGGAGAGGAGCAAACCACTGACCACCTGCTGCAATGCAACCTGAGCCCTGCCACATGCACAATGGAGGACCTTCTTGCAGCAACACCAGAAGCACTCCAAGTGGCCAGATACTGGTCAAAGGACATTAAATCAACTACCAAACTCACAAATGATGTATTTTGTCTGTTTGCTTTGTTCTGTTAGGAATGTAATATAATTGACTGGTTGCCCTGACACGACAAAAAAAAATCTTGCCCTTTGTCGGCCCCTCTTCCTTTTTCCTTCCATTTTCCCCAGCATCATTGTCTTCTCTCAGACTGCGCTCTGGCAGCACGAGATGCAGAGCCAATCTTAAGAAATGGGGCTACAAAGTGGAATCCATGACATGCGAGTGTGGAGAAGAGCAAACCACTGACCACCTGCTGCAATGCAACCTGAGCCCTGCTACATGCACAATGGAGGACCTTCTTGCGGCAACACCAGGGGCACTCCAAGTGGCCAGATACTGGTCAAAGGACATTTAACCAATTACCAAACTCACAAGTTGTATATTTTTCTGTTTGTTTGCTTTGTTCTGTTAGAAATGTAATATAATGGACTGGTTGCTCTGACACGACAAAAAAGTAAAGGATACACAAAGCTATGCCAAGCTTCCCAGAGCAGGCAGCCTCAAACTGTGGCCCTCCAACGCCCAGAAGCCCTTGCCAGCTTCTTCAATGGCCAGAAATTTTAAGAGTTGGAGGTGCAAACAGCTGGAAGGCCGCTGTTTGAGGAGTCCAGGCCTTAGGTTTCTGTCACGTGTCTGCCCAACTCTTGACACTCAGATGGAGAAGTCCAGAGCTGACCAAATTGAGCTTTTGGTCTATAACCAGCTCTAAGAGTTTCAAAGACATGAAGTTGACTTTGTTTGGGAAAAAATGGCTCATGAGAAGCGGTTGAGGAAAGAATTCGGGACTCAGAATCACAAACCCGCCACTGCACGTCTGGAAGCGCAAACACGTGTACACGGACCGCCCGCCCGCTGCCTTCCCCTTTCCCCCAAGGCCTCCCTCCTCCAGGCCTGCTTCCCGCCCTCCTCATTTACTCACTCGTAGTCGCCCGTCGGCATGGCCGCCCCTGGAAGAAGAACAAGCAGAAGGAAGGCGAGCTGAGGCGGAAGAGTAGGCCTCACGAGAGGCAGGAAGCCGGCCTAAGCCTGACGCAGAGCCTCGCGGGAGACGTAGTTTGCGTCACTGACGTGGTGGCCAAACCAAAATGCATGGCGGAGGACTTTCGGTTCGCCGCGGTGCCTACTGGGAAGACGCGATAGGGGTCGCGGCACTCCAACATTTGGGCCTCCAATTCCCAGAAGCCCTCGCCAGCTTGTTCAATGCCCAGGAATGCTGGGAGTTGGAGGCCCAAACAGCTGCAAGGACGCCTGTATTAGTGAGTAGGTGAGTTGCCGCCCCCAGTGGACACATCAGGAATTGCACCCCTTGATAGAATCAAAGAGTGGGAAGAGACTTCATGGGCCATCCAGTCCAACCCTCTGCTAAGAAGCAGGAATATTATTATTATTACTATTACTATTATTATTTTCTAGGTGCAAAGATTACTGCAGATGCAGACTGTGGCCAGGAAATCAGAAGACGCTTACTTCTTGGGAGGAGAGCAATGTCCAATCTCGATAAAATAGTGAAGAGTAGAGACATCAGACTGGCAACAAAGATCCGCCTTGTCAAAGCCATGGTATTCCCTGTAGTAACCTACGGATGTGAGAGCTGGACCTTAGGGAAGGCTGAGCGAAGGAAGATCGATGCTTTTGAGCTGTAGTGTTGGAGGAAAGTGCTGAGAGTGCCTTGGACTGCGAGAAGATCCAACCAGTCCATCCTCCAGGAAATAAAGCCCGGCTGCTCACTGGAGGGAAGGATACTAGAGACAAAGTTGAAGTACTTTGGCCACATCATGAGGAGACAGCAAAGCCTAGAGAAGACAATTATGCTGGGGAAAGTGGAAGGCAAAAGGAAGAGGGGCCGACCAAGGGCAAGATGGATGGATGGCATCCTTGAAGTGACTGGACTGACCTTGAAGGAGCTGGGGGTGGTGACGGCCGACAGGGAGCTCTGGCGTGGGCTGGTCCATGAGGTCACGAAGAGTCGGAGACGACTGAACGAATGAACAACATTATTATTATTATTAACTTTATTTATACCCCGCAAAATCTCCCGAAGGACTCGATATGGCTTACAAAAGCCAAGGCTGCCAACAACAATAACATACACATACACAATAAAAGTCATAAGCAAATAAAACATCAAGCAAAGCATTAGAACAATAGAAAACAATGACACAGTGACGCATTTAAAACCAAGGGCCGGGCCAAGTGTAATAGACAAAATTTAAAAGTGATATGTAGCGGTATTTGGAGGTAGGTGCAATGTGCAAATAATCCTGAATCTCTAACAAAGTGCATTTGGGACTTGATGCTAGGAGTTTCCTATTCTGGAAAGGCACACTGGAACAGCCAGGTCTTCAGGCTCTTCCTAAAGACAGCCAGCATTGGGGCTTGTCTGATGTCCTTGGGGAGAGAGTTCCAGAGTCGGGGGCCACCACAGAGAAGGCCCTGTCCCTTGTCCCCACCACACGTGCCTGTGACGTAGGTGGCATCGTGAGCAGGGCCTCTCCAGATGATCGAAGGGAACGCGTAGGTTCACGAAGGTAGGCTTTGTAGGTAAGCACCTGCACCTTGAATTGGGACCGGAAGATGAACGGTACCCTTAAACAGGAGGGTTGACCTCTCTCTGTAAGGAGTGCCAGATAACATCCTGGCTGCCGACCGTTTGAATATTGCATTCAAACCACCCCTCACAGATGGCCACCCTGCCTCTGTTTAAAAGCCTCCAAAGAAAGAGCCTCCACCACACTCCGGGGCAGAGTTCCACTGCTTTCACAGTCAGGAAGTTCTTCCTAATGTTCAGGTGGAATCTCCTTTCTTTTAGTTTGCTTCTTCTTCAAACCCAGCTGGGGGCCCTTCCATATAGCCCTATATCCCAGAATATCAAGACAGAAAATCCCACAATATCTGCTTTGAACAGTGTTATCTGAGTCCACACTCAGATAATGTGGGATTTTGGGTTTTGATATTCTGGGATATAGGGCTGTGTGGAAGGGCCCTGGGACGTGAAAGGAGAAGAGGGAGAGGGGGAAGGAGAAGGTTTCTAAACAGAAAAGTGGCAAACATTCAATGCCATAATGTAAACAAACCAACCAAATCAAAACCTATAAATAAACAACATCAATATAAATTTATAAGTAACCAAAACTAATAAGTCACCTGGGAAGGTCAAGAGCTTGAACACTGGGTTGTTGTAGGTTTTTTCGGGCTATATGGCCATGGTCTAGAGGCATTCTCTCCTGACGTTTCGCCTACATCTATGGCAAGCATCCTCAAAAGTAGTGAGATCTGTCTGACCTAGGAAAATTGGGTTTATATATCTGTGGAATGACCAGGTTGGAGCAGAGAACTCTTGTCTGTTGGAGCTAGGTGTGAATGTTTCAACTGACCACCTTGATTAGCATTTGATGGCCTGGTGTGGCTTGTTAGTGCCTGAGGAAATCTTTTGTTGAGAGGTGATTAGCTGTCCCTGATTGTTTCCTCTCTGTTGTTTTGCTGTTGTAATTTTAGAGTTTTTAAAACTGGTAGCCAGATTTTGTTCATTTTCATGGTTTCCTCCTTTCTGTTGAAATTGTCCACATGCTTGTGGATTTCAATGGCTTCTCTGTGTAGTCTGACATGGTGGTTGTTGGAGTGGTCCGGCATTTCTGTCTTCTCAAATAATATGTTGTGTCCAGGTTGGTTCATCAGGTGCTCTGCTATGGCTGACTTCTCTGGTTGAAGTAGTCTGCAGTGCCTTTCATGTTCCTTGATTCGTGTTTGGGCAATGCTGCGTTTGGTGGTCCCTATGTAGACTTGTCCACAGCTGCATGGTATACGGTAGACTCCTGCAGAAGTGAGAGGATCCCTCTTGTCCTTTGCTGAACGTAGCAGTTGTTGGATTTTCTTGGTGGGTCTGTATATAATTTTGTATGTTGTGTTTCCTCATCAGCTTCCCTATGCAGTTAGTGGTTCCCCTGATGTATGGCAAGAACACTTTTCCTTTGGGTGGATCTTCATCGTTACTCTCGTGGCTTGTTCTCAGTCTTGCAGCTCTTCTGATTTCTGACGTGGAGTATCCATTGGCCTGTAGAGCCCAGTTGAGGTGGTTCAGTTCATCTTGGAGGAGGTGGGGTTCACAGATTCTTTTTGCATTGTCTGCCAAGGCTTGAATGGTGCTTCTTTTTTGACTTGGACATTGAGCTTGAACATTGTTTCCATCCTAAATATCTCGGTGTCACCTTAGATAAAATACTAGCATATAGGAAACACTGCTTGAACACCAAGCACAAAGTAGCTGCACGCAATAATATCTAGCGGAAACTTACTGGCAGCACATGGGGTGCAGACCCAAAATTAGTAAGAACATCAGCCCATCAACTGCCGAGTATGCTTGCCCTGTTTGGCATAGGTCTGCCCATGGAAAGCAGGTGAACATAGCATTGACTGAAACGTGTAGAATAATCACAGGATGTCTTAAACTCTACAAGCTAGCTGGCATCCCCTCCGGATGTGCGATGGGAAGTTGCTGCTAAATGTGAGAGAAATAAGGTTGAACATTGTGAAAGCCACCCACTACATGGCTACCAGCCTCCTCCCAGTAGACTCAAATCAAGGAAAAGCTTTATTTATTTATTTATTTATTTATACGCTTGTATACCGCTAATATCTCAGCCTAAGTCGGCGACTCATTGCGGTTTACAACAATTAAAAACAGTATTCAATTTAAAACATAAAACACATATACAATACAAATTATTGGGCCACCAATAATAATCCCATGCATCTCGTAACTAAAATCACAGTCCAAAATTCGTCGTCCATGATTACCAGTCCTTTAGTCATCAATTCGTTGCAACGGATTAACCGAATGCTTGTTTAAACATCCATGTCTTCAATCTCTTCCGAAACACCATCAGCGAGGAGGCTGATCGTACCTCTATGGGAGGGTGTTCCAAAGCCGAGGGGCCACCACCGAAAAGGCCATGTCTCTCGTGCCCGCCAGCCGCACCTGTGAAGCAGGCGGGATAGAGAGCAGGGCCTCCCCAGAAGATCTTAGGGTCCTGGTGGGCTGATAGGCCGAGATACGTTCGGATAGGTAGGTTGGGCCAGAACCGTTTAGGGCTTTAAAGGGCAACGCCAGCACTTTGAATTGAGCCCGGTAGCATCGGCAGCCAGTGGAGCTGGTGCAGCAGAGGAGTTGTGTGCTCCCTGCGCCCCGCTCCTGTTAGTATCATGGCTGCCGCCCGTTGGACTAATTGGAGCTTCCGGGCTGTCTTCAAAGGCAACCCCCACGTAGAGAGCGTTGCAGTAGTCAAGGCGGGATGTAACCAGAGCGTGGACTACCGTGGCTAAGTCAGACTTCCCAAGGTACGGTCGCAGTTGGCGCACAAGTTTTAACTGTGCGAATGCTCCCCTGGTCACCGCCGAAACCTGGGGTTCCAGGCTCAGCGTTGAGTCCAGGATCACACCCAAACTGCGAACCTGCGTCTTCAGGGGGAGTGCGACCCCGTCTAACACAGGCTGTAACCCTATACCCTGTATTATGGGAACTACCACTCCTCTTGGCGTCCCCCTAGCAACTGCAAGGGTATCTCTTTGGTCAGCTAAACCAGGAAATCCCAACTGGATGGCCCCCCACGAGGGTCTTCTTCCAGGGGCAAACCAAGAATGGGCAAATTGGAAGTCCCTAAACAGACTCAGAAGCAGTGTGGGCAGATGAAAAGACAACCTGGCAAAATGGCACTACCTAATAGAATCCCACACTTTGTGTGACCGTGGAGCAGCACAGACAACTCCACATCTGTATGCTTGTCCACTATGCTCTGTCTCATGTACAGAGGAAGAATTGTTGGAATTGTGGGAGTTGAAGTCCAAAATGCCTGGAGGGCCCAAGTAGGTCCAGGGCTGGAGTATGAGATTTGTTACTGAACCCTGTGTCTCTTTTGAGGCCTCCTCCTGGCGTGCCTCCACCTCCCTTCCTCTCTCCCTTCCCTTTCCCCTCTCGCCTTCCTTGCCAGACCGATGCAAAAGGTTTGCTTGCTTCTTTACTTCTTCTGTCCCTCCGTCCATCCTTCTCCCTCTCCCTCCCTCCCTCTCTGAGGAGGCTCTAGAGCCATGATGGTGAACCTACGACACGTTTGTCAGCACTGACACACATGGCTATTTTTGATGACACATGGCCACATGCAGCCGCATACAGAGAAGTACACCTTATAAGAGCCAATCTAATTCCATCCTTAAATTTGTAAAAGGCTCTACAAATTTAACATCTGCATGTTTGAGCATTGTTCACTCCATAACTCAGCATGGAATATACATTTTTCTTATTTAAACTATAAATATTGCAAAATTACGTTTATTTTTCTCGAAGTTGACACCCCACCCAAGTTATGATCAGGTTTTTGGCCAATTTTGACACACCAAGCTCAAAAGGTTGCCCATCACTGCTCTAGAGGCTGCTTTTCAGAGCAGCTTTGCCGGGCTGTTCTGGCTTCTCGGCTTGGTTACCGAAGCAGAACGGCCAGCTGCTTTGGTACAGATGGCTGTTTGTTTCCTGCTCTCGTACAGAAGGGGGCGGGGCTAGGTTTTGCGCATGCGCGGCAAGGTATTTTTTATTTATTTATTTAAAAACATTAAAGCTATTTTCATGGTTTTGGGGTTTTTTTTCATCGTTGGTCATACCTTGCAGTATGAGACGTTTGGAGGCCAAATTTGATGTCAATTGGCCCCGTTGTTTGTTTGTTTTTAGGCTACTCGGGACGCACTGAACCTTTTTATATATTAAAATTATCATGATTCTTTATGGGTGGGAGATGGCAATTGATAGATGACCTATGTTCGGTATCTGAAAAACTAGAGCTGATAGGGGAAAACTGGTACCATTTTTGGAATTAGCACGTCAAATATACCCAGAAACAGAGCTAACATTTGAGGCACCAAAATGTGTTGGCCAGTGGAATTGAAGTGGCTGCCAATGTATGTGTGATGTATGTATGTCCCAGCAGCAACATGAACACAAACCAGAGCCCAGAGATGGGACAAACATCTGAAAGAAGTCAGAAAAGGACCTTGAGATAATTTATAGGAGAGATTTATTTGAAGAAATATTACAACATATAAAAACTACATAAAGTATTAATTTCCACTTGTACAAAGTGGTTGATTAAATTTCAATACAATGTATCATAAAAACATCCTGAACCCCCCTCCCCCCGACACACATACACACGCACACGCATGAAGTGGCAGGCACTGCACAATTTGATCACTTGGGAATGGTTATCTGGAACATCAAAACAGCGTCAGAATGTCAGCCGAGGAGACAAACACTGCTCACAAATACAGACTCTGAGAAAGAGCGAGACAGAGAGAGAGAACACACAAAAATCCTCCCCCTCCCCTCCCCAAAAACAAAGAGAGATCTCCAACAATTTTTAGCATGTCCAGAAGTATAAGAAAATAACCTGGAAATTAAAAAAGCAGAAGAAAATTCAAAATTATCAGTGCATGTTTGGGTGTTCAGGTGCGGTAACCAAGGTGCAGCAGATGACGAGCAATTTACAAATTAATCGGAAGTGTCCATTTTTTCCCGTTTGATGGTATCTGCAGAAAAATAAGATACAGCAGAAATATAAATCCCTGAGCGTATTATTCAGGCAGGCTTTTAAAGAAGGATTTTTCAAAAGATCAAGTCAGGAGGTGTTATTAATGGGTTTCAATTGGTTTTGAGGGGTTTAATTGTTTATTTTTAATACTGTTCATGTTCAATTCCATTTCAATGTTTGTATATTTTTAGGTTTAAATTGTATTGTATTTGTTTTTATTGTGAGCTGCTTTGAGTCTCCTTTTTAGAGAAAAAACAAGATACAAATCATCACCACCATCATTTCTCCAGCTCACATCCCTCTTCCAATGGGATGGGGAAGATAAGTCCAACAAGCACATAGAACACTCTACAAAAAACAGTATTTTTCCATTTGGAGTTGTAGGACAGGCAGACCTTTCTCACAACGTGCTCCCTCCACAGGTGGGGCACCCACTATTGTCTACAGCAGTGGTGGGTCTGTGGGTCCTCAGATATTTTGGCCTTCAACTTCCAGAAATACTAACAGTTGGCAAACTGGCTGGGATTTCTGGGAGTTGTAGGCCAAAACACCTGGGGACCCACAGGTTGAGAACCACTGATCCAGAGCGCCATGTGCCCTTTGCAACTAGGGTGGTGGATCTTGAAATGGCAATTTTACTGCAACTAATTTTACTGCAATTTTACTGCATCAGTATCAATTTTACTGCATTCATTTTCCGGTCCCAATTCAAGGTGCAGGTTCTTACCTACAAAGCCCTGAACGGTTTGGGACCCGCCTACCTGCGTGACCGCATTTCTGTGTACAAATCCACGCAATCTCATTGATCATCTGAAGAGGCCCTGCTCTCGCTCCCGCTCCCTTCGCAGGTGCGATTGGTGGGGACGAGAGAAAGGGCCTTCTCTATGGTGGCCCCCCGACTCTGGAACTCACTTCCCAAGGATATCAGGCAAGCCACCACATTGGCAGCCTTTAGGAGCCACATTGGCAGTTCCAGTGTGCCTTCCCTGAATAAGAAAATAATCCCCAGCAAAATGTCCTCAGAAGCACTTTAACTACTAGTTGGGTTGCTCTCCCTTCATTTCTTTTAAAACCCTCCTATCAGATAAATTTATTTATTTATTTATTTACTTTATTTCTATACCGCTTTTCCCAGCCCTCAGGCGACTCAAAGCGGTGAACAACAGCAATACAAAACATCATGAGACAAGTATAGGGCAATTAAAACAAAAATCATTAAACATCCGTATAACAATCATTAGCGCCTCAACAGTAAAATCAGAATCCAGTCTCATCATCCATTATTCTGTATTCCTATGTTCAATTACACTGTTTAATCAAATGCTTGTTCGAACAGCCAGGTCTTCACTTTCCTCCGAAATGCCAGCAGGGAGGGGGCCGATCTGATATCTGCAGGCAAGGCGTTCCACAGCCGAGGGGCCACCACTGAGAAAGTCCTGTCTCTCGTCCCCGCCAAGCGCGCCTGTGATGCAGGCGGGACAGAGAGCAGGGCCTCCCCAGATGATCTTAGTGTCCTAGCCGGTTCATAAGAGGAGATGCTTTCGGAGAGGTAAGTAGGGCCAGAACCGTTTAGGGCTTTATAGGCTCTCTAAATTGTGCCCGGTAGCAAACTGGCAGCCAGTGGAGCTGGCGCAGCAGAGGAGTAGTATGCTCCCTGAGTGCCGCTCCTGTTAGCAACCTGGCTGCCGAACGCTGGACCATTTGAAGCTTCCGAGCAGTCTTCAAAGGCAACCCCACATAGAGAGCGTTGCAGTAGTCTATATGGGATGTAACCAGAGTATGCGGCTCTCCAGATGCTATACATCCTACCTCTGTTCATGCCCAGCATTTTTTTAAAATTTTTAAATTATCACATTTGGCCCGGCCATAGGCTTTAAACCCTTGTGTGTTATTGTTTACATGTGAGCTATATTAATTGTATTGTTTTTGCTTATTGTTTTTTGTTTGATTGATGTGTTGTCGGGCTTGGCCTCATGTAAGCCGCTCCGAGTCCACTTGGGGAGATGGTTGTGGGGTATAAATAAAGTTTTATTATTATTTATTTATTATCAGCCTTAAACAAGTTAAGAAAGGTGTGATGGACCATGGGAGCTTTAGTTCAATAGCATCTGGAGAGCCACATACTCCTCATCCCTGGTTTAAAGCCTGGAATGAAATAATAGAGAGTGGCCAGTGTATTTCCATACTGGTAGATGTTTGGACAGAATCCTGAGTGGGCTGTTTGGAAGTGACATTCCCCAAGAACACATGCTACAGTGCTACACAATTCACAATGGCAGTGAGAGAAAAGTAGTCTGTCAGGCATTTCGAACTACAGCGCCCCCAAGTCCTCTTGATGGTACTCCATAAAACATACCTGTCGCATCCTCTTTTATTTTGGCCAACACACATGATTTGATCTCTAGTCCAATGGCTTTTGCCAGAGGTGGAGGCACTGCATTACCCACCTGCAAAAGCAAAGGAGAAGAAAAAGTTGTAATAACAGAACCACTAATGATGAACACTGCCTCCAAAAGAAGTCAAGCTAGCTTCCTCATTCATTTTTTACTTAATGATAGTGGAGCCCTGATATATCTCTAAAGTCAAGTTTGTTGAGCTTCAACAGTCAGCAAAGCACCCTCAAAATAGCAGGGGATTGCAATGAGGATAGAGGTTATGACAACTTATTGGGAAAACTATTTAAAAGAACACTCAAGGGTCAATGAGACATAAAAACTGGGATCAACTGTGAAGCTCCAAACATTTCTGGCTTACCAATTGCAGCAGGCCAAATTAGCACAGCCAATGGTGAAATATTATGGGAAATGACACACGACGTTTGAAGGATCAATTTGCCCACTTAGGCTCTATAATATTGTTTTAGAAGTGTGATGTCCCAGAAAAGAGATGCATTAAGAGACACTGCAAAAACATACCTGTCTGTGCTTGTCAAGCACATTTCCAAACAGCCTGTAGGTGTCTGGGAATCCCTGGGACCTCGCACACTCCCTGACGCTTACCACTCGATGTTGTTCGGGATGAAGCACACGGCCCTGCAGAAGAGAGGACAAGATGCTTTTTTTCAGAAAGGATATGCAAGGCTAATCTTATACTTATTTATTTATTTAAAACATTTATATTCCGCCCTTCTCATCCCGCAGGGGACTCTGGGCAGAGCAAAACATATATACGGCAAACATTCAATGCCGGGACATAAAACCATAAATATATACAAGCATTAAAATCACTTATATTCACATTAAAAGTTGCTTTAAAACAGTGGTTCTCAACCTTCCTCATGCTGTGACCCCTTAACACAATTCAACATGCTATGGTGACCCCCAAGCATAAAATTATTTTCCTTCCTACTTCAAAACTGTCATTTTGCTACTGTTATGAATTGTAACGTAAATATCTGATATGCAGGATGAATTCTCATTCACTGGACCAAATTTGGCCCAAATATCCGAATGCTCAAATTGGAATACTGGTGGGATTGGGGGGTTGATTTTGTCATTTGGGAGTTGTAGTTGCTGGGATTTATAGTTCACCTGCAATCAAAGAGCATTCTGAACTCTACAAGTGATGGAATTGGGACAAACTTGGCACACAGAATTCCCATGACCAACGGAAAATACTGGAAGGGTTTGGTGGGCATTGACCTTGAGTTTTGGAGTTGTAGTTCACCTATATCCAGAGAGTGCTGTGCACTCAAACAATGATGGATCCAGACTAATACTCAATATGCCCAAATGTGAACACTGGTGGAGTTTGGGGAAAATAAATATTGATATTTTGGGAGTTGTAGTTGCTGGGATTTATAGCTCACCTATAATCAAAGAGCATTCTGAACTCCACCAACGACGGAATTGGGCCAAACTTCCCACACAGAACCCCCATGACCAACAGAAAATACTGTGTTTTCTAGTGGTCTTTAGTGACCCCTCTGACACTCGCTCATGACCCCACCCCGAGGTTGAGAACCACTGCTTTAAAACCACAATAGTGAATATTAGTGAGCAATCTACCCAAAGGCTATGATGCCTTCCTTCTCCTTTAAAGGACCGAGTTCACATTATTATTATTATTATTATTATTATTATTATTATTACATTTGCCCTTTGAGGGAAAAACCCAATCCAAACCTGTTCATAGTACCCTATATACTCGAGTATAAGCCGACCCAAATATAAGCCGAGACACCTAATTTTACCACAAGAAACTGGGAAAATGTATTGACTCGAGTATAAGCCGAGGGTGGGAAATGCAGCAGCTACTGGTAAATTTCAAAATAAAAATAGATACCAATAAAACTATCTTAATTTGTGCATCAGTAGGTTAAATGTTTTTGAATATTTACATAAAACTGTAATTCAAGATAACACTGTTCAACTCTGATTAAACCATTATTCTAACCTTCTTCAATGTAAATATGCTTACATGTCCTCCAACAATAATAAATAATAATAGAATAAAATAATAAACGTAGTAATAACAATACAGTAAAATAATAATTGTAACAATAACAATAATCGAGTAAAATAATAAATGTGGTAATAACAATAAAATAATAAATGTAATAATAATAACAACAACAACAAAGTAAAATAATAAATAATATTGACTAGAGTATAAGCCGGGGGAGACTTTTTCAGCCTAAAAAAGGACTGAAAAACTAGGCTTATACTCAAGTATATACAGTATATAAAATATCAAGAAACTTTTTAAAATTTAGAGTAGCACAGCAACACAAAAAGCTTATTGGGTCCACATTTAAAAAGCAGAGACAAAAAGTATCCATGTTCAGTTGGAAAAAGAAAAATAAGAGATGGGTAATAACTTTATTTGGACCATTAAACTGTTACAAAAGCCCTGTAAAGAGAGTGTGGGCTTTCTAATTGTCCAGAACTCTTTACAGAGCAAGATGGCACAAAATGAAGGTGTAAGAGGAAAATAAACAAATCAAAAAATGCCCTGCTGCATTTGTAATTGTAATTCGTATTTTATTTTATTGTAATTTGTTAATTGGGTCTGGCCTCATGTAAGCTGGCCTGTGTCCCCGTTGGGGGAGATGCTGGCGGGGTATAAATAAAGATGATGGTGATGATGATTATTATTGGTGAGAATGCCTCTGCAGGTATATAGTGGGAGGCTGTAATCTTGGTGAATAAAACTTTCCATCTCTTTTAATCAGGCTGAGAATCAGGACTTGCCTACACATGACAGACTTACTCATGTACAACTGGCCCAGGACAGTTCCAGATCCAACACATATATGATGAATCTGGGGCTACTGTCCAGACTGACTAGGACCATATTGGCCTTGCTGTCACCTCCTTTGTATCACTATTACCCCAGCTGGACATGGTGCTCCCTTCAAGTGTCTGCATCTGCTGATGTCAAACTGGGACCCCACTGATGATTGTGCAGGTATTTATTTTGACATTAGATGAGACTAGGTGCTCAGACAGACCATCCCATTTCCCTGTGCTGATCAGCAAAGGCTGATGGTGGCAATCTCTGCCAGTGATCAGAGCAAACAGAACTAAATCCAGCTGTCCAGGCTGCCACAAAGCTCTGGGATATTCTGAAGTTTCAACCAAACTCTGGGGTATCCCCTGATTTTGTTTTAAAGCCAGACAAAGTCAGTTTAAAGCCAAAACACACAGGATGCTCACTGGAAGCCACTGTGCATTATGAAGACTGTCATAAATAAACCTTCATACACCTATGGTGGAAATGTAAAAATTTTTTAGTCTTTTGGCAGTCGATACACAAGAAGATCGAAGCAATTTTGCAAATAAGTTTCGAGCTCAAACCAGAATATTTTTTACTAGGCTTAACGGACTCTGAAATGGACAAGAACACAAACAGAATCTCAATTTATCTAATAACAGCAGCCAGGATTAAGTTGGCACAGTTATGGAAAACTAAAGAAATACCGACAATTGAAAACTGGCTATTGAAAGTTTGGGATATAATGAATATGGACTTGCTAACGCAAAAATTAACTGACAATAATATGCAAAGACAAAAAACAAACTGGGAGAAAATTGTTGATTTTATTAGAAAAGACAATGTAGAACTTCATATTCAGGCAATATGAGAAAGTATCAAAGGCTAAAGTACTAAGTGCAATTAGATTGAAGTTAGATAGGAAATTTAACAATAACCTAACCTAAACAACCTAAAGCAACCTGGAAGTTACATGTAACTTTTTATTGCCCCCCCCACCCCGCTTTTTAAATTTTATTTTGTTATTACTGCCTTTTTTCAACTCCCCACTCGCCAACCACCATCTCTTTTCTTTCCTACTTTCCTTCTCACGTTGTTCCCACACTTTTGATGTAAACCTATCATGATTTTACAAACTTTCTTCATGCTCCAAACTCTCGGAGCCAAATTATTCTTAATAAACATAAGTTAAAAAAAAAAAACTGTCAGCGGTTAATTTGCTGTGAATACGTGTGTTTTTTGCCCTCAGTGAGCTGCTCAGTATTTTTTTCTAAAGCTCACTCACTCCTAAGATGGTTAGGGTGGTTAGCAAAGAGGGAAAGTCAAAATGAGGAGATGCACAATATTTTTAAAAAGTCAATTGAAGCTAAGCTGTGTTATCTATTGCTCTGGGGTTGTTGTGGTTCAGTCCCACAAAGGCTCTTAAAAATGACAAAGGCTGCCATATCTCCCAGCACTGAGCAGACCCTTGTCTCTCTGAGGCAGGGAATCCTACAGGGCCGGCCAGAGAGGCCACCACTGAAAAATCCCTGCTCCAAGCCTCAGGGAACAGTTCAGCATACAAAGCAAATCAGCAGACAAATTACACCCTCATCTGTGGCACCTACTGGATTCAATTACCTGTTTCCCCATGGGTTCTGGGTTGGTGACCGTTGTGCTGAAGAAGCCGTCCCACTCTAATCTTCCATACAAACCAGCCCAGTGGTTATGCCGGTTCCCCGTGTGGGGCAGACACCAAGGAATCAGGGTGTTGAACTGCCGGTCTGCAGGATCACATGCCTTGCCTGGTGGGGAGAATGGAATTCAGCAAGCCTTCATTCATGGCTATGGTGGCATTTAAAAAGTAATGTATTGGCATTATTTTGCCATAAACCTTCAAAACAATATTTGGGATAGGGAAGGAGGAGAGTAATGCAATTCCATTCAAAGGACCATTCTGACCCCATTGCTGTTTATCAGGTTCCCAGTGGATGCTGCCATTGTTGTGCTTAAGAGAGAGGCTAGGTTTAATGTCAGATATATGTAGGGTAGTATCATTTTGGCCAAATTCATCAGATTTTAGGTATCAAAAGTTCAAACATTCTTGTCTGGACCAGTTTTTTATTTTTAATTCTCTGGCTGTTGATTTATTTTTTGATTTATTGTCTTCATTGTGAGATTGTGTGCAAGGCTCACTTGGTTTACTGATCAATTTTCCCGCCATTCTTCGTAGCGGTGTTTGTTCACTTGAGGTTATTGTGTTTGGATTACTGGGGCCAGTCTGTTTTTCTGAGTTGAAAAAAGAATCTATTTTCCTCTGCCGCATCTTTTGGAATTTAAGGCGGTTTTCACTAGGACTGTTGGCAGTTTTGGTTACTCTTGATATTTCCTGGCTGGGTGTTGGGATTTGTACTGCAGGCGCCAGGGGTGTTGGTAAATTTGCAGGACTATTTAGTGCAGGGGTCCTCAAACTCTTTAAACAGAGGGCCAGGTCACAGTCCCTCAACCTGTTGGAGGGCTGGATTATAATTTGAAAAAACCATGAATGAATTCCTATGCACACTGCACATATCTTATTTGTAGTGCAAAAACACTTAAAAGCAATACAATAATTCAAATGATGAAGCATTTTAACAAATATAAAGTTATTAATATTTCAATGGGAAGTGTGGGCCTACTTTTGGCTGATTATATAGGATTGTTGTTGTTGTTGTTGTTGTTGTTGTGTGCTTTCAAATCGTTTCAAACTTAGGTTAACCCTGAGCAAAGACCAGGTAAATGACCTTGGAGGGCCATAACTGGCCCCCGGGCCTTAGTCTGAGGACCCCTGGTTTAGTGTATTAAGTAAGTCACCTAAGCGTTTAGTTATTATTGTTTGCACTTCAGGAGCTCAGATAACAAATTATTGACAAGACCAGTGACAGCCACAAGATGGTTTGGCTAATTATTGAGGGAAAGCAGACAGCTACAATAGGTGCAGCTATTCTAGATAACTAATAGAAATAGATATGGAATTTTGAAGTTTGTGTTCAGTTTTCTACTTTTCTCCTCTCTCTGACTCTACAAAACATGAATATCAACATTGGTAAAGCTTAAGAATTGCTCATCCTAAAAATTAAAGGTTGTTTTTAATTAACTTGCGATATTTCACATTTCCTTTGAACACATTTATTAATTATTAATTTTTATTAATAATTTATTAATTTGAACACATTTATTAATGAGAACCAACGTAGTGCAGTAGTTCGATAGTTGAACTACAATGTTGGAGATCAGAGTTCAATTCTTTGATTTGAAATGGAAACTTATTGGGTGAGTCACACACTCAGCTCCAGAAAACCCCATGATACCATTGCCATAAGTCATAAATGATTTATTTATTTATTTAAGGCATTTGCATGCCGCCCTTCTCACCCCGAAGGGGACTCAGAGCGGCTTACAATATATATTTTCATACAATATATTATATTATTAGCATAGTACAATATCAGTATTATATATTACTATAAGCTGAATCTATTTATTTATTTATTTATTGCGGTTGCTTATACCCCGCCCTTCTCACCCGGGGGGACTCAGGGCGGCTTACACACACAAGGCACAATTCAATGCCTGTATTACAAAAACATAATATCAAAAACATAACATCAGTAACAACAGTAATTATAACACTGATAACAATTAACGTAAACAATCAATATTATCGGCAGGAATAGCCATAAACCCGTAAAAACAATTAAAACAATAAAAACAATACAAACCTCATTGCTGGTCAGTGTTTAACCGACTCATAGTTAGGTTCTACTTTCCACACATTGTTGGTCCTATCATTCTGGTTCCATGTCTAATTGTCAGGGTGCCCAAAGGCCTGGTCCCAGAGCCAGGTCTTTACCTTCCTCCTGAAGGCAAGGAGGGAAGTTGAAGCCCTGATTTCCCCCGGGAGTGAGTTCCACAGATGGGGGGCCACCACTGAGAAGGCCCTGCTCCTCGTCCCCACCAGCCTCACTTGTGATAGCGGTGGGGTCGTGAGCAGGGCCTCCCCAGATGATCTCAGATTCCGAGATGGGACGTAGAGGGAGATACGTTCGGACAGATACGCTGGACCGGAACCGTAAAGAGTTTTGTAGGTCAAAACCAGCACCTTGCCGGAACCGTAAAGGGTTTTTTAGGTCAAAACCAGCACCTTGAATTGTGCTCATAACTGAATCGGCAGCCAGTGGAGCTGACACAACAGGGGGGTGGTGTGTTCCCTGTATGACGCTCCAGTAAGCAGTCTAGCTGCCGCTCGTTGGACCAGTTGGAGTTTCCGAACAGTCTTCAAGGGCAACCCCACGTAGAGTGCGTTGCAGTAGTCTATACGGGATGTGACAAGAGCGTGGACCACTGTGGCCAGATCAGACTTCCCGAGGTACAGGCGCAACTGGTGCACAAGTTTTATTGCGCAAAAGCTCTCCCGGCCACCGCTGAGACCTGGGGTTCCAGGCTCAGCGATGAGTCCAGGATCACTCCCAAGCTGCGAACCTGCGACTTCAGGGGGAGTGGAACCCCATCCAGTACAGGCTGTAACCCTATACCCTGTTCGGCCTTACGAACGACCAGTAGGACTTCTGTCTTGTCTGGATTCAGTTTCAATTTGTTAGCTCTCATCCAGTCCGACACAGCAGCTAAACACAGATTCAAGGTCTGGACAGCCTCCTTGGTGACAGGAGGAAAGGAGTGACAGATCTGAACATCATCCGCGTAGAGATAACATTTCAGTCCGAAACTCCGAATGATCTCCCCCAGCGGCTTCATGTAGATGTTAAACAACATTGGGGACAGAATTGAACCCTGAGGGACTCCACATGACAACGGCTGTGGAGCCGAACAGGTGTCACCCAGCAACACCTTCTGGGACCGTCCCTCAAGAAAGGACCGGAGCCACTGCAAAGCAGTACCCCCAAGTCCCATCTCTGTGAGGCGTCCCAGAAGAATACCGTGATCGACGGTATCGAAGGCCGCTGAGAGGTCCAGCAGAACTAACAGGGACACACTCCCCCTGTCTAGCTCCCTGCGCAGATCATCTACCAAGGCGACCAAGGCTGTTTCCGTTCCATGGAAGTCAGACTGTGCCGGATCTAGATAATCAGTGTCTACCAGAAATCCCTGGAGTTGTGTTGCCACCACACGTTCCATGACTTTGCCCAAATAGGGGAGATTGGAAACTGGCCGATAGTTGTCTAATTGAGTGGGGTCCAGTGATGGTTTTTTCAACAGCGGTTATTATTAGTAATATTACATGTAATGTAAATATATAATTATAATTATAATATTGAATTATTATTACTAGTATTATATTGTATTTGAAAGCATCCAGCAACAAAATAGTGTCAAAAACAGAGATATAATATTTCATCATTTAACGTAGAATTCTTTCAATGTGTTGATTTTTATACTTAAACCTTCTATGCTTTATTATTTATTTAATCTGTTATATTACATTATGTTTAATGGTTCTCATATTATTCCCACTAGCTGCCTTGAACTCTGCTTGATAGAAAGGTGAACCACAAAACTAAAAACATGATATTAGCATTCGAGAACTGACAAGAGAACCTCCCAAAGTTTTGGTTTCTTAAGAGTTGAAGAAACAAGGCACAGTGAAGCCCCTTTTACATAACCTGTCCCAAGAAACTCCTCCTTCGGGCACATCCATTATCTTGTACCTTCAGCGCAGGAACACACCCCTCGCAGGGCTCCTGTGCTGCTCCTCCCATTTTTCTTTTCATGGTGCGTGTAGCGCAGCTTGCGGGTGGTGATGCCGTCCGAGAGGCGCACTTCGATGTTAGGCAGATCGCGCCAATCTGAGCCTGGGGCCAATGGAATGTGTCTCATCCGAGCTGCTACCAGTGCACTCATATCCTAGGAAGGCAAAGTCCAGTTACTATCAGCCCCTCATCAGCAGTACCTACTCCATGCCCTTTCTATTCCCCCACTTCTTCACCTTGCAGATATGATCCCTGAGGATGGGCTGATACTGGGAACCCCGGATTTGCCTCTGGAACCAGGATTGTGGCTCTCCGTTGTAGGAAATTTCAAGTGCTGACGCTCCATTCCTGATCTCAGGAAGATCAGACATGGTGTCCCGGACTGTGATGGTTCGGAATGGGCCCGAGTACGTCCTAGAAAACAGCCAAACAATTATGTTCATATCTCAGGTCAGGCATAGGACAACCCAATACCCCACTTCCTACCATCCAGAAAGTCTAGTTCAGTAATAGCCTTGCACAATATTTTTGAGTTGACAAAACGGAGATGTTCTGAATCGAAACACTGTGTTTCTTCATCAATTATAATAATTTTGGAGCCCCCGGTGGCGCAGTGGGTTAAACCCCTGTGCCGGCAGGACAGAAGACTGACATAGGTTTGAATCCAGGGAGAGCGCAGATGAGTTCCCTCTATCAGCTCCAGCTCATCATGCAGGGACATGAGAGAAGCCTCCCACAAGGATGGTAACACATCAAAACATCTGGGTGTCCCCTTGGCAACATCCTTGCAGACGGCCAATTCTCTCACACCAGAAGCAACTTGCAGCTCAAGTCGCTCCTGACATGACAAAATAATAATAATAATAATAATAATAATAATAATAATAATTTTGACCCCTAAGTTGGGGGATAGTGACTCCCCTACCTGGTAAAAACAGTCACTACCAAAACAAAGGTTCATTTCCCCCCAGAATTTTTTAAAAAAGTATTACAGATGTGGTTGGTGGCTCTCATATCAATGGGGCAGTGATTTCACTTTAGGTTGTCCTAAAGACTTTAACAGAACTTTCCAAGGTGTTGAACTTTATTCCTAAATACTTTCAGAACCTTGGATACCTTCTTCAAAGCTAACCAAAACCAGGTATAAATTTGTGGTGTACCAATATGCATTATTGTTGCTGATCTGGATGAGGCCACAGCTCAGTTGGGGACAAAGCAAGTGAAATGTAAAAAGGCTCTGCAAGCCTTTCCTGCCCTCCATTTTTAGTGTTACACCCTTGTATTGGGATTCAGATTGTGATCCACAGGATTTCATAATGTAAACAGAACAGAACTCGGATACGGATATCTATATAAATAAAAATGTAATGTTCGTTTGTGGGATTAACATAACTCAAAAACCACGGGACAAATTGACACCAAATTTGGACACAATACATCTATCAGGCCAACGAGTGTCCATCACCCCTAAAAACACACAAAAAACCCAGCAGAACGGATTTAACCCCCCCCCCCAAATAAACTATATATACATATACACATACACTCATATACATATACACATTCACACATACATACAGGCACACACACACATATATATTCACAAGCACGCACAAATATACACATACACACATACATGCACACATACACATATATTTACATATACACATGCACACATACACACTATATATACACAAGCACACACATATACTCAATATACATATACACATATAAACACAGAAATACACAAATATATACACACGTATACACACATATATACACACACATATGCACACACACATATACCTATCTATATCTATCTTTCTATCTATCGATCTATCTATGCAAACACACATATATACACATATACACAAAAATATACACACACATAAACACATATATGCACACACAAAACATATACACAGACTGGGCCACAGCAATGCGTGGCAGGGGACAGCTAGTTTAGTATAAACCTGTAAATCTATTGAAAATATGCCTTAAAGGGACAAATGAAAGCAAACAATTTAGGTAAGAGATCAATACAGTGCCATGCATGCTGACACAGAAGGAAGGTTGGAACTATAGCTTTAATTCAAACAATAGCTGCCAGTGCCACTGTGCTGAAAAACTGGGTGTAACCTGGTATTATTTGTAGAGGCTGGAAGAGCTCCCTTCTTGAACTAGAATTAGAATAACAGAAACTTAAGGGATGAAGGGGATCACAAGGGCCACCTAGTCCTGGCCTCTGCCATGCAAGGATACATGATTAAAGCACACTCAAAAGATGGGCATCCAACCTGTGTTCAAATGCCTCCATAGGAGGAGAGTCCATCATCTGTTACACCAAGTTTTTCCTAACATGTAGGTGGAATTTATTTTCTCATTGTCCAAAAAATGATTTCAAAAATAATCTATATAAATAAAAATGTAATGTTTGTTTGTGGGATTAACATAACTCTAAAACCCAAGTATTTTATTTTTGTCCTCCCCATACCTATTTCTGTTATATTATCAATTTCTCTTTTTTCTTTTTTGTTTACCTCAAAATACATAATTTCTGATTTTTTAAATATTTACCCCCAATCCAGTATTTTTTTCAAAATCTGTTAATATAATTTTTAATTCTCTTATTAAAGGTTGGGATAAAACCATCATAATATCATCAGCATACAGATTTGATTTAATTTCCCCTCCTTCAGCAAATTTATAACCTTCAATCCTTGGACACAATACACCTATCAGGCCAACGAGTGACCATCACTCATAAAAGCACTGAAAAATGCAGCGGAAGAGACTTAAAAAGCCAAAAAACAAGAATACAGCACAATGCATGCGCAAAACCACACACACACACACACACACACACACATACACAAACAGACATATGTCGCAGGTTCGAATACGGGTAGTGGAATGAGGTCCCACTGTTAGCCCCAGCTTCTGCCAACCCAGCAGTTCTAAAACATGTAAATGTGAGTAGATCAATAGGTACTGCTCTGGCACAAAGGTAACAGTGCTCCATGCAGTCATGCCAGCCACATGACCTTGGAGGTGTCTATGGACAACACTGGCTCTTCAGCTTAGAAATTGAGAAGAGCACCAGAGTCGGACACGACTGGACATAATGTCAGAGGAAAACCTTTACCCTACACAAATATATACACACACAAAACACATATGTACAGACTGGGCCACAGCAACACGTGGCAGGGGGACAGCTAGTAATATAATAATAATCTGCCCACTGGAATCCGCCCACCACCTACTAAACTAATTACCTTGTTATATTACTAACAAACTTCTTGTCATCCACCACCACACTGAGCTGGCAGGCTCGGGGCGCAAAGACATGCAAGGGTTCAGGGAACATGGGGAGCTTCTCCCCAGGAGCTGCAGCCAGAACAATGGCTCTCCTGCGTGTCTGGGCAACACCGTACTGACCAGCCTGGAAAGAGACAGAAGATGGAGCTGTAGGTATCATCCCAAGGAACATCAATAAACATCATAACTTCAAGTTTTCATTTTGCATTCTATATGTTTCCCATTCTCACCACCGCCACAACCAGCGGATCAAAGTACTGACAATATTAAAATGATTTAAAACTATGCTTTAAAACAAGGGTCCTAAAACTAAGGCCCGGGGGCCAGATGCGGCCCTCCAAGGTCATTTACCTGGCCCTCGCTCAGGGTCAACCTAAGTCTGGAACGGCTCAAAAGCACACAACAACAACAACAACCCTATCTCATCAGCCAAAAGCAGGCCCACACTTCCCATTGAAATACTAATAAATTTATATTTGTTAAAATTGTTCTTCATTTTAATTATTGTATTGTTTCTAAGTGGCTTTTGCACTAGAAATATGGTATGTGCAGTGTGCATAGGAATTCCTTCATTTTTTTCAAATTATAATCCGGCCCTCCAACAGTTTGAGGGACTGTGACCTGGCCCTCTGTTTAAAAAGTTTGAGGACCGCTGCTTTAAAAGATAAAATGCCATTAAAAAGATAAAATAGCTTAGGCTAAAACTGTACAGCACCTCAACCCATTCTTTTAAATTGCCCAATATAATCTGTTACAATCTATTCCTGTTCTCTGTTTAGCACCTGGAAACAAATTCAAAGTTGAAGAGGAAATGAGCCAAGCAGGCCATATATTCTGAACTTGGAGCTCCATACTTGTTAAAAAATGGCAGAAAAATAGCAGAGTAACTGCAAGGATGCCGAGATTAAAGCTATGGCATTTAACTAAACCAAATTTAATTGGAAGAGTAAACAGCACAGATGTTACCCCATCTACAAAATGTGCTTTTAAAAAAAGCAAATGAACAAATGAATTTCAGGAGAGTGAGGAGTGGAACCGTAACATCAAAGAAGGAACTACTTAATGGTTCTCAACCTGGGGTCCCCAGATGTTTTTGGCCTTCAATTCCCAGAAATCCTAAACTGGCTGGGATTTCTGGGAGTTGTAGGCCAAAAACATCTGGGGACCCCAGGTTGAGAACCACTGACTTAGAGTGTATAGATTTGAAGGCTAAATCCTATAATCCAGTGTTTCTCAACTTTCCTAATGCCGCGACCCCTTAATACAGTTCCTGATGTTGTGTTGACCCCCCCCCCCAACCATAACATTATTTTTGTTGCTACTTCATAACTGTAATTTTGCTACTGTTATAAATCGTAATGTAAGTATCCGATATGCAGGATGTACATATTTTCACTCACTGGACAAAATTTGGCACAAATTCCCAATACACCCAAATTTGAATACTGGTGGGGTTGGAGGGAATTGATTTTGTCATTTGGGAGTTGTAGTTGCTGGGATTTATAGTTACAATCAAAGAGCATTCTGAACTGCACCAATGATGGAAATGAATCAAACTTGGCACACAGAAAACAATGGAAGGGTTTGGTGAGCATTGACCTTGACTTTTGGAGTTGTAGTTCTCCTAAATCCACTGTGGACGCAAACAATGATGAATCTGGACCAAACTTGGCATGAATACTCAATATGTCCAAATGTGTATACTGGTGGAGTCTGAGGGAAATAGACCTTGACATTTCGGAGTCATAGTTGCTGGGATTTATAGTTCACCCACAATGAAACAGCATTCTGAACCTCACCAATGATAGAATTGGACCAAACTTCCCACACAGAACCCCCATGACCAACAGAAAATACTGTGTTTTCTGATGGTCTTTCGCGACTCCTCTGACACCCCCTCACGACCCCCCCAGTGGTCCCGACCCCCAGGTTGAGAAACACTGCTATAATCAATGGTTAATGGTAAAATCACCATTGGCACAGCCATTGTCTTGTTTCAAGAGCTGCTTTCACTCAGCAAGCATACTCCCTTCTGAGCATAGAGGTGCATTTTTAATCTTTACAGCTAAAAGCTATTGGTGTAGAGGCTGTACCTGCAGCACCCCAAAAGTGCACTGGTATCCCATCCGGACAAGGCACCGCAGAGTGAGCTTTAACACCATGGAGCGCTTAAAGGAGACGAAGTTCCTCACGTTCTCAAGAAGGAAGAACCTCGGCCTGTAGTAGTCACAGTAGCTATAGGACAAGAGACATTGGGAGATCAGCTGTGTTGTTTCCCCACTGGACAAAGTTCATGCTGGAAGCATAGATGGAATATTTCTCTAAGCTTTTTCTATGTCCTCCGCAGCAATTCTATGGAACATTTCAGCCAAAAGTTCAAGATACTGGTCATTACAGGGAAGAAAATCAGGCTTCCAGATATTGTGAAAATCACCTTACACAATTGGTCCTGGAATTGATATTTCATGTATTACACAGTCCTACTACAATAAAATCTATATAAATAAAAATGTAATGTTTGTTTGTGGGATTAACAGAACTCAAAAACCAGTGGGCGAATTGACACCACATTTGGACAGCATACACCCAACAACCCAATGTATGTCCTTCACTCAAAATTTTTTGATTTTGTCATTTGGGAGTTGTAGTTGCTGGGATTTATAGTTCACCTACAATCAAAGAGCATTCTGAACTCCACCAATGATGGAACTGAACCAAAGGTGACACACAGGACTCCCATGACCAACAGAAAACACTAGAAGGGTTGATGGGCATTGACCTTGAGTTTGGGAGTTGTAGTTCACCCACATCCAGAGAGCACTGTGGACTCAAACAATGATGGATCTGGACCAAACTTGGCACGAATATTCCATATGCCCAAATATGAACACAGATGGAGCTTAAGGGAAATAGACCTTGACATTTGGGAGCTGTAGTTGCTGGGATTTATAATTCAACTACAATCAAAGAGCATTCTGAACTCCACCGATGGAACTGAACCAAAGATGACACACGGGACTCCCATGACCAACAGAAAACACTAGAAGGGTTTGGTGGTCATTGACCTTGAGTTTGGGAGTTGTGGTTCACCTACATCCAGAGAGCACTGTGGACTCAAACAATGATGGATCTGGACCAAACTTGGCACAAATATTCCATATGCCCAAATATGAACACAGATGGAGCTAGGGGGAAATAGACCTTGACATTTGGGAGTTGTAGTTACTGGGATTTATAGTTCACCTACAATAAAATAGCATTGTGAACCCCAACGTCGACAGAATTAGGGAAAACTTCCCACCCAGAACCCCCATGGCCAACAGAAAATACTTAAGGCCATTCTGTCCAAATCCCTTCACCAGGGAAAAAAAACATAATCAAAGCCCTCCTGACAAATAGCCATCCAACCATAGATATAGATAGATATATATGATTCACACACACACACAAATATAGTATTATAGATTTGAAAGGGACCCCTAAAGAAGGACAATGACATGTTGCCTGTTCCAGAGTAGGCAAACCAGGCAATCTCCACATCAACACTGACAAAGAAACAGCAAGAAATACTATTTACCAACAAGCACCATGACATTACATATATTAGAAAGAAACATTTTCTCATTACTTTATTTTCCATATCACCAGACTGGGCCACAGCAATGTGTGGCAGGGGATGGCTAGTGTCAAATAAATCTGTTATCTCCCTCTCCTCCCTCCACCCAGCTTTTTCAAATCGACTGTGATTCTGAGGTAAAAATTGATTTCCACACATTTTACATTATTTCCCTTCTGTCGATTGGAAGAACATACACCGTTCAGAGTCAGCTATTAGTAAGAACAGCAGAGAGAGAGAGCCAATGTGCATTAACTCCAGTCACCTGAGGAAAGAGACCACCAGGGAGTTCTTGAACTTTGAGTAAGTGCGGGAATTGAAGCGGTTCATCCCGCTGAAGCCTTGGCAAGGGGGCCCACCGCACAGCATTTCCACATCACCCTTCTGGGGCAGCTTCTGGCCCAAGGAGTTGGTCTTCTCCCCAGACATGACCAGTTTCAGCAAGACGTTGCAGTCCTCCGTGAACACCGTGGTGCCTGGGTTGTTCAGGCGGAAGGCCTGGGCAGCTGGTTCCCACATCTCAATGGCCCACAGAGTCTCTGTGACTTCTGATATTGGAAGAAACAGAAAGGGGGGGGGGGGAAACAGCAGGGTGAACTTTGTGCTGGATGCATCACTTCCAAGATTAAAAGAAATTACAAGGAGCCCCCTCATATCATAAATTGATATTTCCCCGAAGTTCTTTTTAATCGCAGATCCCCTGGTGGCACAATAGGTTAAACCAGGGGTCCTCAAACTATGGCCCGGGGGCCGGATATGGCCCTCCAAGGTCATTCACCCAGCCTTCACTCAAGGTCAACCTAAGTCTGAACAACTTGAAAGCACACAACAATAACAACAACTCTATCTCATCAGGCCCACACTTCCCATTGAAATACTAATAAGTTTATATTAGTTAAAATTGTTCTTCATTTTAATTTTTATATTGTTTTTAAGTGTTTTTTGCACTACAAATAAGATATGTGCAGTGTACATAGAAATTCATTCTTTTTTTTTTTTTCAAATTATATCCAGCCCTCCAACAGTTTGAGGGTCTGTGACCTGGCCCTCTGTTTAAAATGTTTGAGGACCCCTGGGTTAAACTGACTGCTGACTGAAAGGTTGGCAGTTTGAATCTGGTGAGCGGGGTGAGCTCCCGTCTGTCAGCTCCAGCTTCTCATGAGGGGGTGTGAGAAAAGCCTCCCACAGATGGAAATACATCCTGTGGCAACGTACTTGCAGGCGGCCAATTCTCTCACACCAGAAGCGACAAGTCGCTCCTGACACACACACATACACAAAAAAATCACATGACTGGATTTTTTTTTGTCATGTCAGGAGCGACTTGAGAAACTGCAAGTCGCTTCTAGTGTGAGATAATTGGCCGTCTGCAAGGACGTTGCCCAGGGGATGCCTGGATGATTTGATGTTTTTATCATCCTTGTGGGAGGCTTCTCTCATGTCCCCGCATGAGGAGCTGGAGCTGATAGAGGGAGCTCATCCGCCTCTCCCTGGATTCAAACCTGCGACCTGTCAGTCTTCAGTCCTGCCGGCACAGGGATTTAACCCACACATGACTGGATGTTTCAAGGGAAGCCCTCCTGCCCCAAAGCTCCTGGAGTCTGTCAGAAGGGAAGCTGACTTATTTCTCTCCTTCTCCTGCTTCTCTGCACTGGGAAAAGTGAGAAGCAGTGAAGAAACCTGTGCTTGCAGCTAGCTGACACTGTTTCATTTCTATTCCTCCTATACTAAAATCCACTCCCGTATTTCTGCAGAGCCCTAATGTCTTCTCTGCCCCCGTCCCGCATTCAATTCATGTACACCATCTCTGCTCTGGATAAAGAAGAAATCCCATTAGTCCCACCATCTTGCCAACAACAAAAACCAAACAAACAAAAATCCCCAGGGCTTAGGTACCCTTCCCAACACCCCAATAGCATTTCCCAATTGCCTTGCCTGCTTGATGGAAGCCTTCCGACAAGCCTCCGCAGCCGGAGAAAACGTCTAAGCTGCGTAACTTTGGAGGCTTCATTTCTGCAGCTTCGTGCTCACTGTGCTCAGATGCTGTTGAAGATTTCCCTTTGCTTTTACCTGAAAGCACAGAGAGGGAAGAGCTGTGTACCAGAGGTGTAAAAGGGAAAAGGAACCTTGCGAGGGACACTGCACACTTTCCATGGGGAGGGATCTGGCTGTCTTACGTTCCTTACCTCCAATACAAAGCTGGAAATGTGCATATCACAGTTCCCTTTGCTTTCATGTAACACAAATTATTTATTGGAAAGCAAAAATAAAAATGGGTTTTTTTCTGCAGAACAACTGGAACCCCAACATTTCAAAGTACAGGTAGGTTATTGTTTATATGTGAGTTATATTAATTGTATTGATTTTGCTTATTGTATTTTGTTTAATTGATGTGTTGTCGGGCTTGGCCTTATGTAAGCTGCTCTGAGTTCCCTTGGAGAGATGGTGGCGGGGTATAAATAAAGTTTTATTATTATTATTATTATTATTATTATTGACACAAAAGCACAGTATGTCACAGCAATCGAGATCTATATGCTGGATTTCTTATTACAAAATCACAAGTCGAACACTTCTCAAGCGTCTAGTACTGTGCGATATATTTTCGAATGATGCACACAGATCCAAGTAAGGTGGCCTTTTACAATTGACAGATTGTGATTTTATCAATGTTTACTGTTTCCAAATGCCGGCTGAGATCTTTCGGCACGGCACCCAGTGTGCCAATGACCACTAGGTCCACCTGTACTGGTTTATGCCAGAGCCTTTGCAGTTCGATTTTGAGGTCTTGATAGTGGCTGAGTTTTTCCTGTTGTTTTTCCTCAATGCGACTGTCACCTGGTATGGCGACATCAATAATCCAGACTTTTTTCTTTTCCACAATCGTGATGTCTGGTGTACTGTGTTCCAAAACTTTGTCAGTCTGGATTCGAAAGTCCCACAGTATTTTTGCATGTTCATTTTCCATGACCTTTGCGGGTTTATGATCCCACCAATTCTTTACTGCTGGCAGGTGGTACTTGTGACAGAAGTTCCAGTGAATCATCTGAGCCACAGAGTTGTGTCTTTGTTTGTAGTCCGTCTGTGCGATTTTCTTGCAACAGCTAAGGATATGGTCCATAGTTTCATCAGCTTCCTTGCAGAGTCTACATTTTGGGTCATCAGCTGATTTTTCGATCATGGTCTTAATTGCATTTGTTCTGATGGCATGTTCTGATGGGTACATACAACACAATAGCCCACTTGTACACAGAAAGAAAAATAAATCAGTTCAGCCAATAACCCTGGCCTTAATTGCATTTGTTCTGGTGTCTTGCTCCTGGGCTGCAAGAATCAGGCCTTCTGTCTCCTTCTTCAGGGTTCCATTCGTGAGCCATAATCAGGTCTTCTCCTTGTCAACTTTTCCTTCAATCTTCTCAAGGAACTGCCCATGTATTGGCTTTGTTGTGCCAGCTGTCAGCTCTGGTTTGGAGTGCAGTTTTCTTGTACTGATTCTTTGTCTGCTGTGCTTTGAGAAGTTTCCAATTATTGACTTCAATTAAAGCAGGTTCTTGGCTTTCCTTGACATATTCTTCCAGGGCGTGTTTTTCTTCTTCAACTGCTTGTTTGACTTGTAAAAGTCCTCTGCCACCAGACTTTCTAGGTAGATAGAGCCAGTCAACATCACTGCGAGGATGTAATGAATTATGAATGGTCATGAGTTTTCTTGTTTTTCTGTCCAAATTGCCCAGTTCTGCCTGTGTCCAGTTTATGATGCTAGCAGTATATGTTATGACAGGTATGGCCCAGGAGTTTATGGCCTTGGTGGTTATTATTATTATTATTATTATTATTATTATTATTATAGGTGAAGAGAATGTCATTTTTAAAATACACCCTGTCTTTGAAAACAATCCTCACTCCAACAGCTTGAAGGGAGGACAGTAGAAAAAAATAAAAAAGCCCAACCAGTTTCCCACTCTGTTATCTTTCCTCTTCCAGGGAATTTTGCATCAAGCAGTATGGAAATACATTTAGTTTGCAGGTTGATTGCATTGCTTTTTCTTCTGTATATTTCGGTTAACCTGGATTGTAGATTTTATGTAATGACTCCCTGCCTCCCAAAGGCTGATAGCAATAGACTTGGAACACCAGGGTGATCATGGTAGTTACAAAACAATACAGCACTCACCTTTCCCTTTCCCCTTTCCCTTTCCTTTATTTCCAGAACTACGGGCATGATAGGGCGGGTCTTCAAAGGTTTTCGTTTTGGCATTATATGCCTGGAAAAGAACAAATGGAATTAGCCCTCCACATTTCCTTCAGCGAGTGGTACAGATCCACAATGTAAGTGGGAAAATTGCAAATGAAAAAACCCTGCTTTTTATACCTGTGAGAAAACTTCTGTAGAAATTTCCAGGTCCTCCTGTGCAACTTTATGGTCAACCTTCAGCAGAAGTTGACAACAGAGTTATGCTACAGGGCCTAGAGACTCCTAGAGATGTTAATGTCCAGCAAGGCTGAGCAAAGACACGTAGTGGATGGCCTAGATATCCTTAGAAAAACCATATTAATCAAATCCACAAGCAATGTGGAGAGCTGATTACACAGAAAAAAATTCCCCCTCCTTGCTACTCTCAAACTGTTTTCAAAGTCTCCTGGGATTCTACAAAACAACAACAAACAAATAAACAAAAAACCAAAGGAAAGAATAAAGTATCACTGTCTTTACCCAGACAAAATGCCATTGAGGTCACAGGACACAATCCACTAAAGCTCCACTGAAATGTCAACCATCTTATGGAGCTCCTTTGCGCTGGAATAAGGCTTACAAGGGAGAATGCATCAGTAACTGGACTCTAAGTTAATCAGAGTAAATGCCTATGTGTGGGGAGGGGGAAAATGTGTATTTTTCATTTAAGGATTTCAAATGCTGGGACTGTGGCGCAGCTGTCTGAGTGTCAGCTGCATTAAGATCACTACTGACCACAAGGTCATGAGTTCGAAGCCAGCTCAGGTCGGAGTGAGCTTCTGACCAATAGTGTAGCTTGCTGTCGACCTTTGAAACCCGAAAGACAGTTGCATCTGTCAAGTAGGAAAATTAGGTACCACCTATGTGTGGGGAGGCTAATTTAACAAAATTTATTAGGCCATAAAAAAGACTCCAGCAAAGCATGCGGGGAATGCGGAAGCACTTCATCAGTGTCGCAGATGGACGATGAAAGCGATAGCTCCCCTGACGGCCAGAAAAGTTAAATAGCCTCTGACTGTTTGTCTATATCTGTTGTTTGTCTTTGGCATTGAATGTTTGCCATGTATGTGTACATTGTAATCCGCCCTGAGACCCCTGCGGGGTGAGAAAGGCGGAATATAAATATTGTAAATAAATAAATAAATTTTAGAAGAATAGGACTAGTATATGAGCCAATACAGTGATGTAATGCTGCAAAACGCCTTATTGTACAATGGGAAAGGGCACCTCTAGGAAGTAGAACCGATCAGAACTGCTGGCAGAGTAGTCCTGGATGTTTTCTGTCAAATCTTCCCCATAGACCACAGTGCAGCGGCCTTGTACATCTTTGAACTCCACTGATGCCTCTTCATCGCTCCAGTAGAGTAAGTTGATGTCCGCGTGGTAGCTGGCTTTCACAGACTTATGAGTGTTTTCTGGTCTGAGAAGGCAAAACACATGAGAAACACTGTTGGTTGACTTCACACAGGCATCTGGTTGGCTAGGTTAGGTATTCAGTGTTTAGGTTTTAGGCAACATGACTCCACTTACATTATAAAAGGAAATACATTGAAATTAACAAGTCAAGGGCATCTGCGAAGGTAAAGCCCCTTGAATAACACTGGAGAGGAAGGGAGATTTATATGAAACATTTCATACTTCTTTGCTGTTGATGGCAACAGATTTCACCCCAATGTTCATAGCAACCTTGGGGGAGTGATCTTCTTTGGGTAAATAATAAAAGGAAGAAAAGAGCTAAAAAGCCCTTCTTTATCTGATACAATCCTGATATTTAATAGAGCCACTTTAAGCAGCTACTAGTTGTATTTTTCTAAAAAAAACCACAACCACCACTATGTATATTACAGACAAAGAAGGATTAAATGCCGTATCTACTTTGGCCTTGAATTCAGACTCTGGAGTCATTTTTTTAAACATTAAATTGCTAGGATTGCAATCTTTTTGCTTTAAGAAAGTGCTTTGCATGCTATGACTTTTATTTTGCACACAGTTTTACATCTAGGTTATGTACACTTCTACAGGGTGAGGCAGCATAACTTCCTTTTAAAAAATGTACGCCATTCAGTCGGTTGAAAATGTAGCGGAAGGGATTATGTAAAAAAAATGACTTTGAAAGTATCTGGAGAAAATTTTTTAGAAACATTATTGGAAAAAGAAGATGGGAATTTACCTCCAAATGAAGAATTGATTTTTTGGTGGGATTTTAGGAAAAGAGATGGCTCTGGAGAAGGGGAGCCCAGGGGTGAATGTAAATAAAAGAGAAGGAAATGTATAGTATATGTCTATATAACTGTATTTTCTCTTCTCAAATAATTTTGTTAAAAATGTAGCGGAGCACTAGTGGTCTCGTTCGAGAGGCGGGAGTATAAAGTTTTGTCCTGACACAGTTCAGTCGCCATCATGCGTTGGAACAGTGAGGAGCGTGCTTTTGCCGTTGAGGCCTACTTTTCGAGCGGATTTGGAGTGGCCAAATCTCCAGATTTGGTCCCTTGTGATTTTTTTTCTATGGGGTTTTTTGAAATCCCGTGTTGATGTGAACCGTCCAAGGACCCTACAAAATTTGAAGACCAACATCCAGGAAGAAATTGCCAACATAACGCCTGCTATGCTGGTAAGAGTCATGACAAACACCAGAAATCGGTTTACTCAAGTGTATGGAGAATGGGGGACCTCACCTACCTAATTTGATCTTCAAAACTACGTAAAACAAAACTTTAGGTATGCGCCTACATTATATAAAAAATAAATTCTGATTCATACAATGGGTTTTATTAAGTTTTGAAAGAAGGAAGGTATGCTGCCTCACCCTGTATAAGCATCTCAGCCTCTATCTTTGGTACTATTTTTATCATAAAACTTTTAATGCTTTTGTCTCTTAATGATCAGCCCAATTTGTAAATAGAATTCCCTTTCTCCTGTAGCAAAACCAGGCTAGCAGCTGCTGTTTACCTGTAAAGTTTATACACACGCAGCTTGATTTCTGCTTCGTTGGGCCTGCCACTGCTGCGGATATTGCAGTAGATTTGCTTGATTCGGCCAATGCGGTAGGGCTCTGGCGCATCCTGGTTGCTACCTTTGATATATTCAGAATACTTGCGGTAATGCTCAGGGTACAGCTCCTCATTGACTGCCTCCTTCTTCTGGCGTTTGGTAGGACTAGCCAGCCTCAGGCTGTGGAGACAGGAAAAGGAAGGGACCTTTTTAAAATCAGAGAAAGCAGAGGTTTTGTCCTTCTGCTCTTTTTACACTGAAAACTAAGAAAAACACTGCATTATTTCTCTTGCAATTACCTTACTATTGGAGAAAATAATAGAATAGGAAGTCCCTCCATGTCTGGCCTTCCATGTCCTTTTATGTAGCCCTCAACATGGTGGACTACAATTCCTGTATCATCATTAGACATAATGACTAGGGCAGATGGGAGTTGTGATACTGTAACCTCTGTTCTGTTTAGTCAGGATAATGGTCTTTGAATTGAGATACAAGGCTTGTATCTCAATTCAATAATGCCTGAATCTAAAACACTCTTTAAACTTTCCTCAACCTCAGAGTCACAAGTGCTATTGGGTTGCAATTCCCATTATCCCCAATCCGCATGGCAGATGATAGAAAGTGATGGGAGTTATCATTCATTTCTTCTCCCTTCCCATTTATTTTTAGCCTTTGTAAATACTACATTGTTAGCCCCAGCTTCTGCCAACCTAGCAGTTCGAAAACATGCTAATGTGAATAGGTCAATAGGTAACACTCCGGCGGGAAGGTAACGGCTCCATGCCGTCATGCTAACCACATGACCTTGGAGGTGTCTACGGACAACGCCGGCTCTTTGGCTTAGAAATGGAGATGAGCACCAACCTCCAGAGTCAGAAACGACTGGACTTAATGTCAGGGGGAAACCTTTATCTTAAATACTACTCTGCTGTTCTCCCTTACTTCCTACCCCCAATTTCCTGAAATAAAAATTATCTTGAAAAAATATGGGTAACTAAAGAGCACCGACCACTATGTAAAAAAATTAGAGTTGCCCCCCTGTATCCACAGGTTCTCCATCTATGGATTCAATGGCCTCTGACTGATGTGGCCCTTGAGGAAAATGAGTTTGAAACCACTACCTTACATGGACCAAAATATGGAGCAGGTCTTCATCTTACTTATTTTTTAAAACGTTCAGAAAACTATATTCTGTTTTGATACATAAAAACTGTGCCACCACGTGCCTCTAAGCCATTCTTATCTTATTCATCACATCACACGGATCCCTTTCCTATCCTATTTTCTAAAAGCAAATGAGGAACTAACCTGAATGAGAAAGCATCTGGGAGGAGGAAAACTCCATCCCCTACCCGATACTGCACCCCATTTTTCATTGCCATGCTGTAGAACATCTTCCCTTCCGACTCCTCCTGAGGCTCCAAGACTCTGGGAATTTCTTTCTGCCTCACTTCATCCAAACGGGTACAGCTCATGCAGAATCTAGGAGGGAAGCGGACACTTGGTCTCAACTGGAGGAAAAAACAAGCCTAAACAAAATTCTCTCTAGAACATCTCACACAACCCAAAACATCTGTCATGACGTGACAGCATGGCAGTCATCTCTAGAGGTTTTTGTTATTCTTCATTTGGGTTCCCTTAACCCCCAACTTCCATAAACTTTTAGGGTTTAAGCACTAACTTGTGTTTGTTGTCTTCAGTGGGCTGAATCTTTGGTGGTGTCTCAAACCTGGCGTACTCTTGATCATACCACATTTGGTAGAAATAGGTTCTGCCATCATCTTCCACCATCTTGATCTCTACATCGAGCCCTCCCTAGGGAAGAAGGTTTTTATGGGAAGATGCACATTGTTCTTAGCAAGACAAAAATGTCCATCATGGGCTGCAGCAGCCATGCATGAACACACAACAATGGGGAAAAGCTTATACTCAAGTACAGGGGTCCTCAAACTTTTTAAACAGGGGGCCAGGCCACAGTCCCTCAAACTGTTGGAGGGCCGGATTATAATTTGAAAAAGGCATGAATGAATTCCTATGCACACGGCACATATCTTATTTGTAGTGCAAAAGACATTTCAAAACAATAAAATAGTTAAAATGAAGAACAATTTAAACAAATATAAACTTATTAGTATTTCAGTGGGAAGTGTAGGCCTGTTTTTGGCTGATGAGATAGGATTGTTGTTATTGTTGTGTGCTTTCAAGTAGTTTCAGACTTAGGTTGACCCTGAGCAAGGGCCGGGTAAATGACCTTGGAGGGCTGTATCTGGCCCCTGGGCCATAGTTTGAGGACCCCTGCTCAAGTATATATGGTAATATTTCTTCTTAATACAACCACAAGGTGCCCTTCCCTGTTTCTTGTTCCATTTCTAGCTTACTTCCTAATTTTCTATACGAGTTTCATTGCTCAGCAGAACTCCAACCTGGATCTCCCAAGTCCCAACCTAATAGGGTAACAAACACACCACACTGATCTTGCTTATCAAACAGGTTAACAAGTACACCACACAGACCTGATAATAATAATAATAAACCTTTATTTGTACCCCGCTACCATCTCCCGAAGGACTCGGTGAGGCTTACACGAGGCCGAGCCCAAAATACAACAATAAAACAACAACAATAATACAGCAAAATAAAACAAAAAACAAGCAATAACATTAACAGCACGCAATGACACAGTTAAAAACAATGGATGGGCCAAATGTAATAAATTAAATTAAATTAAAAAGTGCTGAGCATGACAGGTGAGGTGTTTGGAGGGGGGTGGGCATGCAGATATCCTAGGTCTCTGAATAAAGTGCGTTGGGACATAATGCTAGGGGTTTCCTTATTCTGGAAAGGCATACTGGAACATCCATGTTTTCAAGCTCCTCCTAACGACGGGGCCTGCCTGATGTCCTTAGGGAGAGAGTTCCAGAGTCGAGGGGCCACTACCGAGAAAGCCCTATCCCTCGTCCCCACCAATCGTGCTTGCGATGCCGGTGGGATCGTAAGCAGGGCCTCTCCAGATGAACGAAGGGATTGTGTGGGTTCGTACACTGAAATGCGGTCACGGAGGTAGGCGGGTGGGTCCCTGGGTGGTTGAACTGTGGTTATTGTCAACAGTAGGTTGATACGGCCACATGTAAGAGTCTTCAGCGTACCTCTAAGGACCAGTTCTCTGAAGGAGCCTTATAGAGGACATTCACTTTGCCATGGATGTAAGACAGCTGCATGTCCTCACACTCATCAACCAAGAAAAGCTCCAGAGGGTCAGAGGTTGCTCCCAGAACGGTGTCGGTGCCACGGCAAAACCAGTGAACGTGGAACATTGGCTCACTGGTACTAACATCTTCCCACATAGCTGTGATTCTGAGGTGTGACAAGGATTAAGAAAAGAAAGGAAAGGGGGAAAGAGTGTCAATGCACACAACTGAAAAAAAACATGCTCTTTGACATTTATAGATCCAATGAAGGTTGACCTTAGAATTGTACCGGAGGACCCACAAATGCCTAGATAGATAAAAAAAAGGGGGATTATTTCTATTCACACTTTTTACAGGGATGTTGTGCCCTTGACCTCTGCAAATAGGATGGTATTACTGTAACCTTTAAAAGGTGTGTCCAGAGCAGAGGTCCTCAAACATTTTAAACAGAGGGCCAGGTCACAGTCTCTCAAACTGTTGGAGGGCTGGATTATAATTTGAAAAAAAACATGAATGAATTCCTATGCACACCGCACATATCTTATTTGTAGTGCAAAAAACACTTTAAATAATACAATAATTAAAATGAAGAATAATTTTAACAAGTATAAAGTTATTGGATTTCAATGGGAAGTGTGGACCTGCTTTTGGCTGATGAGACAGGAATGTTGTTTTTGTGTGCTTTCAAGTCATTTCAGTCTTAAGTTGACCCTGAGCGAGGGCCAGGTAAATGACCTTGGAAGGCCACATCCGGCTCCCGGGCCTTAGTTTGAGGACCCCTGGTCTAGAGAATTGGTTCCCAACCTTTTTTTTGACCACTCTCCAACATAAGTACCAAAAGGGTTACAAATCAGTTTTTGGTCAATTTTATTTATTTATTTTGAGTATTTCTACCCCGCCCTTCTCAACCCCCGAAGGGGGACTCAGGGCGGCTTACAAAAGGCACAATTCGATGCCAGCAATACACATAGTAAAATAAAATACATAGCAGCAACAATTATAAAACAATTAAAACAATCCAGTTATACAATTTAACTAATAAAAACCAATCTAGTGATCAACGTTCGCCAAGCTCAAAATCCGTAAGTTCATTCCACATTGTCATAATCCTATCCAGTTCTAATTGTCATTGTCCTTTGTCTGTATGCCAGATTAACCAAAGGCCTGATCCCATATCCATGTTTTTAGTTTCCTTCTAAACGAGAGGAGGGATGTCAATGACCTTATTTCTCTGGGAAGCAAATTCCACAGGAGAGGGGCCACAACCGAGAAGCCCCTGCTCCTCGTCCCCACCAACCTCACTTGTGAAAGAGGTGGAGCCGAGAGCAGGGCCTCCCCAGAAGATCTTAAACTTCGAGGCGGGACGTAAAAGGAGATGTGTTCGGACAGGTACGCTGGGCCCAAGCCGTATAGGGTTTTGTAGGTCAAAACCAGCACTTTGAATTGTGCTCGGAACTGGATCGGCAGCCAGTGGAGCTGACATAACAGAGGGATAGTATGTTCCCTGTATGACACTCTGGTGAGTAATCTGGCCGCCGCCCGCTGGACTAATTGAAGTTTCCAAACAGTCTTCAAAGGCAACCCCACGTATCTATTTGGGATGTAACAAGAGCGTGGAACACAATTTTAGATTTGGTTTGGGTGCTGATTCAGAAAATTGCATTGGATAGACCACATCCGCTCTAGTTTCTGATACAGAACATCTGTCATCCAGTGGTCACCATCTGCTCATCCACAGAAAACCATTTTTAATCATCTATAGAGTTGATGAGGTAGTAGTAATCTTTCATGGGTAGTCAGCTTCTCCCTCCTGACATCCCTGGTGCCTTGTCACTATGAGATGGTTTCACGAGACCAGTCGTTCTCTGGTCTCAAGGCAACAGTGAAGTAATTGTGAGGCCGTTGACCATACTTTCATTCTTGCGGACCACTAGGAGTCCATGGACCACAGGTTGGGAACCGCTGTATATGCTTTTATTGAAGTGGACCCATTAAGCAAATCTCTATCATTATCATTAGAAGGATTGACATATAATTTCTAAATGGCTTTTATTCATGTTAAGATGGTATGGAGATCTGGACTCTGATGGAAGAACCCAAATTTGCATCAAATTTCTAAGTTCAAACATGTTGTTTATTCATTCAGTCATTTCTGACTCTTCATGACCAGTCCCTATTGGCTATTGCCAATTAAGTTAAGTTATGTTCAAACATACCTTGCCAGAAAGAGAGCCTTTGTGGGTTCATCGGGGCTGACAGAAACACAATCGCCAATCTGTAATGTCTCTGAATCTATGCACACTTTTTGGTAATAGTCCTTCTTACCATCACTCTGCAGGTAGATAAAAGGATTCTTTATCAAGACAAGCACTGATACTGGGAAAGCTTAGAAACATTATATATTTTGACTACAGCTCCCAGAGACTCTGAGTCAACATGGTCAGCATTTCCAGGTTTTGGTATGTAGGGGAGGATAGATGGGTAACTATTAATATATTTTATTATGAATATTTGAGGGAGGGGCATCCTTGAAAACCATCCTCTGTGCACAGGTTAAAGGTTGTCCCCTGACATTAAGTCCACTCATGTCTGGCTCTTGGGTGTGGTGCTCATCTCCATTTCTAAGCCAAAGAGCCGGCATTGTACATAGACATCTCCAAGGTCATGTGGCCGGCATGACTACATGGAGCGCCGTTAGCTTCCCACCGGAGCGGTACCTATTGATTTACTCACATTTCATTGTTTTCGAACTGCTAGGTTGGCAGAAGCTAGGGCTGACAGTGGAAGCTCACGCCGCTCCCCAGAATCGAACCTTGTTTTGGTCAACAAGCTCAGCAGCTCAGCGCTTTAACCCACTGCGCCACTGGGGGCTCCCCTCTGTGCACAAGCCACGGCTAAAAATCACACGTGACCCAGGCCAGAGCTTCTTAAACCTTTCCACCTGGAACTCCTTTTGGCCCAAGAAACTTTTAGGTGACCTCACCTAAACAGGTATATAAAATAGGTATAAAGACTAAACATTTACTGATAATAAAACAGCATTTGCAAGGCTTGCTAAACAGGCTGATTTTAATTTTTATGAAGTACAGCTAAAGCCTCTTCTGCAGAGTCAACCGTAAACCCTGCACAACAGATTTCTGTAAATGTCTAAAATCCAGATTTTTTTTTTCAGGGTCCCAATATTGAGCTAACCCCATTTGGGGTTGGGATGCAGTTTAAGAAGCCCTGATCTAGACAGCCATCAATAGACATTAGACCACAATGCGTACTGGATAATAACTTAACAATCCACATAACATTGACTGGAGTTATACAAGACTAGATGGGACCCCTCTGCTCAGATTAACAAAAAATGGAACTCCAAATGGATCTTGTTTCTTGTTGGTTTAACGCAGAAGTGGGAAAAATAAAACCCATGAGCATATCTGGCCAATGAAGCCTGCATTTGTGATTTCTGAAGGCACTACCAGTTCTCCAACCCCCCCCCCCCCCAAATTAAAAATTTGCTGTGCTTTCTAGATATATTTTGCTTCCCAAACTATGGAAAAAGTTCTCAGATATATGAAGACACACAAAAATCCCATCCTCACAAGCATTTCAGACTATTTCCAAAATCTGTTTCCCTCTACATTCCCTCTCAAAATAGTGACAGGATTTCCCAGCGCTTTCTGGCCCCTTCCACATAGCTGAATAAAATATATGGCAATGTGGACTCAGACAACCCAGTTCAAAGCAGATATTGCGGGATTTTCTGCTTTGATATTCTGGGTAATAAGGGCCCTTTGTTAACATTTTGAGAGGGACTCCAGAGGAAAAGAGAAGCTATTTGGGATTGCTTTGGGAGGTGAAGGCCACAGGGTACTTCAGAGAGAATTGGCCAGAACTGATTTATGGCATTTCATCCACCACACAGGTAACTGACCTTGACAGGTTGTCCAACCCAGGAAATCCGGCTCCTGCTTTGCTTCTTCTTCCTTCCTTGCAATATCTTTTTGGGTGAGGGAACCTCAGGAATGTTGTCATCTACTTCTTCATCATCATCAGCTTCTTTCACAGCCAGGTTAGGGCACCTAATATCAAGTAAGATAGCCATAAAGTAAGTCTTTGCCAACTTATGATCTTTCCCCTTCTCACAGCACCAACTTTTACAAGTTACTAACACGCTAACATTACAAATCAGATGGAAATCAAGTTAATTTGTCTTCTCAATCTCAGTTAGAATCATAGAGTTGGAAGAGACCTCGTGGGCCATCCAGTCCAACCCCCTGCCAAGAAGCAGGAAAATTGCATTCAAAGCACCCCTGACAGATGGCCATCCAGCCTCTGCTTAAAAGCTTCCAAAGAAGGAGCCTCCACCACACTCCAGGGCAGAGAGTTCCACTGCTGAACGGCTCTCACAGTCAGGAAGTTCTTTCTCATGTTCAGATGGAATCTCATCTCTTGTAGTTTGAAGCCATTGTCCCGCGTCCTAGTCCCCAGGGAAGCAGAAAACAAGCTTGCTCCCTCCTCCCTGTGATTCCCTCTCACATATTTATACATGGCTATCATATCTCCTCTCAGCCTTCTCTTCTTCAGGCTAAACATGCCCAGCTCTTTAAGCCACTCCTCATAGGGCTTGTTCTCCAGACCTTTGATCATTTTAGTCGTCCTCCTCTGGACACATTCCAGCTTGTCTATATCTCTCTTGAATTGTGGTGCCCAGGATTGGACACAGTATTCCAGGTGTGGTCTAACCAAGGCAGAATAGAGGGGTAGCATTACTTCCCTAGATCTAGACACTCTTCATCCCTGGTTTAAATCCTGGAATGAAATAATAGAGAGTGGCCAGTGTATTTCCGTACTGGTAGATGTTTGGACAGAATCCCAAGTGGCCTATTTGGAAGTGACATTCCCCAAGAACACATGCTACAGTGCTACACAATTCACAATGGTAGTGAGACTCCCTCCTTCCTGTGACTTCCTCTCACATATTTATACATGGCTATCATATCTCCTCTCAGCCTTCTCTTCTTCAGGCTAAACATGCCCAGCTCCTTAAGCTGCTCCTCATAGGGTTTGTTCTCCAGACCCCTTTATCATTTTAGTCGCCCTCCTCTGGACACATACCAGTTGCACAACACTTTCTTACTAGAGCAATTGTTTCAGAGAAATCTGCACACGGGTAATATCAAATGCCTTCCCCAGCTCTCTTATATTTTGTTGAAGTTAATTGCCATCAAGTTGACTTCATCTGATGGTGACCTTATGGATAAGAGACCTCCAAGTCAGCCCTTTTTTATCAGCTGTACTAGGACTTGTAGATTCAGGACATCCTTGATTGACTCTATCCATCTGGAAGGCAGTCTTCTTTTTTTGCTACTGACTTCTACCTTATCAAGCATTATTGTCTTTTATAATAGCACTGGGATTATGTATTTCTAATCCTTGTGTAGTTGAAAGAGAGACTGAAGAAAAGTAAAGTGCTCATAGGCCAAACTACAAGAGAGTTTCTAAATTTGGAATTTTAAAATTCTTATTATTTCCAAATGCAAACAGTAACATAGTAATCTCTATTTTATCTAGAAGAGACATGGGATGTATTCAGTCTTGAACAAAAGCCCTGTGCTTCACCGATATTTAATTATATGAAGGAAGACAGAGAAATCAAGAGTAATATTAATGTAGTTTACAAGGGATGTTAAACCAGGATTTATGGATTAGTTAGAAATCCCCCTAGTCTAACACTATATCAAATCATCCTAGAAATCAACAATCAATTTCCTTAATAAGTCAGAAGGGTCACATAAAAAGAGGAGGTCGCCATAGTAAGATGGGGAAGACAAAGCCAAGTTCAAAACAGTCCGTACATCAAGGGTGGGAGATGTATCTAAGCGTGTCCAGATGCCAGTCCAAGTCAGGAAACAGAGATTCAACAATATCCTAACAGTCCAAAATCCAAACCAACAAATAAAGAGAAACTCGCAAACGAAGATTCTCTAGCTGCTGCTCGAGGTGGCAGATCAAGAGAACTGAGGGCTGTAGCCCCGCCCACGGGCTATATATACTCGGAGGGGAGGGTGGGCATGGCTACTGTCAAAGTGTCTCATTATCTTTCTAGAAGGTTCCGAAGCTTGTCTGTGCAGGAATAAGCATACATGCGATTCACAGTTGACCACAACAGGGAAAAATCACAATTACCTTCTCTGGAAGCAGGCCTGCTTTGTCTTCCCACTGCCTCCAAATTTAATCATATCTTGGCAAGCTCTGCATTTGCCACACTCTGGTTGCTGGCAAACCTGGAAAGGGAGGGAGAGGGAAAGAAAGGGAAGAGGTTAAGTCAACAAATGCACAAACAGTTCAACAAAATCAGGGAATGCTTTCTACAACAAGCAGTGTGGCAAAACAAACTAGCAAGTAATTCAAAGATGAATACATACAGCAGAAAGAAAAACCCCTCCAGTACCAACAGCTGCTCTGAGATCAGAGTAGCCAGGAAGGCAGTTTCATCTTGTCTCCGGCACTGTGGTTATAATATAATATAATATATTGTATATACATATAATATTTATTTATTTATTTATTTATTTGCTGCATTTGTTGACCGCCGCTCTCAGCCCTAGGGCGACTCGCGGCGGTGTACAACATATAAAAACAGTTTACAATAAAGCACAACAAGAAATCAACATATCAATAATACACACTAATCTAAATTACACTAACTAATCCGCACCGTCACAACATAGAATCATAGCCAATCTCATAATCCATATTCCGTTCCAGTTGTCATTACCAGTTAATGTAGCACTCAGTTAAATGCCTTCTCGAATAGCCAGGTCTTTAGGCTCTTACGGAAAGCCATAAGGGAGGGCGCCTGTCTGATGTCAACAGGGAGGGTGTTCCACAGCCGGGGGGCCACCACCGAGAAGGCCCTCTCTCTCGTCCACACCAGACGTGCCTGTGAGGCAGGCGGGATCGAGAGAAGGGTCTCCCCAGACGATCTCAAGGCCCTCGTGGGCTCATAGGCCGAGATGCGGTCCGAAAGGTATTTTGGGCCGGAACCGTTTAGGGCTTTGATATAACGTAATGCTGTATAATACTACTAATAATATATTATAATTATATATTTTATATTAAATGTAACATTAGTAATAATATTACAGTATAATGTTATAGTACAATGTAATATATAATACTTATATTGTGCTATGATAATAATATATTGTATTTACTTTTTACTTGTAAGCCGCTCTGAGTCCCTTTTGGGGTAAAAAGGGCGGCATATAAATGTCGTAAGTAAATAAATAAATAAATGTGTGTGGGGCACCTGTGTGAAGAAGCCATGGAAGACACAGAAGCTCTTTACCCTGAATTCTGGGGTCAATTATTTAAGTCCAGTTACCCACCACTTCTGCCAGAAAAAAAGACATATGAGGCCAGAAATACAGCCACCCTGCATAGTTACCTCACAGACACCACACCGCCTGCGCTTTGAAACATTCTCATTGTCTTCCTCCTTTTCGGTCTTCTCTATTTGCTCAGAGAAGAAAGTGTCAAAGATCAAGTAAACCAGTTTGGTGGTGGTGGCTTTGGTGGGGCCTTTGTCCTTGTCAATCTTGGTGGGGTGTCTGATGGCCTGCCTTCTGGCCGCTCGCCTGGAAGAAGGAAATCACCTTGAAAAACTGCACACTTGTCCAAGGTTGCTGGCGAAAGAGCACTACAACAACACAGCTGTTATTGTCTGAAAGCATTTGTAGCAATCTTCCCCAATTAGATCTTGACAGTAAGTTTGGAGTCTTTTCTGCCCTTAGAACCAAGCTGGACCACATCCTCCCCCCCCCCCCCCCCGAAAAAACCCAAACCAGATGAAACCAGAATCAATTTCTCCTTTAAAAAATGTATTTTTAAAATGTTAAGTAGCGCAATAAGGTATTTAAAAGGTAAAGTGCTGCTCTTAGAAGCTTATAGCTGCATTGAAAATGCTCAGAAAACCCCTATTTCTCAAACAGACTGAAGGTCAATCCAAATTCTTCCTGTTGATACACCAGAGCAGTGTATATATTTGGAATATACTCTGTTTCCTGATAATATTTCATTTAAAAATGAGCTCCTAATCCTTGTTGCTGTAAAGAAATGAGCCCATAGATACAAGAATGTTTACTGAAATTTCAAAGGTCACTCAGGTGGCTAAATACAACCTGTCAGTAACTTTTAGGCCTTCTCTGTGGTGGCCCCCTGACTTTGGAACTCACTTCCTAAGGATATCAGGCAAGCCCCCACATTGGCAGTCTTTAGGAGGAGCCTGAAAACGTAGCTGTTCCAGTGTGCCTTCCCTGAACAAGGCAATAAATCCCAGCAAAATGTCCTCAGAAGCACTTTAACTACTTGTTGGGTTGCTCTCCCTTCATTTCTTTTAAAACCCTCCTATCAGATACATCCTTCCTCTGTTCATGCCCAGCATTTATTTTTTAAATTTTAAATTATTACATTTGGCCCGGCCATAGTTTTTTTAAATCCTTATGTGTTACTGTTTACACGTGAGTTATATTAATTGTATTGTTTTTGCTTATTGTTTTTTGTTCTACTGATGTGTTGTCGGGCTTGGCCTCATGTAAGCTGCTCTGAGTCCCCTTGGGGAGATGGTGGCGGGGTATAAATAAAGTTGTTATTATTATTATTATTATTATTATTATTATTATTATTATTATTATTATTATTGTACCAGATAATAATTATTATTATTATACCAGAGCCCCCGGTGGCGCAGTGGGTTAAACCCCTGTGCCGGCAGGACTGAAGACCGACAGGTCGCAGGTTCAAAGCCGGGGAGAGGCGGATGAGCTCCCTCTATCAGCTCCAGCTCCGCATGCGGGGACATGAGAGAAGCCTCCCACAAGGATGATATAAAAAAACCCCATCAAATCATCCAGGCGTCCCCTGGGCAACGTCCTTGCAGACGGCCAATTCTCTCACATCAGAAGTGACTTGCAGATTCTCAAGTCTCTTCTGACACGACAAATATATATATATATATATATATATATATATAGACACACACACACACCAGAGCCACACAATGCCTTTTCCAACAGCAATGGACAGTGGCAGAGGAATGATGAAAATGCCCACCATGAAATAAATCACACAGGGATTGGGCAGATTGCTCAGTTATGCCTTTTCTGGTCACAGAATTTGTTTATAACTCTTTAAAATAGAGAACACAAAGCTTAATTGTACAGGTTATCTGTTATCTGAAATGTTTGGGACAAGAAGATTTTGATTCTGGATGTTGGAAGGATTTTGGAATACCTGCATTTGCACATATACACATAACTAGGTATTTTGGGATTGGGAATCGACATTTTTAGTAATGTTGTACATGAAATAAAGTTTGTGTCCCTATCTCAGGATTCTCGACCTGTCCTTGACCATTTGCAAAAAAACCAAAACAAAAATAACAAAAAACAAAAAAACATTTCTTTTATAAGAAATTGCTCAATTTGTCTTGAGAAAGGCATTTCCGGATTTGGGTTGTTGTAGGTTTTTTCGGACTATATGGCCATGTTCTTGAGGCATTCTCTCCTGACGATTCGCCTTCATCTATGGCAAGCATCCTCAGAGGTACCTCTGAGGATGCTTGCCATAGATGCAGGCAAAACGTCAGGAGAGAATGCCTCTAGAACATGGCCATATAGCCCGAAAAAACCTACAACAACCCAGTGATTCCGGCCATGAAAGCCTTCGACAATACATTTCCAGATTTATTCTCCCTGGCTAACCCTCCTTGTATCCATGGCATACCTTTTCCCCAGAGTGACTCCAGCCAGTTTAATCAGGTCTCTCATGCAAGGCGTGATGAGAACAGGAGGCTCATCGCTGTCTCCAGCCTCATCATAGCTTTCCACTTGCTCCACCACAAACTGGGCATGCCGGAGGAGGGAGTCCTCTGTGAAACGGTTGAAGTTCAATCCGGCAGGAGGGACGGTGGTCTGGAGAGAATTACAGGATGTGACAGTTCTCCTCCTTCTAAACTGACAGCTTGAGGGAAAGAGTTCAGAACAAGAACAGAAGATCCCGCAACACTGGTTTCCTCCATGTTCTCAGCTTCCTGTTATTCAAAGGTGGTCGCTCAGTCATTTCGAAAGGAAGCAAGTCTGCTTCTGGGTCTTCTGCATGGATGAGCACCTTTTGGAGACTTCTAATGTGTTTGCACTACAGTTTCCACTGGCTATGCTAAGGTTGTCTGATGTAAGTGAAAACATTTAGGGTTTTCACTGGAATTTTTGAAAATATTTCGAACTTGACAGCTTAACAGCACAGTTGTTTACACTGTTTAAGACAGGGGTCCTCAAACTTTTTAAACAGAGGGCCAGGTCATAGTCCCTCAAACTGTTGGAGGGCCAGATTATAATTTGAAAAAAAAAACATGAATGAATTCCTATGCACACTGCACATATCTTATTTGTAGTGCAAAATACACTTAAAAACAATACAATAATTAAAATGAAGAACATTTTGAACAAATATAGACTTAATAGTATTTCAAAGAGAAGTGTGGGCCTGCTTTTGGCTGATGAGATAAGATGGTTGTTGTTGTGTGTGCTTTCAAGTCACTTCAGACTTAGGTTGACCCTGAGCGAGGGCCGGGTAAATGACCTTGGAGGGCCGTATCCACCCCCCAGGCCTTAGTTTGAGGACTAAGTTTAAGAGAATGGAATATATCCCCCCTTGGACATGGGTATAACACTATTTCTACTTCACAACTTCTTAGGGTTACAATGTCTCCACTCAGAACTACATTAAGGCTTGGGTGGGTAAGTTCCTTTTCTTATGACCAGATATTGTTCCCCCAAGTCTATTCCAACTAACCTCGATCTTGTTCAGCAAGTCCTCATAGCTGACATCAGGGTTGTTTTGCAAGAATTCAACAACGATTTTGCTCATGTAGATCTTTTCCTGCATCAGGGCAAAGATGGGGCCGTATTCTTCACTCGGTTCCATCAGGATGTAATCCGCAAAAGCTGGAAGTAAATGCAAAGTGAATGCGCCTCAGGTGCAAACATATGCTTAGCCATGAACCACAATACAGAAAACCATTTAGCCTGACCAGTTCCCGGTAACCCCTGTCAGACCTGCCCAGTGGGCACTGAGCTATAGGTCAGAAAATGAGCTTCTCGAAGTTGTGTTATGAACTGATTGGATGATTAATCAAGTTAGACATAGACCACATCTATATAAATAAAAATGTAATGTTTGTTTGTGGGATTAACATAACTCAAAAACCACTGGACGAATTGCCGCTAAATTTGGCCACAAGACACCTACTAACCCAAGGAGTGACCATCATCAAAAATAATTCATTTTGTCATTTGAGAGTTGTAGTTGCTGGGATTTATAGTTCTCCTACATTCAAAGAGCATTCTGAACCCCACCAATGACACAATTGGGCCAAACTTCCCACACAGGACCCCCATAATGGAAGTGAACCAAACGTGACACAGAGGACTCCCGTGACCAACATGGGCATTGCCCTTGAGTTTGGGAGTTGTAGTTCACCTACATCCAGAGAGCACTGTAGACTCAAACAATTATGGATCTGGATCAAACTTGGCATAAATACTCAATATGCCCAAATGAGAACAGTGGTGGAGTTTGGGGGACATAGACTGACATTTGGGAGTTGTAGTTACTGGGATTTATAGTTCTCCCACATTAAAAGAGCATTCTGAACCCCACCAATGACACAACTGGGCCAAACTTCCCACACAGAACCCTCATGACGAACAGAAAGCACTTAAGGCCATCCAGTCCAACTCTCTTCACCAGGGCAAGAAAACATAATCAAAGCCCTTCTGATAAAGAGCCATAATAATAATAATAATAATAATAATAATAATAATAATAATAATAATAATCCTTTATCTGTACCCCGCTAACATCTCCCGAAGGACTCGGTGCGGCTTACAAGAGGCCGAGGCCCAACACAAGAAAAACAACAGCATCACAAATACAACAAAATAACTCATAAAACAGCAATAAACATTAAAACAATAACAAATAACATTAGACAGTAACACCATGTCACATTTAAAACTATGGCCATCCAGCCATAGATATAGATAGATACATATGATTCATACACACACAGAGATATAGTATCATAGATTTGAAAGGGACCCCTAAATAAGGACAATTATATGTTGCATGTTCCAGAGTAGGCAAACCAGACAATCTCCACATCAACACTGACGAAGAAACCGCAAGAAATACTGTTTATCCAGAAGCAGAAAGAAATTACATATATTAGAAACCAACACTTTCTCATTACTTTATTTTCCAGAACACCACACTTGGCCACAGCAACGCGTGGCAGGGGACAGCTAGTATAAACATAAGAGCTGCTTTCAAGAATTATACCCACTTCATTTCCAGTGGGGCATCCATGCATTCCTCCTCCATCTGGAAGCTAATGAGAGCTAGGCATGTGTGTGTGAGAGAGGTGCATACGGCAGTGGAAAGAAAACAGAAATTCTTCCTGTCCTCTCTCTAGCATTTGAGTCCATGGGACTAATGCTGGAATTTCAGAATGAAGAAAAGTTATTTACTATGTTAGTTGACATTCAAGTATAACTCTCCCTTCTTTCCTAACCAAACTTCGAGTGCATTAGGTGAAGTAAACACAATTGGCCGGCCAGCAACTCTGTTATTACTGCCCTGAGATCATTCTTAGAGACTTTCCTTCAACCCCAACGTCTTCCCTATTTATCCTTCTATAGGCAGGTGAAGATTTTTCTTTTTTTTCAGCAGGAATTTAATAAAGGGCCTTTGATAATGTGCTATGTTGTCTCCCCTTCGTCACTCTCTATATCAGTGTTTCTCAACCTAGAGGTCGGGACCCCTGGAAGGGTCATGACGGGGGTTTCAGAGGGGTCGCCAAAGACCATCAGAAAACACATATTCCTGATGGTCTTAGAAACCCTTTGGCAGAGAAGGCTGAAGATCTCTCCACCTGTCCTTCTCTTCCTTTTTGGTGTTGGTGAACTACAACTCCCAGAGTTCAAAAACATCCCCCCAACCCCATCAGTATTCAATGTTGGCCATGTAGGTAGTGTGCCAAGTTTGATGCAGATTCATCATGGACAGGGTTCAGAGTGTTCTTTTATTGTAGGTTAACTATAAATCCCAGCAACTACAACTCCCAAATGTCAAGTTCTATTTTCCTCAGTGTTCACATTTGGACATATTAAGTATCCGTGACATGTTTGGTCCAGATCCATCATTGTTTGAGTCCACAGTGCTCTCTGGATGTAGGTGAACTACAACTCCCAAACTCATGATCAATGTCCCTTTCAGTATTTTCTGTTGGTTGTGGGAATTCTGCCAAGTTGGGTTCAATTGCATTGTTGGTGGACTTCAGAATGCTCTCTGATTGTAGGCGAACTATAAATCCCAGCAACTACAACTCCCCAAATGACAAAATCAATCCCCCTCCAACCCAGCCAGTATTCAAATTTGGATGCATTGGGTATTTGCGCCAAACTTGGTCCAGTGAATGAAAATACATCTTGGATATCAGATATTTACATGATGTAACATTACAGTTACGAAATAGCAACAAAAATTATTTTATGGTGGGGTGGGGTCACCACAATATGAGGAACTGTATGAAGGGGTCGCTGTATTAGGAAGGTTGAGAAGCACTGATTAAAATAGGCATGCTTTTAGTTGCCTATTGATAATGTAGTTATTTCTTAACATTTTAAAGGTGTGTGGTTTTAGCTGCATCTGTAAGATACCTTAAGGTTAAGGGCTGGGGAAATGCAGGATATGACAAAAATAAACAATAATCATCATCATAACAAGTAGTGCCTGTAAAATAGTCTTACGAGCTTACCTGTAGTGAAGCCAATCAAAGCCTTCTCCCCTCCATCGAAGCCAGTGATCCACCATGCATTTATGGGGCCCATCTTGCGGGCTCGGACACCACCTGAATCCGCAACGGGAACAGAGACATGCTTTAGGGCAGTGATTCTCAAAGTGTGCTCCTCAGAGTCTTTGGGGCATTGCAAAGCATACTGAGGGGCTCCGCAGTTCTTCCCCCCCCCCCCCTTGCCACCAAAAGCCTTTTCCCCTTGCCTTCCTTACTTCCAAAATCCCATTTTCCTCCCATCACTCAGGGGGTGCTTTGATTGTGCTACCCCTGCATGGCAGAAGGGAGTCGAACTGGATGGCCCTTGGGGTTTCAGTTGTTGTTGTTGTTACAAAGGCTGATTGGCTATCTATTGGGAGTAATTTGATTGTGTTTTCTTTCATGGCAGAAGGGGGTTGGACTGGATGGCGCCAGGGGTTTCTCCTATTACTGATATATATATACATTATATAATACAAAATATTATATAATTTCACAACCAGACACAGTGAAGACATCTGCCCTTGCGCTATGCTACTCTGCTGCTGAGTACGCATGCCCAGTGTGGAACACATCTCACCACACTAACACAGTGGATGTGGCTCTTAATGAGACATGCCGCATTATCACGGGGAGTCTGCGCCCTACACCACTGGAGAAATTATACTGTTTAGCTGGTATTGCACCATCTGACATCCGCTGGGAAGTAGCAACCAGTGAAAGGACCAGGGCAGTGACATCTCCAGCTCACCCCTTGTTTGGGTATCAGCCAGCACATCAACGACTTAAATCTAGAAATAGTTTTCTAAGATCTACAGAGACACTTGCTGGAACAACTCAGCAAGCAAGAGTCCAAAAGTGTAAATTGTCACTGCACAGGAAGGTGCTCTTTTCTATCCAGTTATTCTTGGCTTAAGGCTCTTGGCCTCTTCTGCAAGCTTGAAAACTCTGACTACCTGGGGGCTTCCCACTTTTCCTACCAATTTGAAAAATCCAATCCAAAATCACATGGGAGTTTAATCTGTTTCTGTCTTGTTTCAATTATTTTGTTGCTTGATTTAAACAAAATTCTGGAATTCATGGCCTAAAGCAGTATTTTGAAAACACTGAAGCAGCAATGAAAAGGGAGCTCAAGGCCCAATAAGAATCCCTGCATTGAATTTCCCTGCAGTCCTCAAAGTTTCACCAAACACCATAGTGAGATTTAATGTTCCTTAATTAGCTTTGTTCACAATTCCCTTGGAAACCATGCCTGTCTCTTTTCGTTATGCTCAATAGAAGTTGAAAATATTGTGATGCTAAAAAATTGGTACCTGAAATAAATTATTGGAGTTATTATTAATTATTAAGATAGAAACGGCCCTTACTTATTAACCCTGACAGTCACTATACCCTTTTGGGAACGAGCAGATGCAAGTTCAACATTGGGACTATTCACATTACGTTTTACACTGATGGTGTACATTACAATAAAGTAAACACATCCCAATACAGTTGAAGATTTAAACATAATTGCCCAATGGACTCCCACCTGTTAATGTCAGCCATATGGAAATACTAGCAACCCTGGGCAGTAACACAGGTTGCCTAAACGACCACCAATTGGGTTGTAGTAGGTTTTTTCAGGCTATATGGCCATATTCTAGAGGCATTCTCTCCTGATGTTTCGCCTGCATCTATGGCAAGCACCCTCAGAGGTAGTGAGGTCTGTTGGAACTAGGAAAATAGGTTTTTATATATGTGGAGTGACCAGGGTGGGACAAAGAACCAACCTGGACACAGCATATTATTTGAGAACACAGAAATGCTGGACCACTCTAACAACCACCATGTCAGACTACACAGAGAAGCACGTGGACAGTTTCAACAGAAAGGAGGAAACCATGAAAATGAACAAAATCTGGCTACCAGTATTTAAAAACTCTAAAATTACAACAGCTAAACAATAGAGGGAAAACAATCGGGCACATCTAATTACCTCTCAATAAAAGATTGCCCTGGGCACTGCCAGGCCATCAAATGCTAATCAGGGTGGTCAGTTGAATCATTCACACCTAGCTCCAGCAGACAAGAGTCCTTTGTCCCACCCTGGTCATTACACAGATATATAAACCCGTTTTCCTAGTTCCAACAGACCTCACTACCTCTGAGGATGCTTGCCATAGATGCAGGCGAAACGTCAGGAGATAATGCCTCTAGAACATGGCCATATAGCCCGAAAAAACCGACTACAACCTAGTGATTCTGGCCATGAATGCCTTCGACAATACATTGAACCACCAATTTGTAGTATGCAATTTGAATTTCCTGGAAGTTGAAAAAAGGATGTCCTAAAATTGATACTCACCATCCAAGCAAGGGTTATCATCGTAGATTGGCTTCACAGCACCGCTGAAGTACAGTTCAATATTCCTTTCTATGAGACCGGTATCAAATGGACACAGGTGACCTTTTCGATCGTAGACACTACACAGAGGAAATCGTTTTAGGATTTGGGATCTTTTGAGACCCACACAGAGCTTCAACCGCCCATTTAATACAGACAGAGCTGTTCACTTTGCAACTAAATTAAACTTAATTTAGATCAATGGTTCTCAATCTGTGGGTCCCCAGGTGGTTTGGCCCACAACTCCTAGAAACCCCAGCCAGTTTGGCAAGAATATTCAATACGCCTGAATGTGAACACTGGTGGAGTTTGGGGACTCGGAGTGGCTTACATGGGGCCAAGCCCGAACAACATATTACATCAAAGTAAAACCAAAACATAAACAACAAGCAACATCATCAAAATTACATGGGGAAAAATACAATAACAAAATAGAATTACAATAAACAAAAAACACAGTCGCAGTAAACAGTGGGCGGGCCACATGTACAGGATAAAATGTTAAAAACTCTAATGAGATAAAAATAGGAGCAAGTTATTTGCAGGGAGCTCATAAAGATACACAGGGTTGTGAAACTAAACTTCCCATTTGGGGGGCCTGTACTCCAGTGACAGAAGCGTTGAGGGGAGCAATAGTATCGTGTTGTGCACCTACTCGCCAAAGGTGCAGTGGAAGAGCCAGGTTTTAAGGTTCTTTTTTAACGTTTCTAGTGTAGGGGCTTTCCTGATCTCTCCAGGTAATGAGTCGGGGAGCCACAGAGGAGAAGGCTCTCTCCCTTGTGCCCACAAGGCAAGCCTGTGAGATTGGCAAGGGCAAAGGAGGGCCTCCCCCGAAGAGCGAAGGACCCGGGTTGGTTCACGGAGAAAGATACGGTCACAAAGGTAGGCGGGTCCCAAACCGTTTAGGGCTTTGTAGTGTGCCATTTGCTTGGCTGTTCATACCATTTTCCTCCAGTATCTGCCCTCCCTTCCCTGAATGTTCTATGCTCTGGGAGAAAGGACTGAGTAGGCCCTTCAACTGCTACTTCTGGTCGCCCTTGCGCATCTGCCCTTGCGCTATGCTACTCTGCTGCTGAGTATGCATGCCCAGTGTGGAACACATCTCGCTACACTAAAACAGTAGATGTGGCTCTTAATGAGACATGCCGCATTATCACGGGGTGTCTGCACCCTACACCACTGGAAAAATTACACTGCTTAGCTGGTATTGCACCACCTGACATCCGCTGGGAAGTAGCAGTCAATAGTGAAAGGACCAACACCTCCAGCTCATCCCCTGTTTGGGTATCAGCCAACACGTCAATGACTTAAATCTAGAAACAGTTTTTTAAGATCTACAGAGACATTCGCTGGGACACCTCAGCAAGCTAGAGTCCAAAAGTGGCAGGCTCAAACCCAGCTCCTCAACCAATGGCTGATACCAAATGAGAGACTCCCCCCTGGGCACACAGAAGACTGGGTGACTTGGAAGGCGCTGAACAGACTGTGCTCTGGCACCACGAGATGCAGAGCCAACCTCAAGAAATGGGGCCACAAAGTGGAATCCATGACATGCGAGTGTGGAGAAGAGCAAACCACAGACCATCTGCTTCAATGCACCCTGAGCCCTGCTACATGCACAGTGGAGGACCTTCTTGCAGCAACACCAGAAGCACTCCAAGTGGCCAGATACTGGTCAAAGGACATTTAATCAACTACCAAACTCGCAAATTTTGTATTTTGTCTGTTGTTTGTTCTGTTCAGTTAGAAATGTAATACAATTGACTGGTTGCCCTGATCCGACAAATAAATAACTGCCACTTGCAGGATCTCACTAGGAGTCTCTGTTAGCAACACTGATGAAGTTTCAGGTAATGCATTATTCTAATAGTTATACTTTCTCACTTCACTCCATCCAAGGCTTCACATTGAATCAACACAAAATCTCACCTGAAGGATGTCACTTTGTGTTGGGGCAAATCATCATAACTCTCAAATCCATCTTCATTGGCATCAAAGATAGAAAGGCGTTCATCGGTCAACATCTCTGGCTCATCCAGCTAAGAAAAGAAAATGGTTTTTCTTTATTCTGGAAGGACCCACAGCCACCAAGGTTTTTCTTATTTGGCTGCCAACTTACTGCATTGTCCGGATCCCCCTGGAAAAACTTGAGGTCAGGGTCATCTAAGTACTGTCGACATTCAGCACACTTGGGAGGGGTCGTCTGAAAAGGAAAGGTACAAGAGGGATACATTACCCTGAGCTATTGGTGCAGAATTGAGCCACACTGAAAATGTCCCATTTAAATGGGAAATCTGTACTAAAAACACTTTTGGTTGCATGTGATTAAGGCAACAGTTTGAGCACAGCTGCAGCAACAGCTAAGCTATACAGAAGAAGATGCTCTTTCACACAATAGCAAAGTGCAACCTTTCAGTTGCTGTTGGACTATCCTAGCATTCCTCATCATTCCTCGCCTCCCTGCAAGTCAATGGTTTAGAATGCTGGGAGCTGCAATCCACTGGTGTCTGCAAGACTGCACTTTGTGCCACTTGGAGAAAGTTCAAAGGTTTAAGAAATGTCCTATTCATTGACATATTATTTATTTATTTGCTTACTTACTAACTACCGTACATTTATATACCGCCTCTCTCAGCCCACAGGCGACTTGGAGCGGTTTACAGTCAATATCAAAGACGTAAAATACAATTTAAAAACAATCAATTTAAATATAAAACCGAGTAAAACAATCAATATCAATAAAAACATGTATCAATTTGAGTCTCCTAGATAAAAGCGTTATCCAATAACATCGTTGGCATACTTATGCCAAAGTCAGTTCATAATAATGTCTTCATTATTCACTTACACCACTATTGTTAGTTACAGCTCTTTTAACTCCTACAAACTTGGTGCCTCAGGGTAGAGAAAGATAATACTGCAGTATGAAAGATTCAACTGCCAGTTCAGTTGGCTTCAATATATTCTTTGCTCAGATCCTAAACAGATTTTTGCTCAGCTATATTTATTATTATTTATTTAAAGCATTTATAATCCGCCCTTCTTACCCCGAAGAGGACTCAACATATAAATTGCAAACATTCAATGCCGAAACATATTAGACCATACACATACAAAAGCATTAAAATCACTTATCTCGACATAAAAATCCTCTAGTTAAAACTGTCTCAACAACCATATCGAATTTGGTTAGCATACTAAGGGTTCCTATCGCTGCCTCATTGCACAGTCCCAAAGGCTCGGTCCCACAGCCATGTTTTTATCATCCTTCTAAAGGACAAGAGGGAGGGGGCTGACCTGATCTCATTAGGAAGGGAGTTCCATAGCCGAGGGGCAATCACTGAGAAGGCCCTGTCTCTTGTCCCCGCCAAACGTGCCTGTGATGGTGGTGGGACCAAGAGCAGGGCTTCCCCCTGCTAGTTGGGAACCATTGCAATATAGCTTGATAGGTTTTCTCAAACACCTCTGATATCTGTAGTGCCAATAGGAATAGGTACTTGCCTACCAAATATGTGCTGTCATATAATTCGCTCAAACCAATACAGTTCTCACTCTTAGTTTCATTTTAGCCACCATGGGTTATTAAGCTCGTCCAACATAGAAGTTGCTTAGATACATTTCTTAATGAGGTCCAGAAATTACCACAATTACTCTGTTTTTAAAGACAAGCAACAGAGGACAAGTAGTGGGGATTAGGGCAAAGTTATAGATATATATTTGAGCCACTTTCTCTCTGCTTTCAAGTCCTGCGCTTATGCCTGCTCTGTAATAGATATATTTTGAAATATATATATAGAGAGAGAACAATCTTTTCTTCAAATGCTCATACACCAAACCATTGGGGAAGAATATTATAACAGAAATGTTCCGAATTTTAGCCAGATTATCAAAATACAAAACAAAAATGCACCAGCATCTACTTACTTTAACAGGTGTCACAGTTTTAATCTGGGGTGGTTCTTCCTTTATTTCTGATCTAGAACAAAAACCCCAAATAATAGAAAAGTAAACAAACAAACAACAGAAGAGTAAATTAAGTTGGACACAAGTTACTCCAAGAATATTATTTAAGCTATCAAATATGAAGATTTTGAAAAATTTGGTACTCCAATTCTGATATCCAAAAGGATACCAGAATTGCAGTCTTTTACCTGTATTGTCATGGCACCTCTTGTAACCCAAAGGAAAGATACAAATCTACTAAATAAATAATATACACACTCATGGTTTCACACTTTCACTTACAAAGTAGCTTTCATGTTCAAAGAAACTGCATGGTGCGTGGAGACGCATTTCTAGCCATTTTTCCTCTTCCAAAGTGGGACAGAGTCTGACAGTTCCAACTCAATATCACTTGTGTTTTTTCACATAATAATAAAGCACTGGGCAAAATGTCAATGACAGGCCCCCCGCTGCTTACAACTAAATGTTTAATAAAAGTATACAAGTCTCAAACAGGTTTTTCAATGCTTTCTAAGTGTTCCTTGTAGTGAATAAATCAGTGTTACACATTCCCAAATGTGAATTCACTCCTCCTTTTCTTTTTTGCAAAATCAAATCTAATATGATCTCACATCTTCCTAATGATTTGAAGCTAACCCTGCTTCGCTCTCTGCCTAAACAAGACTATGCAAGTTCAGGATAGCAGATAAATTGGCTTCAGTTCCACTTCCTAGCCCTTTAATACAGAGGAGTAAAGGACAAAACTGATACTGAATACTGACAATAACAAAGACAACCCAATAACAAAGACATTCCTCAATATTCTTATAAGAGGAAATAAAGATAAAGGTTTTCCCTTGATATTAAGTCTAGTCATGTCCGACTCTGGAGGAGGTGGTGGTGCTCATCTCAATTTCTAAGCCGAAGAGCCAACATTGTCCATAGATGCCTCCAAGGTCATGTGACCGACATGATTGTATGGAGCACTGTTACCTTCCCGCTGGCACGATACTTACTGATCTACTCACATTTGCATGTTTTTGAACTGCTAGGTTGGCAGAAGCTGGGGCTAACAGCAGGAACTCACCCTGCTCCCCGGATTCGAACCGCCGACCATTTAGTTGGCAAGTTCAGCGGCTCAGTGGTTTAACCCACTGCACCACCAGGGGCTCCATTGGTAGCAATAGCATCACAATTTTTACCACAAAATGCCCTCTGATTTCATCAGTAAGAAAATTTTAGCTTTATTAATTATCTTCCAATCTGATATTAATCCATTTATTGGGGGTTGGTTACATAAATGACTGTCATGTGTGCTAGATGCAAAATAGTACAAAGCTCCAGTACCCTTCATGCTCAGCAAGCCACATTTTCTGAGGCCCACTCTTCTACGTAACTAGTAAAGGAACAGGAATCATGTCCTTAATTGTTTGGGGTTACCCAAAGTGGTTGCCATTTTTGTGTCCTTGCCTTATGAATGCTTCTCAAAATATGAGAGGATTGTGTATTTGTGCAATGCTACAATCTATTCCTTGCTAGGATAATGCATAAAGAGGAACATTCCTAATCATTAAGTTCCCAGCCAGCAATGCTTACCCTTCTGTGGTTTCTGTTTTGAATCTTTTCACATCTGGTTCCTTGAGAGGGAAATGGAAGACAAACAGTGTTGATAAGCCCTCGCCCTTTTCTCTTTCTTTAAAAATAAGGTGAAAATTTTATTCTCGTGGATGCTTCCTCCAGCATCAATATGTCTCTCCTCAAAGGGCAATATAAAAACATTTTTTTCCAAACATATCACAGAAAAGTACTCCAGGTTTTGCATCCATGTCTCAATCATTTTGAAAAAAAAAAACAAAACAAAAAGGTGTTTTAAAATTCTCATTATCCACATGGCCTCTCATACATACTTTTTCCCCAAACTGTTCCTCCTCCTCCTCTTCTTCATTTTCTAAGTTAGTCTCTTGCTTCAGCTCTCCATTCACCTCTTCAGATTTACGTTTATTTGACCTATTGCAATCAATCACAATATAGATTTCTTAGAGAAGAAATTGCACTTAAGAGCAGGAAAAAAAAAGCTAAGGATCATTCTGTAAGTTTCAATTTTCAAGGCATGCTTGTGGGAACAACATGAAACGGATAGTCTTAGATGTGCAGACATTCAATTTGAGCTCACTTCTTCCAAAGCATTTTGCTGACATGACTGATCCGAAGTCCAGTAACAGGATTACAAGGTCAATGTAGACCCTGACACAGACTTGGTCAGAGCTTGGAAAAGTTACTTTTCAGACTGCAACATCCAACCTGCATCCCAGACATTTCCTTTAACCATTCCTGCCTTGGAGAGCAACGATGACAACACACAGAACTAGTAAGAAAATCATGTTTTCCCAAAGTCTGTCCAGGTGTTTTGCCCTGGGAATGCTTGTTGATCTTTCTCCGAATCAATGTAGACCCCGACACGGACTTGGTCAGAGCTTGGAAAAGTTACTTTTCAGACTGCAACATTAAACCTGCATCCCAGACATTTCCTTTAACCACTCCTGCCTTGGAGAGCAACGATGGCAACACACAGAACTTGTAAGAAAATCATGTTTTCCCAAAGTCTGTCCAGGTGTCTTGCCCTGGAAAGCCTGTTGATCTTTCTCCGAATCAATGTAGACCCCGACACGGACTTGGTCAGAGCTTGGAAAAGTTACTTTTCAGACTGCAACATTCAACCTGCATCCCAGACATTTCCTTTAACCACTCCTGCCTTGGAGAGCAACGATGACAGCACACAAAACTCGTAAGAAAATAATGTTTTCCCAAAATCTGTCCAGGTGTCTTGCCCTGGAAAGGCTTGTTGATCTTTCTCCGAATCTCATAATATGCTCCTCTAGTTTTTACATATATACACAACAGTTTGTCCAGTGTTCACCTCTAGCCACTTCAATGAAACTAGAAATACGGCAATCACAGGGGAAAAAAATAACGAAAGCCAAAAAAGATATCATTGTGGAAAACACAGAAGCAGTAAGGGGTGGGGTGGCACGCCAGTGTTACACACAACCCTACTCACCCTTTAGAAAACATAGCCACAATGGTAGGCTGCTTGCCAGAACTACGAGTGACCCTTGAGCTGCTTGGGGTTTCTGCAAATTAATTTAAAAACACATACACAAATAAAAAACACAAACAGTTGCAGATTGTCACAAGAAATTCAATGTGCAGATTTGAAAAATGTGAATTTAATATGATGTGTGGGAATGAATGGAATAATGGAAGGATGTGTGGTTGGAGTTAATAATTTTGGAAACACCAGTATGGCCTGCAATGACTAACTACCTACTTGCTGGAACTGTGATCAAAACCTGCTAATGAGAATTGATAAGAACTGTGACAATGGTTCTTTCAAGTTAAGGAAATGTTTGCAACATTCCTTATGTTAAGAAGGAAGTCAACATAAGATCAACACCAATCAAAAAGATCAACATCTGGCCAGGAAACTGAGATGGAGCCAGGATGGAAGACATCTATCATTCATTTACAACTTTGGGACTAAATCAGCAGAATGTTCCTATAAAAGACTCAGTCTAATAATGCTCAAAGTGTGACCGACCTGAGGAGTCTGGTTCACCCACTATGCTCTGCTCCATGGGAAGGAGAGAGATAGTGTACCTGTGGAGAGCATCAAATATGCCATGGGAAAGCAGGATTCTGTCACTTTGGGGCTTCTTTCTCAAGGGAAGAGGAAGAAGTGCGCTTTTAGAGTCTTGGATTTTGTGCAGGGAGTCAGGTCCTGCTGTACGGAAAACAGAGATCTGGTCCTTGGTATTGTTCTTAGGGAAAAAAATGTTGGCGTTTCAGTGTTTTGAGGTTATGGAGTTATGAAACTATATGTTGGCAGGCAGGCTGCAGGAAAGCAGGGTCTGGCCTAAGAGGTGCTTCTCCAAAGAGGGAGAAAAGGATATGGTAATATTTTGGATGCATGTGGATGAATGTGTGTGCATGTGGTGTGAATGTTGAGTGAAAATGTAATTCCCCTTTGTCTGTTTGTTAACCAATGTAATTGTAAATCCAATGTAGTTGCATAGAATCTGTATGTCTGTATGTCCAATGTCAGTTTTCGTCTAAATGTTTTTCTGTAATCCCATATATCCTCTCACGCTGGAAATTGCAATAAAAAGAACCTATGCTTCAAAGTTATTGAAAAGTCATTCATGACACAGATGCTGGGCATTGACAATTACGGCTGCTTTCAAAATGCTCAAAGCAGATATACTTTTCCACAAATTACTACTGTCATGTCTGAATCAGAAAAACCTTCCATCATTCAACGCATCGCTTTCATCTCAAGCTGAATAGAAAGACAAACTTTGTTGCACTTGTATCATGATGGGAATCAGATAATTTTCTTGATTTTTTAAGTCCTCTGGCCAGCATAGCCAATGATTAGAAATCCTGACCTAGAAGATACAGTCCCGCAGTATCTGCAAGGCCATGATTCCCACCCTTGATTGATACTACAGTTTTGCTATTACTGCCTAGAGACATGTTCTTCATCCTGCTGCAGTCACCTTGAAATGAAGCTCAACAAAGGGACGTTGGAGGAATGGTGACACATTCCAGAATTAAATCCCACCCTTAGGCCAAGTTTTCCCATGGCTACAGGGTATGCTGAGGGGTGATTCTGGGAAGTGTCATCCAAAATACAACTTCAACAGGTTCTGGTTCAGGATTGGACACTTAATTCTTGCTGGAGCAAACTACGTGAGTGCATGGGAACACATCTAAATCTCATGGTTTACTCAACAGTCCATTTTTATCTTTTGCACCTCCACAATAAGGAAACTGTGAAGCCCTCATTCAGCAACAGAAACAACAGAGACAGAAAATGAGGAGGTAGCGCATCCCTCAGGCTTTAGTGGCAATGAAAATTTTGCTTGGCTGATGTATTGCAGAAAGGAACAAGAAACTGAAATTTCTTCCTTTTGCTATGTGCTTCTACCTTCATCTCTCTCCAGCTGAACTAATTTCTTTCAGAAGGGTCTGGAAATCAGGACAAGTGCCAGATGACACTAGATCAAGGACTGCAAATGACCCCAGGTTTGCTGATTGTCAGCTGCAGGATTAAGGAGTGCACCTAAAATTTATAGTTTTCCCATGACTTTTGCTTAAGCATTCAAACGACTTCTTACTTCTGCTCTCACTGTTGGACTTGCTCTTCCTGCCTCTACGCGCTTTGAGCACAGATGGTGAAGCCAGTGGTGTTGATGAGGAAGATGTAGCTGCCTCTTCAATCTCCATGTTGCTGTCCACTTCCGCTTTGCTGCCCAGTCTCTCAGGTTCCTCATCGCTACCATAAGCACCATTTTCTGCACAGCCATTGGCCTTCTGGCCAAGTTCCAGGTTATCTCCATTTTCAAAAGACAGTTCTTTGTGGAGCAGGGCTTTAACTTTGGCTAGATACCGTTCCTGTAGCACCATGCAAAAAAACAAAAACAAAAAAAAAAAACAACTTAATCAAGATTCCTTTCTACATTGAGATTTAATTGAATGCTCAAGTCCCAGAAAAGAACTTAGTGATGAGAAACCTGACATAGGCTAGTTTGACGATTGCATTTCAGAAATTATTCCAGTTAAATGGAGAAGCAGACAGTGAAACAATGCTTGGACAGAACAGGAAGTATCCACATACCATTAACAATTAAGCACAGTCTACCCTTCACTTTTGCGGGGCTTAGGAGAGCACCCCTCATCCCAAAAGTGGAAAAATCACAGGAATCTCCAGAACCCTCTCAGGACCAATGAGGGAAGATGGAGTACCACCATTGTGCTCCTCAGGGAACTTACTCACTCCTACCCACCTCTTTCTCTGCCTGCTGCCCCCAAGGCACATACGCTCCCATGACTTCCTTTTTCTCCACCTACCTATTTGCTTGCATGGGGGGGAGGGGGCTGGAGATGAAGAGGAGAAAGACAGTGGTAGCAAGGAGGCAGAGGCTTGTAAACTGGCAATTTAGAAAGCTACAAACTAATGAAAAATCCCCGATGCAAGAACCCCATGGAAGTTGAGATTCAAGTCTACTGACCTCAGAAAGCTCTTCTTTGTGTAACTTGGTCTCCAAGTCTTTCAGCTGATTCTGAACATCTGCTTTTAAGAAGCCATGCATCAAATTCAGCTTTTCTTTAACACATTCCTGAAGAGAGAGAAGGAGAGTGAGCAACTCTTGCATTTGGCAACTCAGACCTGCAAGGACTTCCAAGGAAACAGTGGCAGAAAGGTAAAGTCAGACTCATGACTCTCTATTGAACAGCAAGGGAAATGAAAACGGATGCACTCACTCTTTCTCCAAGACCATCTTCATCCCTCTCCAGATCTTTTAGCCTGTTAAAAACAAAACAAAACCTTTTTTTACATTAGAAGGCAGCCCCTTCCTCCCTCTTGTTTTTAAAAGATAACTTTAGTATCTTGGTGGTACTGATGAAGGCAACCACAACTGAACTCTACACTCTGTCATAACCATCCTTCTCACAAGATGAAATGACTGCAGGGGATCTTCATGAAACATTGCAACCCAAATCACTTGGGTTCAGGAAAATGCAAGGTTCACAATTTCACGGATTCCTTCTTCTTCATGATGACAAAGTCAGCAAAAAGCTATACAAAGAAGGAGCACACAAGCTTGAGGTTTGTTCCTGACCTCTTCATGTACAAATCCCAGAAATGAAGAACCACATGAAGAGTGCCTTCCTCTCTATGGAAGCTTAACTGTATTTTAACTTATACTGATGACACAAATATTTAATTGTTTTTGATCTTTTTAATTTTTTTAATATTTGCAATTTTTAAATTCATCGGGTTGTGCCATGTAATTGTGAGCTGCCTTGAATCCCCATGGAGAGAAAGACAGGGTAGAAATAAAGTAAATAAAGAAATAATAATAATAGCATATTTGATCACAAGTACCTCAGATACCACATTTCAGTGCAGAGGGATGTCTAAGGAGGGAAAAGGGCTGCCCTAGTTCAAACTGACTAGAAGAGTAAGTAAACTATGGTTGCATCCTTTGGTCTCTAATACCCTGGTATTAGTCATGGTTGAGATAGATTTCTGCCCCCATACCCAGCCATTTGTCTTGAGAGGACTCAACATTACATAATGCTATTTAAGTAAACCTCAAGTCAAGAAACAAGAGAAGGAACACAAATTCTGGCACATCTGAAAGTGGTATGGGGTAAGTCCGGTGTGCTTAAAGCAGAATTCTACAACTTTGTGTTTCCAGATGTCTTCAACTCACACTACCCAGACAGCGTAGCCATGACATCTCAGAAGGACATGACTTTTGGGAAGTCAGCTTTAAACATTCCCAGTTAGGTCCTCAATATTAGGAAAGAATAAACAACACAAAAACATATCTATGAAAATGAAAGTGGCATCTTCAACCAGGTGATAAAAAAAAATATATAGTTCATCTTTTATAGATCCCATAGGCTTAAAGTCTCTTTAACTTACTTGTCATTTTTGTTGCATATATGCATGCAGACACAAGTACACACAAACAAACACACAATGAACACAACTGAATTGTGAAACTTGAGCAATTTCTTAACAGCTCAGAAAAAATTTACCGTTTTACATTTGTATCTGGGAACTATCCCTCCATTAAAAATAAATAGCCATTGGTCAAAATATCTTCAAAAGACCACCTCTCTTGTACTACTTCAGCGGTACTTATAATCCTCCTATTTAATCCTTCATCTGTTGCAGCACTTCATGGCACCAAGATAGCTGAATTACAGCAATCATATGACACCTCACCCACTGGCGTAATGTTAATCTTTCTGGACCCCATTAAAATCCAGCCCATTCCTATTTAAATATGCTTTATGTTTTTGTGGACTGAATATCGTTGTGCTCTGCATCTGAAGAAGCAAGTTTATATCCACAACAGCTCATGCTAAAAAAAAACACTCTTAATGGTGCTGCAACATTCCTTTTCACCTGTCCCTTCTTTTATAGAAATGGGAATTTCCCCGTCTTTCATTCAAGATGGCTACTTGACACACACTCTCCCAGTCAACTAGTTTACACTTTGATTTGACATCTGGCACACTGTAGGCCATATGTTTTCTTTTAAGCAAAAGACCACATTCCACGTTGTTATTAAGGCCTTTTATAAATAAAGTGTTTTATTATTATTATTATTATTATTATTATTATTATTATTATTATTATACATGCCTACTTTCTTTGACAAGATAATCTGTGCAGTGATTCCTTTGCAAAAGTACTCCATAGGAATTCATTTCGCATATCAACAGTGTCAGGACTGGCTCAGTAAAGACTGACTGGTTCCACTGAAATCATTAGTCACTTTTTAGGCTAGGATTGGGAATCAAGCAGTCTTTCAGCTGTTGTTGGACTGGTGTTTCTCACTATTGGTTCTACTGGCCAGGGCTAATAGGAAATATTGTTTGGCAATATACATGACTCCACAATCCTATTTCAGTTTGTTTGTGCGTTGCTCTTGCAATGGCAATTTATCAACAGTTGGAGTGGATCACATTCACTGATTGAATCATGTAGTGTTTTGCTTCAATCACCTTCATACTTTACATAATAATACTGCTCTTACGTACAAGATAAAACCACCACAGCACCCTCCTGCTTCTATACTAGGACCACAAACAGCAAGAATCAGGAGCATGCAGACCTCTGGGCATTGCTTAACTACAACTCATATTATTCCTTATCATTAACTATCATCCCTAGTGTTAACGGTAGCCATGGGGCACACACTTCCCAATTTTACATCTCCTGGCAGATGTTACCATTTTGTGTATTTGACAAGAATAAGTTCTACTCCCATAAGCTTTAAAAGTGCTGGTCTTAAAGTAATATGATATTGCCTCTGTCAGGCCTCTAACTTCTTTACTTTTTCTATACGTAACAGATCACTGCTGCTAAAAATGCCACACAATGAATTGGTTAAGGTTATTGGACATCCATTCATGAGTAATAACAAGGGAGAAAAGAAAGGCTAAAATGTACCTGTAATTGCCATAGCGATGGTTAGAGCCACCAATATTGGCCAAATAGAGCACGACTTACATACTGTAGAGTACCATGACGATAGTGTTATGCCTCGCCTAATGACCCGAAGGCACCATTTCCTTATCTGGTCTTGAAAAACTAGGCAGGGTCAGTCTGGGTTATACTAGAATGGGACACCTATGCTAAATTTCATCAAAAGGCAAGTACTAATCACCTCTGAATACTCTTTGCCTTAGGCCCCTTCCACATAACTGAATAAAATCCTACATTTTCTGCTTTGAACTGGAATATATGGCAGTGTGGACTCAGGGCCCTTCCACACAGCTGTATATCCCAGAATATCAAGGCAGAAAATCCCACTATATCTGCTTTGAACTGAGTTATTTGAGCCCACACTCAGATAATGTGGGATTTTCTGCCTTGATATTTTGGGATATAGGGCTGTGTGGAAAGGCCCCAAAGAAATGTCTATGAAATTCATGCAGTCATTGTAAGTGAACGGGCAACCTGAGGACACATAAACATATATGTGACAATATAACTTATTAACGAGGAGCCCCTGGTGACGCAATGGGTTAAACCCCTGTGCCGGCAGGACTGAAGACTGACAGGTCGCAGGTTCGAATCTGGGGAGAGCGCGGATGAGCTCCCTCTGTGAACTCCAGCTCCTCATGTGGGGACATGAGAGAAGCCTCCCACAAGGATGATAAAAACATCAAATCATCCAGGCGTCCCCTGGGCAACGTCCTTGCAGACGACCAATTCTCTCACACCAGAAGCGACTTGCAGTTTCTCAAGTCGCTCCTGACATGACAAAAAACAAAAACAAAAACCTTATTAGCAAGCGACTTTACTGCAAGGTACACAATTGTACAGGGAGGGGCATATTAGTTCTGTTGCTGACTCACCATCACTCACTGAGTTTTTAACATTAATAACAATAATAACAATTTTATTTTTGTATCCTGCCACCATCTCCCTGAAGAGACCTGGGGCGGCTTACATGGGGACAAACATAGAATTAAAACATAGCACAGTAAAATTTATAAAAACAACATAAAAAAACCACAAAATAACATCATCAATCAATCCATAGACTGACATAGTAATCAAATACTAGACTAGAATAATGCCAAGAAAGTCATTTACATTACTGAACTTCCTGTACCACATTGTTACTAACCCCCTGCAATTATACTAACATCATGTCCCAAATGCACTTTATTAGAGATTTAAGATTGTCTGCACACCGCACTTACCTCTAAAAACCTATACATTTCACCTGTCATGTCCAGCACTTTTTAAATTTTATTCATTACATTTGGCCCGGCCTTTAGTTTTAAATGCATCGTGGTGTTATTGTTCTAATGTATATTGTTATTGCTTTGATGTTTATTGTTTTACTTTATGAGTTTTATTGTTGTATTTGTTATGCTGTTGTTTTATTGAGGGCCTTGGCCTTTTGTAAGCCGCACCGAGTCATTCGGGAGATGTTAGCGGGGTATAAATAAAGCTAATAATAATAATAATAATAATAATAATAATAATAATAATAATAATTATACAACACATTCTTCCTTTTCCATTCCTCCTCATTAACATTTTAAAGTAGTCGCCATTTGGTGGGCCATTCATGATGGTTTCACATGGTTTGGGATGGTGACTTAAGAATGAAGTATATTTCCCAGCAGAGAAAAGGACCTGAACCAAGTTTTACTTTCAAAGAATGAAGACATCCACCCTTGCGCTGTGCTACTCTGCTGCTGAGTATGCATGCCCAGTGTGGAACACATCTCACCACACTAAAACAGTGGATGTGGCTCTTAATGAGACATGCCGCATTATCACGGGGTGTCTGCGCCCTACACCACTGGAGAAATTACACTGCTTAGCCGGTATTGCACCACCTGACATCCGCCGGGAAGTAGCAGCCAATAGTGAAAGGACCAAGGCAGTGATATCTCCAGCTCATCCCTTGTTTGAGTATCAGCCAGCACGTCAACGACTTAAATCAAGAAATAGTTTTCTAAGATCTACAGAGACACTTGCTGGAACACCTCAGCAAGCGAGAGTCCAAAAGTGGCAGGCTCAAACCCAGAACCTCAACCAATGGCTGATACCAAATGAGAGACTCCCCCCTGGGCACACAGAGGACTGGGGGACTTGGAAGGCGCTGAACAGACTGCGCTCTGGCACCACGAGATGCAGAGCCAACCTTCAGAAATGGGGCTACAAAGTGGAATCCTCGACATGCGAGTGTGGAGAAGAGCAAACCACTGACCACCTGCTGCAATGCAACCTGAGCCTGCCACATGCACAATGGAGGACCTTCTTGCAGCAACACCAGAAGCACTCCAAGTGGCCAGATACTGGTCAAAGGTCATCTAATCAACTACCAAACTCGCAAATTTTGTATTCTGTATTTTGTCTGTTTGTTTGCTTTGTTCTGTTAGAAATGTAATATAATTGACTGGTTGCTGATGACTCGATAAATAAAGCCTGAAGCAGTTCAATACTTTACTCTGGAGAAGTTTTTCCCTGATTGTAACTCACCACTTCCCCACCCTATACAGGACTAAGGACTTAAGGGATACTTCAAGGTGTGAAAAGGCTGTGGGGAGGTTGGAGATGCATGGCACTCCTGCTGTCACTTCATGCTAGACAAACACAAATATGCAACAATACAAAGGGAAGTGAGGGGGAGAAATGCAAATTGATTTGTCTCCTCAAACACATGGCTAAATGTGATTCCACTATCACCTTCATCGCCTCCCACAAATAAAAAGATTTCACATGGGGGATAGAACATGGGAAGACTCTATCCGACTACTTCAGGGGAAAAAAAAGTTTGGAGAAATTGCTAAACTGAATGCGAGAGTAGCCACATGCTCTTGCGAGGGAAAGGCGGGAGAGTTTTATCCCAGACTGCCAACTGCAGACAAAAGCGGCACACACGCTGTCGGCCTACGTCCCCTATCTCCTTCCTTTGAGAGCAAACAGACAGACGTACTATGTGGCTCAAACTATATGGCAGGCCTCACCACCTCACATAGCAGCAACTGGCAGAATGAGCTCCACATATTGGAGACATCAAGCTGGAAAGCTTGCATGCAGCTCTCCAATATTATTTAATGAGCAGTTTCAAAAAAAGAAGAGGGAGAGAGAGAAGAAACGCTTCCCTTCTTCCGATCTCTGCACTGCTGCACAAAAGCCCGCTTATTTTCAACAAGCACACCTTTCTGGACTCCATTTTGCAACCAGGCCGTAAGGACCACTTGCAGGAAGAAACATAGAGATATGACGGATATCAAATGCAAAGAAGCTGGGAGAAGAGCAACGATTACATGAGTCCAAACCTATTTGTTCCTTCTGCAGAAGAAAGTGGAAAGTTAGTGAATTCTGCAATGTGTTTTAGAATGCATTGTATCGAAGGTTTCCTGTCAATAATGCTGGCAATCGGATCTAAAGCTTTAAAATAGTGAGGGACAGTGACATTTTGAAAAGTGTCGTAAACAAGGTGGAAGAAAAGGGGGAAATGGCGCCTCACTTCAAACCCGACCGCCAATGTGCTTCTGCGGCAGCACAGCAATCGGTTCCAAAGAGTGAGAGTAAGCAAAAACATTTGCACAAGGAAAATTTATTTCAAGCAGATAGAGAGAGAAAAAAATGTACGGCTATATATTTTCCAGAAAGGCTGTTGGGATGAGATGCCCCAAGGAAAGAGGCCCACAGAAAACACCTCCCAAGGAAAGGGACAGGCTCCATTGAAATGCAGCGCGCTCCTGGAGGCGCCAGAAACCGGAGAGCCAACCAGCCCGCCTTGCAAGTTTGGGGTTGCGCCAATGAACCCAATGCATGAGGAACCTACCCCCCCCCCCTTTTTTTGTTTTTAATACATTAGTCAGGGCATGTTAACCACTGCTTCCTGGACTCTCTCTCTCTTTGTTAATCCTTGTTCTAAACACACACAAACAAGTCTTCCCGCCAAGCCACGCTTTTGACTAGGGAAGAAATCGGTTTCTACTTCCTGTCCCAGATGGGAAGGTGGGGCATGATGAGAGCAAGGCAAGGACAAAATGCCTGAGGTGCAGAAAGGCCTATTTTATTTTATTATTATTTTGCTTCTTTAATAAGCTCCCTTCCACACAGATGAATAAAATCCAAATTTTTCTGTTTTGAACTGGAATATATGGCAGTGTGGACTCAGATAACCCAGTTCAAAGCAGATATTGTCGGATTTTTCTGCCTTGTTATTCTGGGTTATATGGCTGTATGGAAGGGCCTGAGTCCACACTGCCATATAACCCGGTTCAAAGCAGATAGTGTGGGATTTTATACAGCCTTAGGTCCCCGAGTCCCCTTTGGGGAGATGGTGGCAGGGTATAAATAAAGATTATTATTATTATTATTATTATTATTATTATTATTATTAAAACATTAATTCATCCGGGTGTCCCCTGGGCAACAGCCCTGCAGACGGCCAATTCTCTCACACCAGAAGCGACTTGAAGTTCCTCAAGTCGCTCCTGACATGACAAAAAATGAATTATTATTATTATTATTATTCTACACAGCTGAATAAAATCCCACATTTTCTGCTTTGAACTGGAATATATGGCAGAGTGGACTCAGATAACCCAGATCAAAGCAGATATTGTTGGATTTTTCTGCCTTGTTATTCTAAGTTATATGGCTGTATGGAAGGGCCTGAGTCCACAGTGACATATAACCCGGTTCAAAGCAGATAGTGTGGGATTTTATACAACCTTAGGTCCCCGCGTCCCCTTTGGGGAGATGGTGGCAGGGTATAAATAAAGATTATTATTATTATTATTATTATTATTATTATTATTATTATTATTAAAACATCAATTCATCCGGGCGTCCCCTGGGCAATGTCCTTGCAGACGGCCAATTCTCTCACACCAGAAGCAACTTGAAGTTTCTCAAGTCGCTCCTGACACGACAAAATTTATTAGTATTACTATTATTCCACACAGCTGACTACAATCCCACATTTTCTGAACTGGAATATAAGGCAGTGAAGACTCAGATAAGAGTTCCAAGCAGATACTGTGGGATTTTTCTGCCTTGATATTCTGGGTTATATGGCTGTGTGGAAGGGCCCAGAGTCCCCAAACTCAAAACTGGGATGGATGCAAACTGCAAAGAGCAGCTAGCCTCCTCTTCCTCTTCCCTGCCTCCTGGAGACAACAAAAAGTAGGAAATCTTTATGTTTTATGTAATTTATCAAGTTATTGTGTGATTTGATTTTAGTTATTGTATTGTGTTGTTGGGCTTGGCCTCATGTAAGCCGCCCCGAGTCCCCATTGGGGAGATGGAGGCAGGGTATAAATAAAGTTTATTATTATTAAATCCCCTTGCTTCTCTGCTTCTATTGCTATTAAAAACGTTGGAAGCCCAGTTTAAAGAGAAGAAACCTGAGACGAACAAAACTTGACACCTTAAGTTATTTTCTCACTTTTGGAGATGATTGACAGCCAAACATTCGACTTGTGCTGCATGGCAGAGCAGCCAAAAGAAAAGAACGCAGAGGTAGGAAGAAACAGAAATTAGAAATAACTAGCTGTACCCGCCACGCGTTCCTGTGGCCAACCTTCCCTCCCTCTTTCTCTCCTTCTTCCTTTCTCTTCCTTCCTTCCCTCTTTCTCCTTCCCTTCTTCTTTCTTCTCTACTTGTTTCTTCCTTTGCTCTTTGGTTCCATCCTTCCTTCTCTCTTTCCTTCCCTCCCTCTCTCTTTCATTCCTTCTCTCCTTCCTTCCCTCTCACTTTCCTTCCTTCTTTCACTTTTTTTTCCTTCTCTCTTTCTTTCCTCTCCTTCTCTCCTTGTGAATCCCAGTGACTACAACTCCCAAATGTCAAGGTCTATTTACCCCAAACTCCACCAGTGTTCATATTTGGGTGTATTGAGTGCTTGTGCCAAGTTTGGTCCAGATCCATCATTGTTTGAGTCCACAGTGCTCTCTGGATATAGATGAACTACAACTCCCAAACTCAAGGTCAGTGCCCACCAAACTCTTCCAGTATTTTCTGTTGGTCATGGGAGTCCTGTTTGCCAAGAATGGTTCAATTTAATCGTTGATGGAGTTCAGATCTTTGATGGGAGTTCAGAAAGTTCTTTGATTGTAGCTGAACTATAAATCCCAGCAACTACAACTCCCAAATGACAAAATCATAATTTTTTGAGTGATGGTCACTCCTTGTGTTGTGAGACGTTTTGTTGCCAAATTTGGTGTGATTTCGTTCATTGGTTCTTTTGTTTTTAAGGTACTCATTATGCACAGAGCATTTATTTATATATAGATTTAAGAGATCTAGATATTGCCAAGAATATATGCCTCTAGAACAGGTTCTCAACCTGGGGTCCCCAGATGTTTTTGGTCTACAACTCCCAGAAATTCCAGCCAGTTTATCAGCTGTTAGGATTTCTGGGATTTGAAGGCCAAAAACATCTGGGAACCCCAGGTTGAGAATCACTGATATAGATAGATAGATAACAACAACATATTGATGAACATCCATTCCAATACTGAAAAAAAAGTGGAGGCAGTTAACAGGCCCAAGACTGGCCAAGCAATGGAGGGCCCTTCCACACAGACAACATCAAGGCAGGCAATCCTACAGTATCTGCTTTGAACTGGGTTATCTGAGTCCACACTGCCATATAATCCAGTTCATAGAGGATAATGTGGGATTTGATTCAGCTGGAAGGTGCTCAATTTATTCAGCAAAGCAGGCCTTCCAATCCTTCAAGAACACACAGAATTTGATAGGGGAGGAGTAATTATGGTGTAATTATGTTAAATGAGGAGAATGTGTCCAGGGAGGCCTCAGAAGGCCACCCTTCCCTTTAAGAGACCCCCTCTTTCTCCTCACACTCTCCCTTCACTTCCCTCTGAAGGAGAGAGACGAAGAAGAAGGGCGAAACCATGTCTAAAAGGGAGGGGGGGCTGAGGAGGGAGAAACCATATACAAAATGGAGGGGGGGGGCTCGAAAGACCAGCAGTCTCCCCCTCATTGAGGGTGCCCCCCCCAAAGCTTGAATTGGGGTCGTGGGGAGCAGGAACCGCACTCACCGCCTGCGCAGCTCCTCGGGGGTCAGCGGGGCGGCCCGGGCGGGCATCTCGGCAGGAAGGACGGAAGGAAGGAAGAAGGAAGGCGGCGGGCAAGGAGCCGGAGGGCGGCCGAGAGCGGTTTCGCGCGCACCGGGGAGGAGGGGGAGGAGGGAGGGGCGGGGCCGGAGCTGGACTGAACCATCCGGAATTAGTCCGGGGGGGGGGGAGGCAAGAGGAGGTCTCTACTTCAGGCCTTCTCAATGCATGGAGTGGGAGAGACCAAGTAGACAAGGAGGGGGGTGTCCGTGTTTGTATTGCTGTGCCTTTATCGAGGTATGGTGACTCCATACGTTTCTTAGGGTTTTCATACTTCATCACACACTAGAGAGAATGAATCCACTTTCACTCTGGTTTCTGCCTCCTGCAGGATTCTGGGGTTTGTAGTTTAGGGAGGCTGTTCTAGGCTCCTCCCTAAACTACACACCCCAGAATTCTGCTGGAGGCAGCAACCAGATTGAAAGTGGATTCATCCTCTAGTGTGATGAGGTCCTTATAGAAAAGTCAGAGGTTGCTTTGATCATTTACAAAATGCAGATCATAACTCTGTAGCTCTGTGCATGGCAGTGAGAGAAGTGTGTGTTTATGTATGTATGTATGTATGTGTGTGTATATATATATCTAGCCGTCCCCTGCCACGGTTGCTGTGGCCCACATGGGGGTTCTGTGTGGGAGGTTTGGCCCAATTCTATAGTTGGTGCGGTTCAGAATTCTCTTTGATTTTAGGTGAACTATAAATTGCAGCAACTACAACTCCCAAATGTCAAGGTCTATTTCCCTTAAACTCCATCTGTGTTCATATTTGGGCATAAGGAATATTCGTGCCAAGTTTGGTCCAGATCCGTCATTGTTTGAGTCCACAGTGCTCTCTGGATGTAGGTGAACTACAACTCCAAAACTCAAGGGGAATGTCCACCAAACCATTCCAGTGTATTCTGTTGGTCATGGAAGTCCTGTATGCCATGTTTGGTTCAGTTCCATCATTGGTGGAGTTCAGAATGCTCTTTGATTGTAGGTGAACTGTGAATCCCAGTGACTACAACTCCCAAATGTCAAGGCCTATTTCCCCCAAACTCCATCTGTGTTCATATTTGGGCGTATTGAGTGCTTGTGCCAAGTTTGGTCCAGATCCGTCATTGTTTGAGTCCACAGTGCTCTCTGGATGTAGGTGAACTACAACTCCCAAACTCTAGGTCAATGCCCACCAAATCCTTCCAGTATTTTCTGTTGAGTCATGGGAGTTCTGTGTGCCAAGTTTGGTTCAATTCCATCGTTGACGGAGTTCAGAATGCTCTTTGATTGTAGGTGAACTATTAATCCCAGCAACTACAACTCCCAAATGACAAAATCATAATTTTTTGAGTGATGGTTACTCCTTGCGTTGTGAGATGTTTTGTTGCCAAATTTGGTGTGATTTTGTTCATTGGTTCTTTTGTTTTTAGGCTCCTCCCTAAACTACACACTCCAGAATTCTGCTGGAGGCAGCAACCTGATTGAAAGTGGATTCATTCTCTAGTGTGATGAGGTCCTTATAGAAAAGTCAGAGGTCGTTTTCATCATTTACAAAATGCAGACCATAACTCTGTAGCTCTGTGCATGGCAGTGAGAGAAGTGCATGTGTGTATATATGTTATGACTGTATATATATATATATAGAGAGAGTATGTATGTGTGTATATATACTGTATATACCAAATGTCTGCAGATGTTGTGTGCAGAAGACATCATGCGATGTGCAGGGCTTGATGAATGCAAAGCTGGGGTGAAAATTGCTGGAAGAAACATTAACAACCTCAGATATGCAGATGACACCACTCTGATGGCCGAAAGCGAGGAGGAGCTGAGGAGCCTTCTAATCAAGGTGAGAGAAGAAAGCGCAAAAGCTGGGCTGCAGCTAAACATAAAAAAACCAAGAGTATGGCAACAAGAATGATTGACAACTGGAAAATAGAGGGAGAAAATGTGGAGGCCGTGACAGACTTTGTATTTCTAGGCGCGAAGATTACTGCAGATGCAGACTGTGGCCAGGAAATCAGAAGACGCTTACTTCTTGGGAGGAGAGCAATGTCCAGTCTCGATAAAATAGTGAAGAGTAGAGACATCACACTGGCAACAAAGATCCGCCTAGTCAAAGCCATGGTATTCCCTGTAGTAACCTACGGATGTGAGAGCTGGACCTTAGGGAAGGCTGAGCGAAGGAAGATAGATGCTTTTGAGCTGTGGTGCTGGAGGAAAGTGCTGAGAGTGCCTTGGACTGCGAGAAGATCCAACCAGTCCATCCTCCAGGAAATAAAGCCCGACTGCTCATTGGAGGGAAGGATACTAGAGACAAAGTTTAAGTACTTTGGCCACATCATGAGGAGACAGCAAAGCCTAGAGAAGACAATCATGCTGGCGAAAGTGGAAGGTAAAAGGAAGAGGGGCCGACCAAGGGCAAGATGGATGGATGGCCTCCTTGAAGTGACTGGACTGACCTTGAAGGAGCTGGGCGTGGTGACGGCCGACAGGGAGCTCTGGCGTGGGCTGGTCCATGAGGTCACGAAGAGTCGAAGACGACTGAACGAATGAACAACAATTCTCTAGTGTGATGAGGTCCTTATAGAAAACTAAGAGGTTGCTTTGATCATTTACAAAATGCAGACCATAACTCTATAGTAAGTAAGTAAAAAAAAAGGTAAAGGTAAAGGTAGTCCCCTGACATTAAGTCCAGTCATGTCTGACTCTGGGGTGTGGTGCTCATCTCCATTTCTAAGCCGAAGAGCCAGCGTTGTCCATAGACACCTCCAAGGTCATGTGGCCAGCATGACCGCATGGAGCGCCGTTACCTTCCCGCCGGAGTGGTACCTATTGATCTACTCACATTTGCATGTTTTCGAACTGCTAGGTTGGCAGAAGCTAGGGCTGACAGCGGAAGCTCACGCCGCTCCCTGGAATCGAACCTGCAACCTTTTGGTCAACAAGCTCAGCAGCTCAGTGCTTTAACCCACTGCGCCACCATAAGTAAGTAATTTTATTGATTAGCCCTTAGGCCATATCACAATAAGAAACAGAACAACAAGGACTGTCAAGACCTTATCACACTCCACGTAGTAAGTTGAAATACGACACTTATAACAATACAATAAATAAATATGATAAAACGTGATTAAACTGATAAACTGATCAAGCAGAGTATATACATCATATTTCATTAACACCCCTACAATTTACCCCAATCAGCCTCTGGATGTAGGTGAACTACAACTCCCAAACTCAAGGTCAATGCCCACCAAAACCTTCCAATATATTCTGTTGGTCATGGGAGTTCTGTGTGCCAAGTTTGGTTCAATTCCATCGTTGGTGGAGTCCAGAATGCTCTTTGATTGTAGGTGAACTATTAATCCCAGCAACTACAACTCCCAAATGACAAAATCATAATTTTTTGAGTGATGGTCACTCCTTGCATTGTGAGATGTTTTGGTGCCAAATTTGGTGTGATTTTGTTCATTGGTTCTTTTGTTTTTAAGGTACTCATTACACACAGAGCATTTTTATATAGATAGATAGATGGTGACTCCATACGTTTCTTAGGGTTTTCATACTTCATCACACACTAGAGAGAATGAATCCACTTTCACTCTGGTTTCTGCCTCCTGCAGGATTCTGGGGTTTGTAGTTTAGGGAGGCTGTTCTAGGCTCCTCCCTAAACTACACACTCCAGAATTCTGCTGGAGGCAGAAACCAGATTGAAAGTGGATTCATTCTCTAGTGTGATGAGGTCCTTATAGAAAAGTCAGAGGTTGCTTTGATCATTTACAAAATGCAGACCATAACTCTGTAGCTTTCTGCATGGCAGTGAGAGAAGTGCGTGTGTGTATATATGTAATGATTGTATATATAGAGGGGGAGAGTGAGTATGTATGTGTGTATATATACTGTATATACCAAATGTATATTTGTTTGCATATATAGTGTGCAGATTTTGTGTGTACATATGCGTATATCTATATTCTGCGTACCTTGGGAAGTCTGACTTGGCCACGGTAGTCCACACTCTGGTTACATCCCGTTTAGACTACTGCAACGCTCTCTACGTGGGGTTGCCTTTGAAGACGGCTCGGAAGCTCCAACTAGTCCAACGCTCGGCAGCCATGATTTTAACAGGAGCGGAGCGCAGGGAGCATACAACCCCCCTGTTGCGCCAACTCCACTGGCTACCGATCTGCTACTGGGCTGAATTCAAAGTGCTGGCGTTGGCCTTTAAAGCCCTAAACGGTTCCGGCCCAAGCTACCTATCCGACCACATCTCTGCCTATGAACCCACCAGGACTTTGAGATCTTCCAGGGATACCCTGCTCTCTATCCCGCCTGCTTCTCAAGCTCGGCTGGCGGGGACGAGAGATAGGGCCTTCTCGGTGGTGGCTCCTCGGCTGTGGAACGCCCTTCCAACGGACATTAGACTAGCACCATCTCTAATGGTATTCCGCAAAAAAGTGAAGACCTGGCTGTTTGAGCAGGCGTTTGAATAATTAGTGCAATGATTGGTAATGAAGATAGGAATGGAACAATGGATGACGAATCTGGAACATGTTTTTGATGACGAGACGACAGTGAATGGGTATTGTAGTAACTGTTTATTAATTGTGTAATGTGTTAGGTTGTTAACTGTTTCTATACTGTAGCACTGAATTTTTGCTGTTCGTATTTGTTGTGAACCGCTGTGAGTCGCCTTCGGGCTGAGAACAGCGGTATATAAGTAAGGTAAATAAATAAATAAATAAATATAAATGCTCAGTGCATTAAAAACAAAAGATCATAATAGGGGGATCCAGTCCCACACATCCACGTCAAACCCAAGGGGTTATAAACTTCAAACTTCAACAAATTTAAAAGTCTAGGCTAAAAACCACATAACCCACAAATTTAAAAATCTAGGCTAAAAACCACATAACCCAACTCAACCCACAAGATCATCCGAAGGCAGACTAAAAGGAGGTAGTGGGGATGGCACCGGGGTGCGGAATGGGGATGGCACCGGGGTGGGGGATGGGGTGGGGTGGGGGAATATCCAACACTATATCAGTCTATATCTGATTTCCCATCTATACATATTATAGATCAAAATGTTGTCCTTACAGACCAAATGACCTCCTAATTTCCTCAAAACCTATCTGTCTCTTGCATTTCCTAACATGGCAATTGAAAAGCAGAAATGGCAGATGATAACCTGTCTATACCCTTTACCCAGATGCACAGTGATGAGGATGTCATGCCCGGGGACCTCCAGAAGACTCTTGAGATCATAGAATCATAGAATCAAAGAGTTGGAAGAGACCTCATGGGCCATCCAGTCCAACCCCCTGCCAAGAAGCAGGAATATTGCATTCAATATTCTTTGTCACTATGTGTCCAGCTATCAGAACACAGCTGGATACTCCTGCATCATCCCCTGGTCTCCATAGGTCACTAAGTAGCAATGGTGAGAAGGAACGCAAGAAGGAAAGTCCCGTGGGAGATAATTCTTCCTGGGTGGAACTTTACAGTCTCCACAGAACAGCGGTTCTCAACCTGGGGGTCACGACCCCCAGGAGGGTTGCTGGGCCATTTTCTGGGGGTCGCAAAGGTGCTTCGGTTGGCCCCGCCCGCTCCGTCTCCTCAAAATGGCTGCCGACCCCTGTTCCAGGGAAGCAGCCAGGCTTTCCAGGTCAGCTCCTCTACCTTGCACGAGGCCTCCCTCGCCTAGGTCGCGCTCCCGACGGCCGGCAGGGGCGCAGGTTAGGTGAGGGCCGCTTCGCACAAGGCCTTGCCTTGCGAGAGCCCTCCCTCGCCTAGATCACACTCCCACTGGCCGGCAGCAAGAGGCTCCATGTAAGGCCAGGCTGCGTGGGGGATCCTCCCATGCCCGGCTCTCACCGCCTGCCGGGCTTGCCGGAGGCACGAGCCTCCCTGCCGGATCTGGGCCCAGACTCCAGAATGCACCAAGCAACAGCAACTCCCTATTGTCACGGTATGTATATTTTCCCCAAACTTCTCCAGTATTTTATGTTGGTCATGGGAGTTCTGTATGCCAGGTTTGGATCAATTCCATGATTGTAGGAGTTCAGAATGCTCTTTAATGACAAGGGAACTATATTCCCAAGCAACTGCAACTCCCAAATGTCAGGGTCTATTTTCCCCAAATGTCTCCAGTATTTTCTGTTGGTCATGGGAATCTTGTATGCCAAGTTTAGTTCAATTCAACTGTTGGTGAAGTTCAGAATGCTCTTTGATGTCAGGTGAACTATACATCCAAGCAACTGCAACCCTCAAATGTCAGGGTCATAGAATCATAGAATTAAAGAGTTGGAAGAGACCTCATGGGCCATCCAGTCCAACCCCCTGCCAAGAAGCAGGAATATTGCATTCAAAGCAACCCTGACAGATGACCATCCAGCCTCTGTTTAAAAGCTTCCAAAGAAGGAGCCTCTACCACACTCCGGGGCAGAGAGTTCCACTGCTGAATGGCTCTCACAGTCAGGAAGTTCTTCCTAATGTTCAGGTGGAATCTCCTCTCTTGAAGCCTGAAGCCATTGTTCCGCGTCCTAGTGTCCAAGGAAGCAGAAAACAAGCTTGCTCCCTTCTCCCTGTGGCTTCCTCTCACATATTTATACATGGCTATCATATCTCCTGTCAGCCTTCTCTTCTTCAGGCTAAACATGGCCAGCTCCTTAAGCCGTTCCTCATAGGGCTTGTTCTCCAGACCCTTGATCATTTTAGTCGCCCTCCTCTGGACACATTCCAGCTTGTCAATATCTCTCTTGAATTGTGGTGCCCAGAATTGGACACAATATTCCAGGTGTGGTCTAACCAAAGCAGAATAGAGGGATAGCATTACTTCCCTAGATCTAGACACTATGCTCCTGTTGATGTAGGCCAAAATCCCATTGGCTTTTTTTGCCGCCACATCACATTTTTGGCTCATGGGGTCTATTTTCCCCAAACTCCACCAGTGTTCCAATTTGGGCATATTGAGTATTTGTGCCACGTTTGGTCCAGATCCATAGTCGTTTGGGTTCTCAATGCTCTCTAGATGTAGGTGAACTACATCTCCCCTAAATCACTGTCAATTCCTCCCAAACTCCTCCAGTATTTTTTGTTTGACATGGGAGTTCTGTGTGGACTCCCGTGTCCCCTGGGCATGTGGTCTCAGTCGTCTGTGGAAGTCAGAGCTGAATCAGTTGAAGGTACTGCAAATCCCATCATCTGTTTTCCATACTCCCTCAAACATATTTTTTCTGATTAATCACAATGTTTAATTATGTTGGATTTGTAGCAATGAAAACACATCCTGCATATAACATATTTACATTATGATTCGTAACAGTAGCAAAATTACAGTTATAAAGGAGCAACGAAAATAATTTTATGGTTGGGGTCACCACAACATGAGGAAGCATTTTTAGGGGTCACGGTGTTAGAAAAGTTGAGAACCACTGCCATAGAATAGATCATTATAGTAATAATAATATTTATTTATTTATAGCCTGCCCTGTCTCTCCAAAGGGACTCAAGGCAGCTTACAAGAAAATAAAACACAGTGGCAAACATTCAATCCCAAAGGTAACTTATAAAAAAATCATTAAATATTATAAAATCAGTAAAAATTATAGGTAAAGGTAAAGGTTTCCCCCTGACATGAAGTCCAGTTGTGTCCGACTCTGGGATGTGGTGCTCATCTCCATTTCTAAGCCGAAGAGCTGGTATTGTCTGTCGATACCCCCAAGGTTATGTGGCTGGCATGATTGCATGGAGCGCCGTTACCTTCCCACCGGAGTGGTACCTATTGATCTACTCACATTTGCATGTTTTTTAACTACTAGGTTGGCAGAAGCTGGGTTTGACAATGGAAGCTCACACCGCTCCCTAGATTCGAACCTGTGCCCTTTCTTTCAATAGGCTCAGCAGCTAGGCGCTTTAACCCACTGCGCTACCGGGGGCTCCAAAAAATTATAAAATCAGTAAAAATTATAAAAACAACTTAAATAAGACATAACACAATCCACACAATTATAGCATATTAAACATTTTATCAATATCATTGAACCCTTGGTGATTCCAACAGATGAATTTTTAATGTCTGTAGATGTAACATCATTGTACATCAGTATTCCGATAAAGGAGGTGTGATTCATATGTGAATCAACTTTAAACAGGAGACCCACTTTCTTTTTGTTGATCTTAACATTATTCTTGAAAAAAATTATTTTAAATTTGACCAATAATATTATTTCCAAGTACAAGGGATGGCCATGGGCAGCCCAGTCGCGCTGTCTATAGCAAATTTATTTATGGACAATTTGGAAAAGGACACAATATTGAATCACACAAATAACCCTACAGCAAACAGCATAATCAAATATTGCAGATTTATTGATGACATTTTTATGATTGTAAATTCACACCAGGAGGCAGTAACTTTATTATCTTGGATGAATACCATTCATTCCAATATCAAATTTACAGGGAACATTAGCTCCACATCCCTGGTTTTCCTAGATGTCCTGGTCAAAAAAGAAAATGACAGATTGAGAGTGAAAAACCACTGCAAAACCACTGATAGAAACTCTTTGTTACATTACAACAGTTACCACCATTGGGCCTTAAAAACAATTTAGCCTATACACAGATGTTCAGGATTAAACATAACTCCTCAACTCAACAAGACTTCGATGATAAGATCGAAGTAACAAAACGCCAGTGCAGAAACAGAGGATATCCAGAAAACATAATACAATCATCTTTTCTAAGGGTTGACAATATTCCCAGATCAAAACTCGTAGAGGACAACATTAGGCCAAGAGTTGAAAGACTGATATGGCCACTTACCCTTACAAATATGTCCAATCTGGCCATTAGAACAGTTAGGAAATACTGGAATCTTATAAATGATATTCCAGTATGTGAAAGACCCCCATTGATAGCATATAAAAGAACCAAAAGCATTGAAGATATATTGGTAGATTCAGATGTAACCTACAATGCACAAACAACTAGGTCAAATATGGTGGGTAATTTTAATGTCGACATTGCTTCGTGTGTCATCAATTGGTGGAAACGAAAATCTTCACACACCAACATTTATAATTTGAAATTAATTTTTCTCATTTTGCAACCTGCTCCACCAGGGGAGTAATTTACCTGCTCTCCTGTGCATGTCATCTATCGTATGTGGGTCAAACTTGCCGAAAAGTAAGATCTTGAATCATTGAACATAAGAGTAAAATCAGGAATCACTCCAGAGAGTCAATACTTTACAAACGTTTTGATGATCTCCAACATGGCCCGGATTCATTTAAATACCATATACTGGAAGCGGTTACACATTCCAAACACATTGACTTCAATAACAAACTCTTACAAAGAGAAACATATTGGATTTTCAGGCTACGCACGGAATATCCACATGGATTAAATGAACCAAATCTGTACAGTTGTTATATATAATTCTGAAGTTTTATCCAAATTGATAGTGGTACAGTATGTATCTCTGTTTGAGCATATTGAGAGCATTCACAGCGCCCCTCCCCCCCTTTTAAATTGAGGGAACTCCCAGACGTTTCCCATACTCGCAATTAGAATCAAACACAGAGCAGAGTATCTTGTGAGTACACCTATTTTGTGAAATATGTTTATAATTAGATGAAATATTTATTTTCTGTATATGTAACTTTTAAATGTTTACAGCCACATTTTGTTCCTTTGATTTAGATCCCACTAAACATAAAAACCTGTATTTCTAAGGGGAACAAGTACCAAGTTTATAATCTTGTGAGTATCTTTAAACATGTTGAAGTATATGATGCTGAATGGATGTATTTACAACAAACATTGGTGTATATGATAAATATCGAGTTCATAACTCTGTTAGTATTCTTATATTTGTGTTTATGTGCATGATTGTCTATGAATTTATTTGTAGTAAATATTGATATATATAGAAGGTGGGTAGGGCCTGGAGGGCGCTTGCCAGCCATGCTGGGCATCGTCGGGGGCGGGAGAGCGCTGCTCCGGATTCTGCGCGTGGGTCAAGTCGAGTTGGCCAGGTGCAGCGCGATGAGGAAGCTCTCCGCCATGTCTTCACAGGCTCATTGGTTGACCACAGAAGAAAGGAACCAAGTTTTATACGATCTCAAGGCTACTGGTTTGTCTGAGCTCACAGAAAGAGATGCCATATACAAGGAATTCACCTTCAAATCATTCAATCAGGCATTTGGTTTTATGACTCGGATTGCTCTTCAGGCTGAAAAAATGAATCATCACCCTGAGTGGTTTAATGTATACAATAAGGTCCAAATAACTCTCATTTCCCATGACTGTGGTGGGCTGTCGAAGCGAGATGTCAAGCTGGCTCAGTTTATTGACAAAGTGGCTGTGTCTGTCTAACCAGTGGATGTTGAAATCAGTGTTGAAGCAGCATTTCTTTCCAAATGTTTCCCTCTCCGTTATAGGAGGCCGTCATTCTCATATCTCTTTCTCTCTTACTTTCTGAAATATGTTGATCCTCAAGTTCCCCCATCATTTCAAAGGCTGAAATACAAGCATAGAGAGATTTCTTGGATGTGCAGCATCCAAGAAATGCTGAGCCGCTCTTGGGGGAGCGGCTCAGGACTTCATGTCTTCCATGGCAACCATGGGGCTGTCCCAACAAATAACTGGCCCCACCCACTGTGCGGGACACACATTAGATTTGGTTTTCTGTCAGGGATGGGAGCAAGGTGGCGGGGTTGAGGAGTTATCCATCTCTCCGTTGCCATGGACCGACCATCATCTGGTCAGCTTTAGACTTACTGCACCTCCAAACCTCTGCAGAGGTGGGGGACCCATTAAGATGGTCCGCCCCAGGAGGCTTATGGATCCGGATGGATTCCTGACGGCTCTTGGGGAATTTCCCGCCTGCCTCGGTTGGTGATCCTGTCGATGCCCTGGTGGCTCTCTGGAATGGGGAGATGACCAGGGCAATAGACACGATCGCTCCGGAACGTCCCCTCTCAAGTAGCCGAGCTAAACCAGCTCCTTGGTTCACCGAGGAGCTGGCAGCAATGAAGCGAAAAAAGAGGAGACTAGAGCGTGTGTGGCGTTCGGACCCGAGCGAGTCAAACCGAGCACGGTTTGTTGCCCTATTAAGGGCATATGCCGTGGCAATAAAGGCGGCAAAGAAATCTTTCTTTGCGGCCAATATTGCGTCCGCAAAGAACCGTCCGGCTGAGCTGTTTCGAGTTGTCAGAGGCCTGTTGAAGCCCACCACTTTGGATGGGAGCCCTGACAACTCGACAGCCCGCTGTGAAGCATTTGCTCGGTTCTTTGCGGACAAAGTCGCTTCGATCCGTTCAGGTCTGGATACCATGTTAACGGCAGTCTCTGAGGATGTGACGAGAACATCTGTCTGTCCGGTTTTGATGGATTCGTTTCAATTTGTGAAACCTGAGGATGTGGACGAGGTGCTTGGAGGAATGAGAGCAACCACATGCATCCTAGACCCCTGCCCATCCTGGCTTCTGAAGGAGGCCAGAGGGGGATTGGCCGAGTGGGTGAAGGTGGTGGTTAATGCCTCCCTTCGGGAGGCAAAATTCCAGCCAGCTTAAAGCAAGCTGTAATAAAACCGCTGTTGAAAAAACCATCACTGGACCCCACTCAATTCGTCAACTATCGGCCTGTTTCCAATCTCCCCTTTTTGGCAAAGTCCTGGAACGTGTGGTGGCCTCACAACTCCAAGCATTCTTGGTAGACACTTATCTGGATCCGGCACAGTCTGGCTTTAGGCCGGGGCATGGTACCGAGACAGCCTTGGTCGCCTTAGTGGTTGATCTCCGGGAGCTCGACAGGGGGAGTGTGTCCCTGTTGGTGCTGCTGGACCTCTCAGCGGCCTTCGATACCGTCGACCACGGTATCCTTCTGGGACGCCTTGCGGGAATGGGCTGGGGGGCACTGTTTTACAGTGGCTCAGGTCCTTCCTAGAGGACCGTACCCAGAAGGTGTTGCTGGGGGACAACTGCTCGTCCTCACAACCATTGACTTGTGGGGTCCCGCAGGGTTCAATATTGTCCCCCATGTTGTTTAACATCTACATGAAGCCGTTGGGAGAGATCATCCGGAGTTTCGGGGTGCGGTGTTATCTGTACGCAGATGACGTCCAACTCTGTCACTCCTTTCCACCTACTACCAAGGAGGCTGTCCAGGTCCTGAACCGGTGCTTGGCCGCTGTGTCGGACTGGATGAGGGTGAACAAATTGAAACTCAATCCAGACAAGACAGAGGTACTCCTGGTCAGTCGGAAGGCCGAACAGGGTATAGGGTTACAGCCTGTGTTGGACGGGGTCGCACTCCCCCTGAAGACGCAGGTTCGCAGCTGGGTGCGATCCTGGACTCATCGCTGAGCCTGGAACCCCAGGTTTCGGCGGTGACCAGAGGAGCATTTGCACAGTTAAAACTCATGCGCCAGCTGCGCCCGTACCTTGGGAAGTCTGACTTGGCCACGGTAGTCCACGCTCTGGTTACATCCCGTATAGATTACTGCAACGCGCTCTACGTGGGGTTGCCCTTGAAGACTGCCCGGAAGCTTCAGATGGTCCAGCGCTCGGCAGCCAGGTTGCTAACAGGAGCGGCACTCAGGGAGCACACCACCCCCTTGCTGAGCCAGCTCCACTGGCTGCCAATTCGCTACCGGGCACAATTTAAGGTGCTGGCTTTAGCCTATAAAGCCCTACACGGTTCCGGCCCCACTTACCTCTCCGAACGCATCTCCTCCTACGAACCGGGAAGAGCGTTAAGATCTTCCGGGGAGGCCCTGCTCTCGGTTCCGCCGGCGTCACAAGTGCGGCTGGCGGGCACGAGAGACAGGGCCTTCTCGGTGGTGGCCCCTCGGCTATGGAATGCGTTACCGGTGGACATCAGGCAGGCCCCTTCGTTACTGGTGTTTCGGAGGAGGGTGAAGACGTGGCTCTACGAGCAGGCTTTTGGCAATTAACTCAATAATGACGGCATCAGACAAGGAATGGAAAAGGATCTTGAGATCGGAATCTGATTCTAAGTATGGCGTTGATGATTATGTTTGTTTGTATTGTGCGTCTCATATATTGTTTAGTGTTGCTTTTACTGTAAACCGCATTGAGTCGCCGCCTCAGGCTGATATATGCGGTATACAAATAGAGTAAATAAATAAATAAATAAATATTTGCAGACAAGACATTTGGGCGAAGAAGAATTATGTGTGCTGAGCTCCTTGCAGCTTGTATAACTGCATATGATGACTATACACTATAATTACTATACCAATTGATAATTGTTTCCAGAGAGCAGAAGTTAAAAGCTAAATCACTTGCTTCATTCCTGTTATTTAAGGCTGGCTTTTGTCCTTTCCATCCTGTAGACCATGATTGAGGGAACTTTTATCTTGGAGATGTTTTGGACTCCCTAGCTAGGGGAATCCCTAGCTAGCATGACCTGTGCTAATGACTTATGGGTTTTGTAGTCCAAAATATTTTGTGGGCCAAAGGTTCCCCATCCTCTGATATTTAGAGATCTATATGACTCAGATTCTAAATGTCTAAAGTGCCATATTCTCCAGTACAAGCCTACTCTACTTTTGGCATTTTGAAGGGAGGCTCTTCTCTTATTCTGCTATCCTTATATGTCCATTTGGTTGACTTAGTTAGGTTTCTTTCCAGGCTGTGGGATCTCCCATCCAATAAATTTTAGGCTCCCAGCTTAAAAAAAAGATACATATATAATTTTAGTCCACCAGAGGAAGGTCTGGAGTGAGGCCGAAACCGGTTGTGGACTACGGATTTAAGTTCAACTCGAGGCAAGAACATACAGCATTGATACTTTTTTGAGAGACTGCCCAAATGCATATAATATTGTTTTGTGAATGCTATGATTTGGAACTGTATAATAAGTTTCACCAGTTACATTATTGGCTGAATTGATTTATTTTTCTTTCTGTGTACAAGTGGGCTATTGTGTTGTATGTACCCATCAGAACATGCCATCAGAACAAATGCAATTAAGACCATGATCGAAAAATCAGCTGATGACCCAAAATGCAGACTGTGCAAGGAAGCTGATGAAACCATGGATCATAGCCTCAGCTGTTGCAAGAAAATCGCACAGACTGACTACAAACAAAAACACAACTCTGTGGCCTAAATGATTCACTGGAACTTATGCCACAAGTACCACCTGCCAGCAGTAAAGAATTGGTGGGATCATAAACCTGCAAAGGTTGTGGCAAATGAACACGCAAAAATACTGTGGGACTTTCGAATCCAGACTGACAAAGTTTTGGAACACAACACACCAGACATCACAATTGTGGAGAAGAAGAAAAGTCTGGATTATTGATGTCGCCATACCAGGTGACAGTTGCATTGAGGAAAAACAACAGGAAAAACTCAGTCGCTATCAAGACCTCAAAATTGAACTGCAAAGGCTCTGGCATAAACCAGCCCAGGTGGTCCCAGTGGGCGCACTGGGTGCCGTGCCAAAAGATCTCAGCCGGCATTTGGAAACAATAAACATCGACAAAATCACCATGTGTCAACTGCAAAAGGCCACCTTACTTGGATCTGCGCACATCATTCGAAAATACATCACACAGTCCTAGACGCTTGGGAAGTGTTCGACTTGTGATTTTGTGATACGAAATCCAGCATATAAATCTCGTTTGCTGTGACATACAGTGTTTTTGTGTCAGTAAATAATAATAATAATAAATAATTATATGAAATCCAGCATATAGACCTCATTTGCTGTGACATACTGTGCTTTTGTGTCAACAACAACAACAACAACAATCTGTGTTTTTCTGAGCACTGGATTTTGACCTAGAGTTCCATGCCAAAGGAGCAATTATGGAAGTACAGGGATAAAATTGTACAGGTACAAAACAGTACTGCCTTACTGTCAGAAGATGGTGCTGTTACCCTAGTTTAGCCACATAACACTATTCATTCTTGCTTCCATGATAGCCATGAGATGGCTTAACCATTTTTTGGAACAACTTGAAGACTCCAGGGTGCCTTATTCAGTTACTGTATTTTGCTGGAGTCTTATTCCCTGGGATAATTGCTGCTGACGCTGGTAAGAAAAAAAGAAAAAAGAACCATGTTCAGCTGCTTTCCCTAACCTAGTGTCCTCTGGATATGTAGGATCACAGCTTCCATTATCCCCAGTTACATGACAAAGATTTTTCTGTCTGAGAATGATGAATAAAGTGATAAACTGGGGGCAGAGTCTGTAACAGAAGTGGGAAAACTTCCTCATGTAACGTTGGGGGCCCATGGGTAAGCTTTATAAAAACACCATATTATACACACACACACACTAGCCATCCCCTACCACGCGTTGCTGTGGCCCAGTTTGGTGATCTGGAAAATAAAGTAATGAGAAAGTGTTGGTTTCTAATATATGTAATTTCTTTA